ATAATGGTGATGTGTGGATAATAGTGGTAAGCACCAGTTAAGACTGGTACACGCTTGCGAAACCAGAATTAAGTGGGGCGTGGCACGAGTAGGTAGCATGCGGGTCCAGCTCGTCGGGTTCTTTCCAATTAATAGGGGCACGATAGCTCCCGCCACAGTGGCTTTACACACTACGAACGCGGGAGATCGGCAGCTAATGCGCTACAGCCTCACTAATGCTTCCTACGCCCTCAACTAAATCTGGCATCTGGAAACAGCTGAGGTATTTCGCTATTTCACATACCGTTGATCACACCATCAAGCGTAACATTAAGATACTACATCTCGCCTATCAAAAATGTCTACAATCGCCTCGCCCCGCGACCCGCCGCGGCGCATGAACTCGGGCACCACGCCGACCTCTTCGACGCGACCAAGTCTCGATGTCTCACGATCGCCTATCGGCTCGCCGAACCCGAATAGCGGCGGCAGTCCCAACAGGGTTACTATGGCTAACCCTCCAGCTACGAAGCGAAACCGTGCCGCCCTACGCGAGTACTATAACCTAAAGAAGCAGCCAGCTGCAACGCCGCCTCAGGTAGAGGTGACCGATCCGTTCGGGGAGACCTCGGGCGGGCCGCATGAGCAGTACTCGGAAGTTCCCCCTAGCGAGATAGACAGGGAAGGGTTCGATGTAGATGCTTTTGTTAAGAAGGCACTGGCTGAAAATGGTATGGAAGAGTTACTGCGGCTGTATACACGAGTGCTGGGTGAAATAAGGGCGCTGGATGCCGAGAAGAAGGCACTTGTATATGATAATTATAGCAAGTTGATCACAGCTACGGAAACAATACGCAAGGTTAGTCTTATAATCCCATTAACCTCAAGAGGGCGTGTGCTATGGAACGGAGGCCATGTACTAATAAACGTGTAAGATGCGAACGAATATGGACCCATTGAACCCTATGGCTTCTACGCTAGATCCAGCAATCGCCCAAATATACTCCCAAGCCTCGGAAATACGAGACTCGATACGGAAATCTGTCCCGCCACCTGATAAAGCCGGGGCCCAAGCGGAAGAGGCGCGCCGGAGGAGAGCACGGACGAAACAGTTGGCAATCGAGGTTCTAGACGCCCCAGATAAAATACGAGCGCTTGTCAGCGAAGGACGACTAGAAGATGCGAGACAGGCGTGGAAAATGCCACGTAGACTTCTATCAGTATGGAAGGAACAGGGTATCGGTGGTGTAGACGTGGACGCGTGCATAGAAGACGGCGACGCGGCTTTGAAAGGTGAGCCGAGCAAGGGAGATTGGAGGGATTTGAACACCCGAGAATCGGCATGATTGAGCATTTAGATTGAAGGATGTCCTAAACGACAAGGTGAACGACTGAAGCATCATTGAATGAACCGTCTGTTAGGCCAGCGTCGACGAATAGTGGTCATTCGCCATGTTAATTACACCCTCGACCAGGTTAACGAGCCGTCGCATTAAGTGCTTAAGCCAGGTCTCTAACGTCAATCACCTCGAAGGGATCACGGTCTGCTTTGCTGACAATTATGCGGGTGTCTCCGTACGCCGTGGTCTCCAATTCGACCTCCAACATGGGCTTCAATCTCGTCTCCAGATACTTCCGCTCCGAGTTACTATGGAAGACGGTGACGACAATCTGGCCTAACTGGGTATGCCGGAGCGCATAATGGTGCGCCATCTCGCCCGTCACCAAGACCTGAGCATCGGTATCTTTTAGGACGTCAGAACCCGAACCTGCACAGACAGCAACCTTGGTAATCTCCTGCGTCCTGGTGAGGTCCTTTAGTGATGGTGGCAGAGCAACCATCATATATCGCTGGTTGCCTATGCCAGCAGAGAGTCGCCGCAGAAGGGTTTGCAAGTTGACGGGCTGAGGCAGTTCAAATGCTCGTCCATAGCCAGTGCCTTGGTGCCCTTCGGGTAGAGGCCTAGAAATAGGCTGGACGACAGTTCGCTTCGCCTGGTGTTTTCCATCTAACAGGATGTCGCAAAGCCAGTCGTTAAGTCCTCCGCTCGCCGCGTCCATGGCTGTATGGGGACAGTAGACGGAGATCCTCTCGGCGGCTAGCCGTAAGAGGAGGGTCTGCATAGGGTCTTTGGTAGTAAGGGATTTCAGAGGTCTAAAGATAATAGGATCTATACAATGTTAGTCGTCAGTACCGCCAGCTTAGCCAGCGTATGTAATGATGGGTGCAACTCATACGATAGCAGACAATCATATTGGCTCCTTCTGCCAATGCCTCGTCGACCACGGCGGAAGTTAAGTCATTGGTGAGAAGAACGGTACCTCCAGTCTCCTTTTTAGACACCGACGATGACGACAAGGGCGCTTGTCCGAGGAGTACTACCTCACCATTAGCTTCATATCCGATAGCCCATGCTATATATAAAGTTGTCTCTCACGTCCTGTATTGTCCCACGCATTATCCGCTAGTTCTTCCGGGAAACTATGAGCGATGTTAGCTTAATATGATATAAGGCTTATACCTAACCACGATGAAAAATCTAACTTATAAAGGTTACTAACAGTGTTCTCATCGCAGCAACCACCGCATCCGTGAGACTAGCCGCCGGCGGAGCTGCCATGATTCTAGATGAGCTAAAGGTACGCTCTTGTCTTATCACAGTATAATAATAAGACTTGAGATTCTGCGGTTGGAGTCTGTAGCTTCTACTCGCACAAGTAGAGTTAACTGCAAGGGCTGTTTTCCCAGCCCGATGAGCGCGGGGAAGAGGGTTTGATGATAATTTAGAGATATGCTTCGACAGAAAATTTAGAGTATCCGTCCGATGCCAAAGGGACATGACATGAAGCTTTACTTGAACGACTCAATAATTATGATGACATTAAATAATATGTTTAATTGAAAGGTTCCCTTAGCTTACATACAATACATAGCTCTAGTCACGAACCCCACACCCCACTATCGATAATTCAGTCGTCGGAGCTTTTCTTTCGCTACCAGCCGAGATCCAATGTCATCATCGCGGGGCATCTGTGTAACCACTATCTACTTCTGAGGTTAACAGGTACATACCTTCTTTCCGTTTGACAAAGCTGCGCTTGATCGGCTTTGCTTATTACATTCTTCTCCCTACTACACTTACGCGAACTACACCAACGTACAATACAATATACCATATATTAGATCAGATACCTATAAGAAAACCCCATCCCCTCCATTCCATTCCATTCCATTCATATTACGACGACCACAGCCACCACCAAGAAATGAACGAGCCCACAATCACCGAAACATCGCTGAAAGCGGCTTTGACGGAGCGACTGGAAGCAGTCCACGTCGAAGTAACCGATATGTCCGGTACATATATACCCTTCCTTTCCCCCCCATCCTCCCCCTTTCCTCTCCTCTCCAAAACCAAAACTAACTAACTAACCTGCGCTTTTTAAAACCCCAGGCGGCTGCGGCCAATCCTTCACATCGCTAATCGTATCGCCGCACTTCGCCGGCCAGAACAGCCTGAAGCGGCACCGCGCCGTCAACGCCGCCCTGCGCGACGAGATCGCCGCCATCCACGCCTGGAGCGCCAAGTGCCTGACGCCCGAGGAGTGGCAGCGCGACAAGGACGACAAGGAGAAGAGCAGCGGGCCGCCCTTGGATGGCACGGTACGGGGGCAAGTGACGGGTGTCGATGCGTGATGAGTCGATGCATTGGGAGGATATGTTAGGTACCTAGGTATATTTTAAGAATTCGGCGTGGTTCCCTATAACTATATAGATGGGAAACATACTCTACGTACAATACATGACTACCAGATCCCTGTTGTAGGGACGGGAGAAAAGAGACGCCTAGGCGAATGGGCTTTGGATAAGCTTAAGACATAGAGCTCTAGGAGTACGGGGTACGCGTTAGGCGAGGATCCATCTTCGCATCATGATTTTTCAGCTAGTAAACTAGGCGCTATGCTTATTATCATTTCACGATATCACATCTTAACAAGCCTGCCTAATGGACCCCTTTCCCTTTGCCCAACGCTGTTACGACCTAGTAACATTATCGAAATCTATTCTATCACAGATCCAACAGGTCGTTCCTGCTGTTGTTCCCTCGGCGATCTTTCGCCCAGGGATTCTGGGTTTCTGCTAAACGAGGACGTGGGTTGCGCTTCGCCTAGAAGAGACCTAGTAGATCGTCGTTGTTCGTAGTTTTCTGTTCCGTCGCGCTTCCGTGGCCAAGTTGGACCGATGCTGGGGGAGGCTGGCTTGACCCGCTTAAATCCAATCCTTCAAATCCGTTCATGATATCATTCACACCACCGACACCACTACCCACGGGTTTGTTTTGAGGTGGCGGGGCATCGAAGAGACCCATCATATCTGCCATTCCGCCCGATGAAGCTCCGCCGGCCGGACTTGCTACGCGATCTGGCGTAGCTGACGCCGAGTTTTGCTCTTGTGAAGCCGGCGCGGCGCCATCGAAATCGATATCCAAAAGGTTTTCGATGTTGTTCTGTGCCGGTGCCCCATTTTGGGCACCGCCAGCAACTGATGCCGCGATGGGATTGTCAGCCGCATTCTGCCGTTGTTCTTGGATTGCTGCTCGTTGGATTTCGTCGGCACCAAAGCGACCTTTGCCAACGAAAGACTCTGGCGGTTTATGGTAGACCGAGGCCAAAGTCGAAAGTTCACCGAGTAGCTGTTCTAGTAAAGCTGCTGGCAAGCTTGTCATTGTGGTTGAAATGGCGGGTTTCTGAGAGAGGACAATACTCTAGGACCTGTTAGTTACCAAACCAAGCACAAAGGAGGTCTGAGAATACTGTACCTTTGCAATAGCAAGATCCCCTGACAAAAGTCGCCAATAGACATATGCTCGGTCTCGAATATCTGGGTTATCATTCTCCGCCGTTGCCGCTTGTAGAACCTTTTGTACCAATCCTTGGTTGTTGCTTGGCTTTTTCAAGAATAATTTGACAACTGCTGTGAGGATTTGTAGTTGCGTCTGCGTAAACTCCTCTAGGAAGACATCCACAAAACTCGCCAATATTTCATCTGCGTTATTTATTTTTTCTGCATACTCGCCCACAATCCAAATCAGCCCACCCCTGGCGTCAGGCTCGTCCAGCTCGTCGATGTGATTACAGAGCGTCGGAATGACGCCTTCGTAACCGGGATATTTTCGGAGGATATCCTTGATGACCACTATCACCTCTTGAACCACATAGTTGACCTTGGTAGCGATCAAATCCAGTAGCGCGTTGACACATTTTTCGCTCGCGCTCTCGATCTTGATTGCAACTTGCCCAATAGCCTTGACAGCTCGTCGAACGAAGTCCATATCCACTTCCAACGCATACTCTTTCAACTCGGCCAGCAACTGCTCGTAGTTCTTCTCGTTCGCTATCCTCACCATGATCTCGAGCTTTTGAAGCTTGACATAAGGCGGATCGTTGTACTTGCAAAAGAATACTCTTAGTTCCTTGCTTAAAATATCGGGTTTAGCCTGTAGAAGGAGGTCGATATTCCGTAACGCGACATATTGGACTTCGGGTGCGGAAGCGACAAGGGTGACTGAATATATGTATATTAGTGATAGTCTTAAGTAGACGAAGGACGTGGTAACTAACCCAGTGGAGGTGCCATCTTCTTGAGGTACTGTCGGACAAGATCGGCATTGATTAATCTCATGTGGATGAATACTACTTTGACAGCAGCGAGCACGACACTAGGATTCACATGCTGGAACTGGGGCGTTACTCGTTCGCAGATATGCTCTGACTCCTTGACATCTTGGGGCGGATAATCGGCCAGGGTCGAAAGGATAGTCACTCTACCCCATTCCGTGCACTCGTTCAAAGCCATCAGCAATTTCTTGAGCGTTGCTGGTGTTATAATTAATGCCCTCGTCTCGGGTGCCGTCTCAGATATTTCTGAGAGCGCCTGCACCGAGTTGGCAACCACCATAGGGTTAGGGTCTCCGATCATCTCCTGCAGGATTTCTAGAAAGCCGTTTTCTATGCACATGGAGGGGTTCAAGTCGAACAGCTTCGCGACGCAGATAGCAGCTGTTTTTCGTACGTATGGTGATTCGTCTCGTAATGTTTTCCGTAGAGGCTCCTCCATGTAGTCTACCATCTTGTCTACTCGAATGCATCCCATGGTCCTAATGGCAAGGGCTCTTATAAGGGGATTCGGGTCTTCAGAATCTTGGACGAACGTATTGACGGCGAGGATACATAGGTCAGGATGCGACTTGGCGTAGTTCCTAAATTCTGCGTAAGTTTACCACTCAAATGGATTTTAGGGCACATCGTGAAGCTCCCTAGAGAACATCAAGCTGCTTACATTAGATAGAGGTAGACGAGTTTCTTTTGGTCGAGGTCGGCGGTCGCGATATTCTTCAGTACATCGGGGAACAGCTGTGAGACGTCTTTACCCAGGGTCATGGCCATAATAGTCTTCTGGATTGATTCCTTCCTCTCCCAAGCATATTGAGACACCAGACCAGCTCGCAACTCGAACGTCTCGCCCTTCCTAGGCACGGCGAAAGCGCCGCGAATGCGACTGACCGCCGACATCTCGATATGATATCAGTGGATTTATGGAGAGTCGGGGAGGCGAAACAGGTTGCGAATTAAGGCCCGTTTAGGGCAATTATAGCTGCATCCGATCTCTTTCCAATTAGAAGTTAGTTGTCGATGTTTTGCTTATGTCGTTTATCGTTCTGGGAAAGGGGAAAGGGGAAAGGAATAGAAAAGATTTACGTATTGAGTGATGATAGTTGAAAGAATGCTGCCCTGTTAAATCAACCCCTGGCCACTTCACTTATCAAAAGGCTAAGCCCAGTTATGCGGTTGTGGTTGCCAGCTTTAGCCTGGAAGTCGGTGTCTCCATCCATGGACGACACCTGTAACAGCCACAATGTACAAGCCACAAATAGAACTTGAAAGGGGGTACCTATGTACCTATGTACCTTGATGTACCCATGTACAAGTGGGATAGCCCGATAGCTCAAGATCCATGAATCTTAGCTTGGCCTAAGCACTTCAAGACGTTTGAAGCAATATAGAACCCTCCACTCTCCATATTATACCATAATCAAAAGAGATTCGTATAAAGTCCTTACTAAGTCAAGCCAACTTGGAACTATAGATTCGATTAGTTATACCAAGAATACTCATCTAATCAATTACCACTTCTTTAACCATAACTACTCCTGCTCAAAACTACATGGCAAGTTCAGAGTTAGAATGGCACGCTCACAGGTATCAACTAACAAACAACCCAGGCAAACTTTCCAAACCTACGTCGACTCTTCATCGAGGCGAGGTCGGATGATGAGGAGAGGGAGATTTCGCGTAGAGCTGTGAGTAGTTGTGCCTAGATTCCTTGGTCAAAATACGTTATCTTCGGTCAACTAATACGAATTAGTTTTATAATGCTGTCTTGTTCATGGGCTCAGTTGCTATTTTTAGCCTCATAGCTCAGAAGATGAACGCCGGAAAGTAACTAGTTACATGTAAAAACACACGGATTTCATCAAGCTCAGTCAATCCGTTCATATCATATCATGCTCGGTACTGACAACCTTGTCACTGTCATTGCTCCGTAGACCATTTAATCAGACTCGCTGTCGCTTCCCAGAAAGGCTAAATCAGCCATTCGCTTTGACACGCGTGGGTTGCCCTTGACTTCTTCGTCCTCATCCTCTTCATCCTTGGCATCTTGGTCCTCATCGGATTCTCCTTTCGATGTCTTCTTGGTGGTCTTGCTCCTAGAAGCACGTCTACCCGCTCCGCTACCCCAGTTCCGATTCATCTCCGTAACAGCTTCTAGGTCTGCCATGAGTTCTCTTTTTTCCTTGATTTCCTTAGCTTTCGCCTCGGAAAAGCGACCTTCAATCCCGATATCTCGAAGCATTTCCTTCAGATGCCTAATTTTGGCCTTGCTATCGTCACCATACTTCTTCAACTCGATGCCCCATATCTTGCGAACTCCGCACTTGAGTAATTGGCCTTGGAGTTTCTTGATCTCCGTATCGTCTGCAGACAATTCCTTTGCCTGCTTAGGCTTAGGAGCACCCTTCGGTTCTCTGGGTTTTCGCTTTTTGGGAGGGGGGTCGTCTATAACGGACGACAAATCTGAACCTGAGTCATCGGCGTCTGCCTCCTTGATATCTTTGTTGTCCTTGATATCCACAACATTTAGTTTGGTATCCTCGCCTGATTCCTCTGCTTTCGATTCAGTCTTAGCATTTACTCTCGGCTGAGGCAGACTTTTTTCATCGGCAGTAGATTCAACTTCATCCTTTGTGACTTCCTTCTTCTCGTCTGACAAATCGTCTTCACTATCCGATTCCGCCTTGGCGCGTTTAGTATTTCGCTTTTTAGCAGGTGCCGCACGTTTTCGCTTTTTTCCTGCTGCCGAGTCCTCTAGATCACTAGCTGCTTCTTCTTTTTTGGTAATCTTTTTGGTCTTGCGCCGAGGCGTAGCCTTCTTTATGCCCTTTGTCTTCTTCTTTGGCTCGTTTTCCGAATCATCCAGGTCGCTTAACTCGGATTCTGTTTCCTCCTTCTTGGCTCCTCGACGTGAAATGGATTTTTGTGGCTTAGCATTCTTAGGTTCATCCTCTGGCGAATCAAGATCGCTCAACTCTGAATCAGACTCCTCTTTTTTAGCGACCCTTTGCTTAGTTGCTTTCTTTGGTTGCTCTCCAAAATCGCTCTGGTCTTCCAAGTCGCTAAGCGCCGATTCTGATTCTTCCTTCTTCGCTTTAGCTCTTTTAGACGGAGCGGCACGAGATGCTTTCTTCTGGCGCTTGGGTGATGGGGAAGGCTCTTCGCTCGATTGTCGCTTAATCCCGTTTTTAGCTTCCGATTTGACATTGGCCGCCGAGGATGATGGAGCTTCATCTTCTTCGGCTAGCAACTGAGCCTAAGCATCACAATTTAGTCAGACGTGCAATCAATCATAAATATGTGGTGAAATAGAAAACGTACAACAAATTCTTTGATGATCTTCTTGCTACGCGCCTCCCACTCCGGCGCCTTGAAGAATCCTTGTTCTAGCTCTCCCTTGTCCTCGACATATTGTCGGACGTTGTTCACGGTTACCTGATCCCACCCGCGTTCAGCGACGAGAGCGCGGACCCCATCGCGGAGATCTTTCTCAAGAGTTTCGGCGGTTGGCGACATGGAGTCAGATACTCAGCAGATGGAGTATTTCGTCGGTATTGGTCAAGGCTTCAAGAGCAACGTATCGCATCTACCAATTCCGAAAAACAGGCTCAATCAACGAGAGACAAAGAGTTATCAGATTAGATAAAACGCGTCAATGGAAGTAGGTCGCGTGTTGGCGTAAGTGGAGAAATTGATGATAAGATGTATCTGGTGGTACTAGGCCGGGTCGGCTGGTCGGCTGGTTGATTTCAATGGTTAGGACAAGCACGGGTTCGAGACAAGGATACGATCAATATGCACAAGCCAAGCTTGGAAATTGACCAATCAAATCCTCTCTTAGCCACTTGAGTCACAAACTCAATAAGGTACAATACGTAGGTACTTAACCAGGCGTAGCTACGGGTACCTACTACATGTATGTATGCAGTGTATGTACCTCATACATTAGGTACATAAGGTTCCGCGTTAAAATATTCCCTAGGTTAGGTAGGTACCTCCTTGTTGCAACTTCCCCACTACAGCCTTAAATAGGTACCTTAGCGGGAAATATAGGGACCTTATAAGGCTTACGCAGGCCTTATATTTCAGGCAACCCCTGCTGGGTTTAAAACCCTATAATAGGCTATAACCCTGGTGCGAGGCATCTAAGCCTTACAGATCAAATAAGCCTTATAAACAGTCCACTATAAGTGCCCTGTAAATTATCCCCTAAAGCCACTGTAAATAATCCACTAGATCAACTGGAAATAGATGCCTGAACCGCCTGTATAGCCTATAATTCAATTGCAGCTGCGCGCATACGAGTATATAGCCGCAACAATTCGTACGGTCGCAAAAAGGTAAAAATTACAGGCCTAGCTATTACTCTAATACCTTGTTCCTCTTACTATTTAAGGCTATTTGCAGGTATTTATCTAATGCGAAAAACATGTCAAATTACTGGGTTAAACGTGAGATTACTACTATTACGTGGGTACTATACCACTTGACTACGAGGGCAATTGATTACAAGTCTACGGGATTACGTATTACGCGATAGATTGTGTGCTTGCTATTGTGGTATATATATCTCGTGCTTGCCGTACAGGGTATTCAATTAAATTATATGGTCTCAGGGGACTCAGGGGAGATCAAGGGAATTACAGGCGTTGTTCACCAGTGAAGGTGGTGATATAGCAATTTTAGGTGGTTTTGGTGGCCTTAGGTGGTTATAGTGGCCTCAGGCATTAATATCACTAAAACCTACTGTAATGAAATAACAGTGGTTACAGGGGAAAATAATACTAAAAATGCCCTGTATTCTTATCGGATGTATCCCACCACCAAATTTATATAGGGATATACACCCACTTATAAGCCTTGCAGAAAAACTAACCCTTGCAGGATTGCTAACCCTTGCACAAGGCTTGTCACTGTAGTTAGGCCTGTACAAGGCATGCGCAAGGCTTATAAGTTCCCTATAATTCCCGCTAAGGTATTAAATAGAGTCCTTTTAGCCGTCTTATAAAATATAACTTATAACATTCCCCTAAAGCCTTACTAGTTTCACCATCAATAATTCCTAGTCTTAAGACACCAACTGAGCGTACGAGTTGACCGCACATATGTTAACCCCCAACATATATAAGGTACTCGGCCAGACACTTTACCACTACTATACCTGTTGGAAGCAGAATGTAACATATCACCAACACTTTTCAGGTTTATGTTTTAAAGAGGAATCTCGTAGCCTTGAGTTGTATTTATACTGTGCAATTAGGCAGGCTGCTACCTCTGCTGCCCGTGATCTATCATATATGCGACTAGGCCGGTACACGTGGAACTAATCAACATAGCCAACAGTCTGTTTGATTTGAGAAATAACAGAAAACATGAAACTCAGGTGTTACATATCGGGTAGTGTAGCACATCAAGACGGGATAGGCAGCCCTATGTCTGTCAGTTGGTCTCTATGACTGTCAGTTGGTAGGTACCCAAACCACTCAGAAATGATCAGGCGCTAATATGGGAATATCGACCAGTTATGATGCTGTTCTTACCTGAGGATCCGGTACAATAGGTACCTACCATCTACCTGGGATCGGTATTCCTAGTGTCAAATATATTATTTTCAGAGGCGAAATACTTGAAATAATAAGTATTATATCGTATACATACCTGTTACTGGACTTATCATTAACATCTGTATTATGGTACATATCTTAGCTCTACTAAAAACGCCTTGTCTTAGGTTATGTACCTCTTATGTCGACGGCTAATTTTCATGGGCGGCTATGCAACTGTCCGAATAGATACGCGCAAAGTACCATGTAGTTAGGAGGAGGTAGGTATGAAAATAATGTTTATCTCTCCGCGTTGGATGTGTTGGATGTGTTGGAGCCTCACATCGCCTTAGGTACCGCACTTTCCCACCTTATTACTTAGGAATTTCATACACAACGTTTACACGTACATTCGAAATCCTTTCATTAAAACACCTACACTGCAAACGATTCCATTCCATCTTCATCTTATTCAGTTACCCTTTCTACCTCTTCCAACCCTCGTTCACTGTCCTGCCGTTCAGCTATTATTCAAATCAACCGTCGCAAGAATGGCACAGGCTAATCAGAGAAAGCTGTCCAAGTTGTCCGCGGAAGAAACCCGCTACATTATCAATCATGTGTTCCTTCCACCGCAGTTACCTCATGAGAATGATTACGATGTGAAGAATGAAGAAGCCTTACTAAAAGCAGCCCTTCAAAGTCTGAATACGTTTAGAGAATATGTACAAGGAGACGAAGCCAACGCTGTGGAATCAGTCATCACTACGATGGAACATCTACATCGTAACCACGATTACATCGGAAGTAAATCATCAACTGACGAAAAAAGGCTTCTCGGGGCCTTTTGCCTCCTTAACCGGAAAGGTTAGTCTATATCTTAACCCCTTTAAAATATTTTGCGAGTTAACTATTGTAGTAGGTGGGACGGTTGCATGTCATATTCAAGCTCAGAACTGTGGTATATTGTTCTCGAGATTGGATGCGTCTGTTCAAGTCGAGGTGTTTGAACTATCTCCCTCTAACCAGGCTGTCATTTCAACAGAAGGGAGACTACGTCGGCTCTTCCCCGGCGCAGCTGTGTCTATCCCGTTGTCTGTTTTCCAAACACGCGAGTTCCAAGATACAGTAGCTTACACCTTGATAAAAATGACCCACCAGTCGGCCCCTGATACTCAACCACAAGTCAGAAAGGACAACAAGATGCACGATGAAGATCGAGATACCACACACCCGAAGATAATCACTGAACTCTTCTTTGCGTTCTTATTATCTATGGGCAATGAAGTAGAGGTTACGAAAATCTGGAAGAATACTCGCGAAGAAGTATTCTGGCAAGATGCCAAACTACCGTGGCATAGGTCGGCTTTATGGCTACTTATCCGTGTCGTCTTACAACTCCTATTCACACGATCTGCTAGTCTATCGACATGCCCAGAACATCTATACAAAACCTTCATGATATATTTCATGGCACAAGTTCTTGCGCAAGGGCAAGAAAGCCTTTCGAGCGACCTACTAGTGGCTATGAGTGCCAAAATCTCCAGACGCTATCATAAGATTGTCGGATCTATCCCCGGACCTGCCGCCGAATTCGTAAATTCAACTCTATCATCAACGGATCAGATTATTCGTGACCGATGGTCGCGGATCCGAGAAGAAAATATGGTTCCTAACAACCTAGAGGACCTTCAAGGTCTTAACTTTGATCAAGATACTCACATGTCGCTCTCGAGACTTGTCGATTTTATCCACGGTATAGGGGGCCGTGGAAAAAGTAATCAACCCATTGCCTTTCAGTTGAGCTGCCCTCTTATCGACTATAGTTCTCAAGTGCCTCCAGTTCCATCATCGACAAAGAACGTGTATGTGATGTACGAATTGGCATTATTCGAGTCGTGGGTTGCTTCAAACCTCCAAAGTTGGTTAGGGGCCAACGAAGAGTGTCATGATGCTACTGGCATTCTGAGAGAATTTATTGAGAATTACTACAGAGTTGCCTTCTCGTGTTACGAAGGTAACCCCGAGCTAAGCTCCATCATGATCCTTACTATACTCGACCTCTGGGTTGCATCCGACAAGTCAGCAATACGAAATTGCAAGTTACTGAAAAAGTATAAGCCGGGAATCCCTTTGGACATGTTAGAGAATTTGAATTTGCCAACAAGAAGCCAAATGATAAGGCTCTGTGACATTGAAAAATATTTAATCGATCGGAGATCCCAGGCCCCGTTCCCTTACGAAGCACTCAACGACTTTGGCAGTAGAAATTGCTTTTCCGTACAGTTTTTCAACCAATCTGTTAAACATGAGGAGCTCCGCGCTTCCATTGTCAAGAAAGCACACCAGGACAGGGAAGCAAAGCGGAAAGAATTTCAGCGGAAAAAAGACCAGTACGACGATCTCATACAGAAGTTGGATGAGATTGAACATGATACTATTACGAGGATCGATTCGATCACAGGCGATCATTCTGAGCATTGCACCAATAACTGTCTTAAATGCGACATCCCTCGGCAGGCAAAGCAGATAAAAATAGGAATACATGAGTGGCCACTGCCTAGAAATGAGCTTCAAGAAAAGTCGACTGTATTCGAGCTTGATGTTCCCTGCTCATTCCGTCAGTGGCGTGACACTACGGTGTTCGTCCTTTACGACATCCTGAAGCTAAAGTACCTAGTGGAAGAGAAACCAGTAGCAAACTACAGGTTAGCCGATTACTTACCAAGCTACTTCCGTGGATTCGATTCAAGGCAGCGGGTAATACTACTATCTGGTGTTAAGCCTCATACAGGAACCCATCGCCGTATGAAAGCTATTGCTACCATGACTGTGGATGATGTATGTCTCGAGAATGGACTGCGTCTGAGATATTATGATAAATCGACCGGTTTCTTCACCACTTCGCTTATGTCTACAGACGACATTGCCGAACTATGCACGTACTCATTACCGAAGAGGCCAACGGACAAGATATCACCAATACAACCATTTATTAATCGGACACCATTAGAACCTGCCGGCCCACCACCGAACAAGGTCATAGCCACCCAGTCAACCTGTCCTACCGAACTTTCTCTAGAAGAGTACAAGGCGCTTGCGTCTCTTCCGTTAGGCTTCCTGCTTCAATGGCAAAACATCTTATTACAACTTGCGTCACCAAGCATAGACTTCAGGAAGGAAGAGACTGCTTTGGTTATCTTGCAGTGCATCTTCCAAGTTGGACCCCGCGACGGACATAATGTGCTTAGGAGTAGTCATAAAACCCTCGTCGATGCGCAGTTTTCCCATGCCTTACTAGACAGCCTGGACAAAGCATTGCTTAGGGTTAGAGAGAATTGGCAATCATTTCAAGGGCATGGAATTTTCGTTTCTATAGCTAGACGTCTGCTTTCACTGACGTCTTCGCAAAATGAGAAAGACAAGTGCCTTACTTTTTTGGCTGATATTCGCAAGATCACTTCGGGATGGATCCACGACTTGGAGGACAAAATTCAAGGCGCTACGGATGACGACATTAAGGAGGAGCTGCGATACAGATTGGTGAAGATAACACTGATATGTGCGGACACGTTTAACGTCGAAGAGGAACATCTCCGTAGCCTTTTGGCCGCGCCCGATTCCGCCTGCACTATGATACGGTGTAGCATTGTTATCAATGAAGGACTAAACTGCATTCCAAGTAAAGCAGATGAGTGGACTTCTATTATGCATCGAAGATGGGAGCGGCTTGCGTATCGAGCATTTAATATTCTCGCAGATGAAATAATAACAAAGAGCAGCCCAGCGTTAGACGATGCTATCAAGAAGACTTGGTCTGATTTCCCTGCGGCGGGGAAGTGGGAAATCCAGAAGAAGCCGTACAATCATTGGATTGTTAACCGGTCAACACTTAATAATGGAGACAACGATTTGTACGTTGTCTTCAGTCTATTAACCGGCGAGCTCTTCGTCAATGGGTCCCCTCTAGGTCGACTGCCTCGAGAGTATGAGAAACACTACATGTATTCTGTGTTGTTCGGAAAGTCAATTCTAGAAGTTGTCCCGAGTTCAGTCCCTGGGATGCGATTCAGTTCCAAGAAAATGTTCAACGAACACAGCCTAAATTTTGGCTTGGACAACTCGGCCGAAACCCTCCTTATTCGGGCGGTTGCCAATAATCAAACATTTGAACTAGTCCCCCGAACTGTCCTCCAGAACTTATTTCCAATAATGTTCGTTGATAACTTCGTTCATTGGTATAACGAAGCTGGTGGCTACGTTGAGTTCTGCCCCCAGGAGCTTCCGTGGACTCACTCGGAGGACAATTGGAGATTGGTACGCTCGGACACTGCAAACCACTGTTGGCGGCTATGTAAAGGCAGTAAGTTCCTTGTCGACATCAACAGCCATACAGCGAAGAAAATCTTCAAAACAAACTTGAACCGTCTTGAAGAGCATGCCTGGACGCATATCATTCTTCAGGGTCATTCTGTGGATATTGAATTCCCTAGGTTAAAACTAGGGTTTCACTTGAAGCAGGGAGACAGTTCAATATATTCTCACCAATTCCGTGGAATGTCGGTGGATGAGGACCAGTCTATTGGAACCTTGATTGGCCTCCAAAGTATGCTTGTGCTGAAAGGCGACAACGGCCGAGTTCGACGCAAAGCCCTCATCCCAAATGGAAATATAGTATTCTATAAGCATGGGCAACATGTCCATGTTAATATTGAAAGGCAGTCTTCTACGAAAGCTTACGTTTACGAGGTTGACGGCTTAATCGGCAGACTCGCTAACAATGGAAGTCTACAAGGCAGGTTACTCTTGTCGTACCTCCACGCACTTACCTCTTTTCCCTTACCGGATCCCTTGACGGGGAAAACAGGGACTGAAGAAGCACTATCCATCTTGAACTCTGCCGCCGTGAGGTCTTTCATAAAGTTGACAGAAGAAAACCTTGAGTTACTGAAGAAGATCGCCCTGCTTACTCCGGCGCGATACTATTACCCAGCTAACGAACGGGAAATGCAAACCGTGGTATGGAACCCACTACTTGATTTCCTAGCCCAGCATAACGGATTTTATCAAACTGTGCGCTCGATATTTGACCAAGCTAATACATCGAAATTTTTCCACCCGGAATCTTATGTTTCCCCACCAATTCTACATCAGGTTGAGCAGAGCCTTCTACGCCGTGATACTATTCGTTCATCTACATTCCGCGTCTCGGGCTTTGGTGCTGAGGACCATACTACATCCTCGGATGTGGTCTATCGAAGCAGAGACAACAACCAGTCTTCCGAAAAGGCGTCCCGGGCTCGTATTATATCCAAAATTATATTCCGAGAGCGCTTCGCCCTGAACGAGAAGACCGTGGCAGACCTAGGAAAATATATCTGGGAATTCCTTTCTGGATATGATGTGCTTGGACCCAGGACTATTTACTCTTCCTTTCCGGAGATTCAAGCAAACTACGATTCTACATTGCTTATTGGTTCTACCGAGTTCATCGCCAAACACTGGATTCAAATCTACCAGTTGTTGAGCGACAGAGCAACTGAACATAACAAGTTCAAAGTCATGTTCTGGCTCTCTACGATTTCATTCGATAAGGATGCCGACATGACAATCCTTCAGATTTTGGCATCCTTCTTTACAGTTCCCGGAACAGCTCTTAGTCCACCTACAGCTGACATTTTTCGGCTGTCTCTTGGCTCTTGCGTCTCCGGTTCACATCTGTACAGCGTTATTACCGATTCATACCGTCCATTTCACGAAAGTCCGGAAGCTGATCTATCTTCGCCTGCATGGGAGAGCTGGTCCGCTTTTAGGGCCCGACAGTCTCAGACATTTCAGAAAAATAGAAATGAAGCAGCCAGAACTTTCCGTGATAAACTAATAACTCAATGGCCCTGTGAGCGTCCGACTTCCCCATACCGTGCGGGTTCAGTGGAATGGTGGAAATACATAAATGTGGATTTAGCTATGAGTAGAGTAACGGAATTATTCAAGCCACGCTATCACAACCATCTTCTTGAGAATTATCTCAACCAGATCGGCGGTAGGATTCCACGGGATGTCATTCCGATTAGCATTTCTCGATTCTCTCCAACTATCCCCCCTTGGAACTGTACGAGAAGGCCTGGTTTTACCAGCAACGACGAAATATTCAACCCCCCAGCTCCTCTTATGTTACCATATACTGTGGATAATATGACACACAACATATCCCTGACTAATGGTAACAGTAACGAAGCACCGCGGCTTCCCTTTTTGCTGTCGAGGTTAGATAAACAAGTGCAATCTGGATACGACAGACGTTACGTGTCAGACCTCAAGACTAGCACGGAGTCACTACAGGGCTGGAGGAAGGAGTACCGCCTGACGAAAGGTATGCAAGAACTTGAACAACTTCTTGCTCACCATCGCGATAGTTGCCAAGAGGTAGTTGATAAGACTTATGAGGCCATAAAAGAAGCTGTCAAATCCAACCAAGGAGGCGAACAGAATACTTTTCGAACTCTCTTAGCCTCAATCCACCAATGGCCAAGGCTATCACCAAGCTTCTTCTTGCAACGTCTCTGTCGTAGCAAGTGGCAGAAGCTATCGGAAGACTGGAAAAGTTGCATAGTTTATTACGGCATAACCATTTCTCGGCTGCAGAGAGCAGACCGTTTGCTAAGGGCAGTTCACAATCCTTCCGTCCTTATAAGCGAACTGAGAAATCCCGGCCACACCAACTGGCGACCACAAGATCAGCCAGAGTCTCTGCTCTTGGAAATAGAGGGCGACCTTATGATCCGTCCAGTTCAGGAGCAAATAGCCAATAATATGAGGAGCCCCGAAGGGGGTAGGAATGCCGTCATGCAGTTAAACATGGGAGAAGGGAAGTCATCTGTCATCGTACCCATGGTCGCAACAGCGCTCGCAGATGGTTCTCGTTTAGTCCGGGTAATCGTTGGAAAACCGCAGTCGAGGCAGATGTACCAAATGCTTATATCCAAGCTTGGGGGTTTACTAGACCGACAGATCTATCACCTACCATTCTCTCGCGCCGTTAAAGTCGAAGAAACCGAGATACTGGCGATGCGAAATATGTTTGAAACCTGTAAGAGCAATGGGGGTATATTCTTAATGCAACCCGAGCACATCCTGTCATTCAAGCTTATGGGTATCGAGTGTATCCTAACGGGAAAGGAAGAGATCGGTCGTACTTTGGTACAAAGTCAAGAATACCTCAATAAGAATACTCGCGATATCGTCGACGAGAGCGATGAAAATTTTAGCGTCAAATTCGAGTTGGTCTATACCATGGGCACACAACGTCCAACTGAATATAGCCCCGAAAGATGGGTATGCATTCATCAGGTCCTGGAGGTAGTTAGAGAAGTCGTCTTGGAAGTTCGCTCCGACCTCTCCGGTGCACTCGAGGTCCATTCTCAGTATCCTGGGTGTTTCCCACGTACTCGCATTTTACAGCTGGATGCCGCCGACCAGATTCTCTCTCGGGTTACGGAGCGTATTTGTGCAACGGGCATCAACGGCTTCCCCATCACAAGACAACAGGAACATGTCCGCCAAGCAATAATCAGATACATTACCGAGGTCCAACCTGCTCCTACTGACATTGCGCTCGTCGAAGACCCTAGCCTTAAGGGATTCTGGACGCGTGCTAGCCAAACTTTACTCCTATTGCGAGGTCTTATAGCCGGAGGCGTACTGGGCTTCGCCTTCGGGCATAAGCGGTGGAGAGTTGACTATGGCCTTGACTCAAACAGACAACCAAGCACTAAACTCGCGGTGCCATATAGAGCTAAAGATAACCCCTCGCTGCGGTCTGAATTCAGTCATCCGGATGTTGTTATCATCCTCACATCTTTGAGTTATTACTACGGCGGCCTCGAATACCAAGACCTATTGCAAACTTTCGAACACCTCCTTAGGTCTGACCAGGCCGACCAAGAGTTTGGGGTATGGGTAAAGGACGCAGATAATCTCCCCAATACCTTCAAAACCCTGGTTGGCATTAATCTCGAAGATGTAGAATGTACGCAATCCCTATTTAACTCTTTCCGGCATGCCAAAGGCGTCATAGACTACTTCCTAGCGCACATAGTCTTCCCAAAGGAAATGAAGGAGTTTTCACACAGGCTTTCGGCTTCGGGTTGGGATATAGGAGAAGTCAAGACTCATCCAACGACGGGGTTCAGCGGCACAAACGACTCTCGCCAGGTACTACCATATGATGTCGAGCAGCTAGACCTTGAGGATCAGAAGCACACAAACGCATTGGTTCTAGAGAATTTGCTCCATCCTAAGAACTCCGTTACGCTCCTTCCGCCACGCCAGGAAAGCGAGAATTCAGTCGCTGAGGTACTGTTGAATGTTATCACAAAGCTCGATCCACCAACGCGAGTCATACTAGACGTGGGAGCTCAGATACTTGAGCTAAATAACTTTGAAGTAGCGAAAACATGGTTGCATAAGACCTCGGATGACACTACAATTCAAGCAGCCATCTTTGTTGACGACCATGACGAACTTCATGTCCTAGACAGAAAGGGACACTCCGAGCCTCTTCATACGTCACCGTTCGTGTCACAGCTGGATGTTTGTGTTGTTTTCTTAGATGAGGCGGTATGTATTTGCAGCTTTTCCCCTTTCTTGTTGACCTCTCTTATGTGTCAGGGGTTGTCAACCGAGCTGACCGAAAATGGCTTAAACTCTTGAAATATTTATTTAAAAGAAATAACTACTAACTCTGATTATCGTAGCACACGAGAGGCACTGACCTGAAGTTGCCAAGGGATTACCGTGCAGCTGTCACGTTGGGAGCAAATTTAACGAAAGATAGGCTGGTACAAGGTGAGTCAACCCGGCGCCTTACTGTTATATAATTATGGAAACTGACGCGTATCAGCTTGTATGCGGATGAGAATGCTAGCGGAGGGGCAGTCGGTGGTATTTTGCGTCCCTGACGAAGTCCAAAGAAAAATCCGGGCACATAGGGCTGATATCGGACTTCCTGCCGACCAGGATATTTCAGTCTTGGATATTCTAGCCTGGTCGATCGGCGAGACTTGGAAAGACATTCATAGGAGTATGGCATTGTGGGCAAATCAGGGCCGGCGCAACGAAACCCATAGGAAAATATGGGCAGAGACCCGTTCTAGCGGCAAGGTCAATCTTACCAAAGACCTCGCCGAGAAATATCTTGAAGAGGAGGCGAAGACGCTGGAGTACAGGTACCGACCTCGCCCCGACAGTGATATAATCATGCCTTCGAAAGTGATGGGCACGGACCCGATCTCTTTACGATGTAATGAGTTCAAAAATCTAAAGCTTAACTCGGCCGAGCTTCAAGAAGAGGAAGAACGCGAGCTGTCGCCGGAGATTGAGCAAGAACGGCAGGATCAGAGACCTCCCGCAGCAGAACCAGCTATTCATACGATCCACGAAGGTGTCAAAGAATTCATTGCCTCTGGCATGATCACCAAGGGGTCTAAGGGATACATGCCTGCATTTTTAGCCCTGCGCAATACTTCGGCAGGGGCTTGTTTCGACGTGTCCCAGTTCCGTCCTAGGTTACTTGTCTCGAACGATTTCGCGAACACTATTAAACGACGCGGCGCCTCGGATCAATTAGATTCGTACCAACGAGCTATTCAATGGATTTTAACGGGGGCACCTCCTAGCGATGAGGACTCTGCTAAAACGCTCGTCAAGCACATGATGGTCATTAGCCCATACGAGGCAAATGCTATGTTACCGATGATAATGGAATCTAAAGCTGTTGCCTTACATCTATATGCACCCAGGGCAAATCTGGGCTATTGCGAGCTCGACAAGCTTGACTTATACACGGTACCCGAGAGGCTGTCGTCGCGCAAGGTGCCCCAAAGGCTTATCACGGAACTGAATCTGTTCGCCGGACAGCTCTACTTTGGCTCGTATGAGCAATACGTGGACGCGTGTCGGTTCCTGGGCATTAGCTACAGTACGCCCGGCAAAGGGGAAGAGATTACCGCCGACGGATTTATAGCTAAAGACAGCAAGGGCAGGGTTGGTGGAGAGTCAGGCCTGAAGAGCAGCCCAGTGGCGTTTTTCAAGATCCTCCACACGAAGATCCGACGTAACTGCGAGAGCATCGAGAAGACACATATGGGAAAACTGCTGGACAACCAGCTGCTTAGGCCATCGGATTTTGAGGAACAGTAGGCGGATATGCGGATCATGAGAAACGTTGCATAGGTAGATAATGAAGTACTTAGGGGGTTAGTTGACAATTGAGAATTTCACCATGAGAATATCATGGGTAGGATGTCTGCGCGTAAATTAGAACCTATCGGGTTCTCATATTATTCTGTAAGAGGGCGGCACAGCATCATCCCTATGGTGCATAGATCAACTGCATGCGTGTGGGGTCCCTACATACCTCTTGTTGATGCATGGTAATTCGTTGTTGAGCTTCTGAGATGAAAACTTGATGGAAGATGTTGAGAATGTGTACTTTGTAAGCGTTTAGGTACCGCTTATAAAGGTTTTCATACATTTATGCATAGAAAGGAGATATGCATTTAATATATCATCACCTAATATGCATATAAGCAGATAGGTTCTTGGAAGCTGCACATCGCGAGAGATAAGGATGGTAACACTACATGCGTTGGATCCATTGAGCGTTGCCCCACGAATTGTACATGTGAATTTTACACTTAAGATACTTCAATTGGCTAGGTACATGTACTACATCGGCGGAAGGGCGGCCATCTTCTACTCAGGTAAGCACCACCAGAACTGGGCATTAATACCTTCTCAACACCCAAACCGAACTTTTTGTTTGTTACACATTCACATTCAGACCGGAGGAAAATCAGTAACGCTGCTACTCGGTACATAGCCAACTGCGGATTCAACACCCCCGGTATACGACTGGTGTTAGCTTCAATTACCTACCTCGCTCCACCCTCACTTCTCACCAGATCAAATTCCCGCACGCAAACAGAACGAAAAAAAAAGAGAGAAAAGAAAAGAAAAAAGAAGAAGAAGAAGAAATACACGTGATATACGAATTCGACGACAGAATTAATACTTAATACGAAGGAATAGAATTGGAGAAACTAGTCAATTCTTACCCTTGCTTAGTCGTGAAGCGACAATTAATCACGTCTACCTCTAGTTACCCTATCACAAGTACCTAAGGTATAAGTTAGGTACCTAGATAAACACTCATCTGCTCAATTTCTCGCTCGAGCAGAGCATCCATTCCTTTCACCCAAGTCTAAAGCTACCGAACCCATTATCACCACTATCTATGCACGATTATCTCCCGAACCCGGCACTGATTTACCAGGGGCCGGCGCTGCCGCGTGCCCCGCTGATATTAATCCACGACGGTGGTGGCACCAATTTCAATTACCACCTCCTGAGCCAGATTGGCCGTCCGCTATGGGGTCTCGCGAACGCTAGACTCCACGAAGGCGGTTGGTGGGAAGGTGGTATCCCTCAGATGGCTACCTACTACGTCGGGCTCCTCGCTAAGGCTATCCCCGAAGGCGGCGACATCCTCCTCGGAGGTACGTATCTATTTACCGATAATACCTATTAATTTTCCCTATATATTAACGTGAATCTCAGGTTGGTCACTGGGAGGGCTTCTATCCCTTGAGATGGCGCACCGGATTGCCGAGGCGAGGCGTGATGGCGGTACGGGGGCTAAGTTTCGGGTCAAAGGCATGGTCTTCATCGACAGCCTCTGCCCAAGCTACTCAGCTGAGATGCGGGCACGGCTACCGGCAGAACCCGTGATATTATCGGCCCAAGAGTCCGAAGCTATGAAACTGAAAGAGAAGGTCAACTTGAACATGACGCACGCCCGCATCATGGTGTCATTCTGGGAGTTGCCACGCTGGGAGGATGGGCTGCAGGCACCACCAACTATCCTCCTACGAGCGAAAGAGTGGTTCAACCGCGACCCGTCCAAGAGCTTCGTCGATTTCACGCGCGAAGACCGACTTCTGGGCTGGGGTGATTATAACAAGGAACACGGTGGTTTTATTAAAGACGTTGTGGATGTACAAGGTCACCACTTTTCCATCTTTGATTTTGACTACGTAAGTTCAAGCTTAATATTCGCCCATTGTTATTATAACTATACCTAGTGCATGAAGGACTTTGAATCGACTAACTTACTTTACAGCTTGACGATGTTACGAGCAAGGTCCGCGCCGCGGCAGACCAGTTGGATCCGTTTAAATTTTGATGAGTAATTCCTAATACGCCCTATTAGATGTTTCTTGTCCATTAGATTTACACTAAAACAAGGCGTTCAAGATCAATTTTTAGAACCGGCGTTAAAAGGGGATTACGCAATGATAACTAAACTATACATAGGTAGTATAGAGTATAGAATGTTCACATATATGTGCTATTTTGAGTTTATAGACTATGTACCTAGGTACTCTTCACATACTTCGCTAGGGCCCCCTTGACGGTGGCATGACCTTGTTCGAATAGCTTCGCCCGCGTAGCCTCGAAGCCGCCTTCAGCAAGCCACCTATAATGGGTTAGGAACAGGTAAATATAACTTTCCACGAAGAAAAGGGGAGTGGTAAGTTTACGTACTCCTCTGCGTGTCCGATAGCGAACTGCTCATCGCCCTTCTGCAGGCCCTCGTACATCCGCTCGGTATAAAGGCCAAGGGGCATGCCTATCTCGTGGCCGTTTATCATGTCCGGTTGGTGCTTCGTGTCGTGGATCTCTGTCTGCACCGCGGGTGGGAATACTTCGACAAAGCGGATCTTATAACCGGCGTCTTTGATTTGCTGTCGCACATTCACGATAAAGGCGTGAAGCGCTGCCTTGCTGGCGTTATACCCGGGTGTGCGGGTTACTAGAGCGGCGAGAGTGAGCAATGGTTAGGAGATAGGCTTGAATGCCGAAGTCGTGCCCCCGAAGACTTTAGCTCATATAATAGGGGTTCAGAGAGGGAAATGGGTCTGTAAATACTTACACGTCGGTACAAGCGCTAGCGAGGCATTTACAAATATCAAGTGTGCCTCGGTACCCTTAGATACGCGCTGTAAATGCGGCAGGAAGGCCTTAACTAGATGCACGAAAGACACGTAGTTGGTGTTGAACTCCTCAGCGAACGTAGACAGGTCTACGGTCTCGGGCTTGGCGAAGTTGAACGGCCGCTGGATACCGGCGTTAAGCACCACGCTGTCGATATCGGGGTGCTGCTGCGTGACGGAGGCGACGAAGGACGGGATCTCATCGAACTTGGCGATGTCGATTACGACACCGCTGGACCCGGGGTGCTTCGCAGCAAACGCGTCGAGACGATCCTGGCGGCGGCCCGTCACGATTACGGAAGTGCCCTCGGCGTGCAGTTTTGCGGCGAGGGCCTCGCCTATGCCGGACGTGGCGCCGATGATGAGGGTTTTCTTGTAGAGGGGGGCCATTGTATATACTATAAGGATTTTTGAAATTCTCGAAATTTACAGATTGATAATTGATAGTGGTCTTGTCTTTTAATTATTAAAGACTTGTTATAGAGCCTTTATATATATATTTCATATTCTCTTAGCACTACTAGCCTCCCTAATAAGTATGTCGCGATGCTTTCAGGCTTCGGCTTCGGACTATGGAGATAAAAGGAGGTAAAGAGCCCCGCACTAGGGCCACGCCCGTTTTGTCTCCGAACGCGACGGAGATTTTGTATTTGGACGGTACGGCTTTAGGCCTCGTATGTGTGTATGGTTAGCGCGTATGTACCTAACCTATGTAAAGACCTGGTATTATAAGTTTTGAGAAGTAGATGGAAGAAGTCATTGAGTACCTAACGTACCTACGGAGGCATTCTACTATTGAAGCACAACTTAACCTTTCAATTGTATGATTCATAGTCCATAGATTAGAAAGACTTTAAATAACAGCGTCACACTTAATAAAGTATTTAAACTCAAATCTGCGACTGATCTTGATTTCAGCTAAAAGCGTAGTGAACTGATAGACTATATATAGAAGCACTATAGTTAGAGGAAACATCCATGTAGAACTCTCGTTTAGAGCTCTAGTAACTATGAGTAACTCTAGATAACATGATTACCATATATATCTGCACTGTCATAAGACTCTTCTGTAACTCTGAAGCCATAATGTACTTATTAAACTCTTCCGTATGACCACGGAACATTACTAGGAACTAAGCCGGTATATCTCCTTACTTCATGCATTAGAACGAAGTGGGTGATAATCTAGGCTACCAGTGACAAACCGAAGCCGTATTCCAGACCTAAATTCCGAAACGCGAGGCCGGTATGGAAGCGGAAAGTAGCAACCACTGCTTAGTGACATGCTGGAACCTTGTGAGATCCATAATCACGACAACCTGATGGAGCAGAACTTCCAATGCTAAGTGCCTTAGGTACATAAGCGAAGTACGCCATGCTTCCCTACTCAAGTCGACATATAGCTCGCCGATCATGCAGTTGAACGAGATGCATCGTAGTGACAACACTGCATGGGCTCGTAACTAGATACCTCCAAGGCGACCGGATTGCCTCATTTTCTGCGGCAGGAGTCTTCAACAAGCTCACTGGAGGTGTATGGATATCAACCAGAGCCCGGATGACATCTATTTAGAGGTATGCCTATGAGGTAGGCAGCAAGGATGTTCGGAGGATTCCGTGACTGATGGACGAAATAGGAATATAATCGTGGGGGCCTCTCCATTTACCCCTGCAAGGACTGAATGTCAAGTTCGACGAACAATAAATTACAGAGTTTAGGTATACCGTACGACGGACCGTATCGAAGACCCTGTCTACCTCGCTAGCAGCCTCTAAAGGTAGTCTCATGTCGGAGTCATTGGAGCTTGTGGTGGTAATATCGTTTCCGCCGAGTGCACGAGATGGGAATACCGTTATAAATCTGCAGATTATTCAATAGCCTCCAAACACATCTCAAAATACAGATACCTACCACTGCCATCCTTAGCATAGCTAAAAGCCATCCAATGATGGCTGGCTTCTTCCACCAAGCCGACTGCATACTAGGGGTCCATAGTCAGTCTCAGCAAAATCTCGTAGCTAATAGTAGTTTAATTCCGAGAGTCGGCCTGATGTTATTGAAACACACTCAATTAAGCGATGATTAATGTCCGGCGCCCCCTTTGTTGGCCATTTATCACACCCAAAGCATCGCAAAGTCTCATCCAAGGTAGGCGAACGACAGGGTCTTAATATAACATTAACGTTTGGGGAATGATCACGATATTAAAGATCAGACTCATCCAGAAATTAGACATTAGGTAGCTAACAGCTTAAGGGGTTTCTGATCAGATATCGATTGAAGAGACACGGGCCCCGGCCAAGCAGCCAAGCCAGCCACCTTTAACGGGAAATGTTTCAGTCCCCGCCAGTCCACAAATGAGATTCTGTATGTAGAAACGAAGATAGTTTTGACGTCATGTCCCATATTTGCTTGTCTATTACTGTATCAGTAACGGTCGCGTAGGGCTGAGACTTTCCTCTAGAATGCAATATGATAGGTGTTTATCATGGTCTGAACGCTTCGTGATAGGTACATATGTAGAAGCGCTGGCTGTACTACTAACATTTGAGAAAGGAACAGTCGCTATTCGTATGTACACATTTACCTGTACTTAGGTAACTACAGCATATGTCTCGATGTTGTGTATCTCGAATGGCCAAAGTATCTATGTAAGGGAAGTTCTTACCGCCAATTACCCAATCAAGACCCATTAGTATCTATCTACCTACCTATGTACATACATAGAACCATCTTCCCAGCCTTGCCCTTTGTAAACTTGCACCGTTCCCATTGGAAGATCGCTGACATGTGAATCAGGGGCAGGAGGAAGTGAGAGGCTGAGAGCGACCGCCAGTGAGGGTGATCGGCGATGATAGGCCAGCCGATCACGTCGCAGCTCCACCCCCTTCGGTTTCCACACGCCGTTAATCACTAACCGTTACATAGTAGGTATCCGGATTTTCTAGCCTGTGGATCGGACCGGTTTGATGTGCGACCGCCACAAGCCAACGAGCTGTGCGGAATTGGCTCTGTCCGCCGTGAGTCGAGCGTCTACATATCTATCTTAGGACCTAGGTACATAGTGTAAAGGTCGCACCGCCAGGCGCAGCGAAATAAATGCTCACCGCGGCGAAGTCCTGACGGAGGCTCGCACACATATCTGTAATAGGTACGTGGTTGCGAGGACAGGGGACACGGCGATAAAAGCTGTGGCGGCTGGAAAGCCTCGAAACGCTTCACGGTAGCCAAGTCGACGCGACCTAGGAGACCCGGTGTTCTCATAATAAGAGGGTCTGGTCTGTTCGAAATCCCGGAATCTTCCATCCCAACGACCACACTAGACGTGCTGAGGGGACGGGCGATCGTAATATGTTTATGTGAACTATTTATTTGGGAGGTTGTGGTACCCCCTATCAAGCATATCTATATATTGTCTTCCTATATTCCTCTTTGATAGTCTACTATACAGCCTTCAAGATATTCGTTTCTACTTGCTGGATTCCCGTGTTGCATAACTAGAAATTAGCCTAATGTGAGTTTTACAAGACAGCACAATCAATACACGCTCCTCTATTGCTAACTCGATGTGATCCAGTTTATTTTTTTGGACCAGGTAGTCCTCCACAGCTCAACACCTAATCCAGTTACCCGTCGCTTCCGCATAATCCAACATCATGAAGAACTTTGGCGCGATCCTTTTCCTCTTGGCTTCAGCCGGCTCTTTCGTAACGGGCACGCCAGCATTCAGAAGTGAGAGGCGAGCTGTTTCGGCTGAACGTATGTTTTAAACCCCCAGTCTCTTTTTTGCATATATAAGGATATATATGAGGTCGAGAGAAAATGCTTGAATATGCTCGCTAACTAATCTCATAGCTGCCAGCATTGCGGCTCGGGCGCTAGAACTTGGTATGATAACTCATATTATCTATAGTCTAAATCCGGCTAATAATATTTAGCACCCAAGGTTAAAGTCGGAAGTAGGTCAAACGACACAGAAAATGCGGTCAAGTCCCTAGGTAAGTATACCGGCTTTTCGGGCAGTATCGCTAGGTAGGTAGCTTTGGGCTAACTGATAGCAATAGTGATCCCAAGGGGCGTGAATTCTACGGACGAGAATGTGGCCGGCTCTTTAGGTTAGCATTTATAAGATACCGTGATCAATAAGATGACTTTGGCTAATGCGAACTTCAATAGTTACCCGCAGGAATGGAAACTTCTCCGAAGTCGCAAACGAGAAACGGTCTCCTGGTAAGTCGCAGCAGATTCCAACTATCATCCCAAGGAGTGAATGACCGTTAACGTATCGCCATCTTATAGGTCTTCACCAGCGACGAGGAAACCTTATGATGAGGTCCTCATTGAACGAGACTGATGTCTAGAGGGTTAGTCGGAGCGAAGACGCCAGATAATGGGTGAAGAATTGCGTGGAAGGTTAAGAATGCAGAGAGGATATCACCGAGTACGTCGCTCGACTTGAACTGGGTTTCAGGATAGATAGGTTCTACCACAGGTTGGAATATAATAGATATAGATTTACACGCTGAGATCGTCGGTGCTACTGCCGTGTCTTAGAACATAGGCGTACAGATGCGACCGATGTCTAAAGTACTGCTAGATTGTGTGCCGTACGTGTGCTCTATCTTGTGTGATTAGTATTCGCTGCTAATTTTCTATCTCATAACGCAGATGGACTCGTAGAGGCTACTCGTTGATCTAAACATCAGCCGAAATGACAAGATGGTTATGAGTGAACCACAAATTCATGGTAGCATGAACAGCCGGTGCCCACAAAGCCTTTATCTTGTTGATAAAGGGCAATATAGTTCTCGATAATGTCATAATTAGCCTCGATTCAAATATATTAAGAGGCATTATGATAGTAAGGGTATAATAGTACCAGCAGATAACGACATGCGGTAAGAAGGATGAATTGGCTTGTAGCCGGGTCCAATCATATTTTGAATCCTACTTGGGGGGTTGCACCGCGGCAGTAACCTGACGATCCTTTCTAGATCAAAAGAGAACCTTTAACGTCACTTTTAATCTATTATAAATCGGAGCGACATCGTCGTAGAATATAGTCATCATTTGTAGCGTCCGAGTAGTAGTAGAACGATATGATGGATTAAAAAGTACGTAATTCTAATTCCGCGGGACTAAAAACCCAAAGTTAGTCATGAGCTTTGAAATACTATTCAATTTTCCCTTGTCGTGAGAGCAAAGCAAATATATACAGCTGAAAAATCGTGTCGTAACGCCGAATCCAAAAGCCTTCGCAGGATCAGGATATCTTCATGATATCTGATCGAAGGGCAATCGTCAAAGTCCTTGATGTTCTATGACGATAGTTAAACCACCCATTGAGTTGGTATATTCAAACACAAACAATCCCTAGTCAGCTCATGACACCATGTACACAGGCCTAATGTAATTTCATCTATCGTTTGTCTTCTTGATGGACATCCCCATTGCTTCTTCACCGCACTTCGTTCACGTCGACAACGTCAGGTCTCCAGTCACGAGAGCTGCTCTTTGACGAGGAGCCGAATCCCGGCATCGATGAGAATCGATTTAATCGCTTCTTCTGCGCTGGTGTCTGGGGTTCCGTGTTATAACGGCTTCTCGGCTCTTCGACGATAGCACTATGACGTCTATTAGGCTCTTCGACCGGCGACGAGGCGGCAGTGGAGGAACTATTGGTAGATGATCCCGTGGTATTGGGGGTCTGGTAGATGTACTCGCCATCGACGTAGATGGCATTGCTGATGAAAGCAGAGCGGCGATGGCGGTTGCGCGTGTAACGCTGCTCGAGCCGGAATAGCTCAAGCTTGGCTTGAATCTTTTCGATGAAGCTCGGCATTGTGACGAATTCGATTCCTAGTTACTCTTCTTGGAGCGGGTTTCTTGTGCTTCACGGTGGCGTCGTTGACCTTTTTTTGGCAATCCAATTGGTATTACGACTAATATGTTGAGGAGTCAATGGCGCGACTCAAATCTCCTTGGTTGGTTTAATTGATGTCTATTGTGTTCTAACAGGTACAGTCGTGAGGTTTTTGGTATGAAAGAGTGCGTATACAGTAGCGATCGATGTATGTTTCCGGTCAATTCGGAAACTAGGTTACTCGTGATAAACGAACGAAAGGGAACAGTCCTGTGTTCACCGGGTATGCAGTCGGGTTTATCAGTGACTAGTAAAAGAATGGAAATTGGGGGTTGGGGGAGGAGAGAAGAGAATAAAAAGAGGCGAGAAGATTAAAGACGAGTTAGGACGAGTTAGGAAGAGTTTATTGACAGGGGAAAGAGAGTTTGCATAGAAATGAGCTAACAGGGTCAGGAACGAGTGAAGATGGTAAGATGGGAAGATGGGAAGGGGAAGTTCAGCTACCTTAGCTGCTTAGGTACAGACAGAGTATGATTTGCCTAAGCTCGCTAATGATCAATTGCAGCTAAATGCAGCCAAAGGCAAGGTTTTAGGCTTCGGCCCCCCCTGCCGTCGCAGAATGTCTAGCCGGATTAGCCACTAAGCCAGCCACTAAGAAGCACGCGAACAAGTGGAATATTAGCAGAGCATTCATTACCCCCCGGGGGTCTGTACCAAGATTATTCTAGCACGTGTTCGCTCCCAGTTTACCCTGATAAAGCCCCGTCCTAGCCTGTCTAACATGCATAGAGCCTTACCCGTTACGATAAAGCGCCTGCATAGACCAACGCAGGGGAAACCACGTTTCAGCCATGGGCCAATGCGCACCACTTGAACCTTTCAAATCCAGTGGCATCTTTGATTTGTTGGGTCCCTTTTTAAGACTAGGCGAGGAATGAAAAGTTGCAAACTTATCCATCATCGACTCCCAAATCCGGGGTTATCTAGACCGATCGAAGATCCTATGGATATAGAGAGACATAATCTTGCCTATCCACCGCAAATCGAAAGTTATTTTCATAGAGAAAAGGGCGGAGCAAAAATTAAGGCCAATTGCGAAAGCCAGCAAAGGGGCAGAAACATGAGGCAAACCAAACCAACAAAGAACATCAATGACGAAAACCTCCAATTGAAATGATGCAAAGTCCCTTTGCATATGACCCCCTCGGGGCTGGTTACTTCCACTTCAGAACCATCAATTTTTCGAATATCTATGCCGAGAATGGATGGCTGTTACAATGCAGATAATATATTCGCAAGCACAATTCCAATGTTAACAACCTTGCGATTTACGGATTGCAAAGGTTATGCGTTAGCTACCTACCTCCTGGGTAGATCACTATGCGCATAATCAGTGTCAGAAATCCTGGTGTTGCTCACAGAACTTGACACATGCAGAGCCACCGCACAGATGGAATACGCTGAATTATCTTCACCATTATAATAGGAAATATCTTCAATATGCAAAACGACGGAATGAGTGCGTATATTCGCATTTGTCATCGCGTCGATAAGATTGCATATCATTGCCAACTAGAGATAGAACCACCTCGCACTAACCAGTGTTCCCGAATTTGTTCTGCTAGGGAGACTGACGTTGTGTAGGCCTTTCTCATCTTGACATCATCGACATGCTCTTTATTCCATTCTAGGATCTCTAACGCCATCCCCTCTAGCGTGGTGAGTACGCCGGTATATCCCAAACCACCTTGAGAAACCGGCTTCCCGATCTCGTCATTCGATGCGATTAGATGAGTGCATATCGAGAAAATCCCCGGCTTGAGGTGTTTGATATCACTTTTAAGCTCAGGTAGTACTTTGCGTAAAAGCGGATACTTATAAGGTAATTCGGCATACATCTCTACCGCATGCGAGAGGAGAAGCATGACGACGGGTGGCACCTTGATAACGCGAAATGGGTGCACCGAAAGGGTCTCGATCGCGTGATACAGATCACTGTACGTGATTGGTGGGTTGGGATCTGTTACTACGAACGGCCGACCCGCCTGTCTAGAGCTCTCTATCCAAGGCCGAGCGAGCGCTGCCTCATGCTGTAGGTGCGCGATAGATACATTCGCGCCGTGTACAAAGCTCTGTACGATATGGGACACCCAACTATCATTATTCATATTCGTGTAAGCAGCGTACACCGAACCAGACTAGGTAGCAGAGAGAACCCACCTAGGTAAGACCGTTCTCCCAAGAGGATCCCCGACGGTATTATCTGTCGGGTGTCCGTAGACGCCATTCGCAGGACGAATGCAACCGGTGCGAAATTTCTCGTCGTTCGAATCGCAGACAAATCTTTCTGCGATCGCTTTCGAAGCAGGGTAGTTGGCGAAGTATTCCTCACGTTCTCTCAAAGGCGCGTTAAAGTCGTCTACATCCAGAACCTGCCAAAAGTTTCGTGGCGAGCTTGCCCATGGGAATACAAACGGTTCGACAGGACGAATAGATATGGATCCCGATGACGTGGAGCTGAAAATATCCGCACCGGCTCTACGGGCGGCCGCTAGCACGTTCTTCGTCCCTATCACGTTGACGGCTTCTGGGAATGCGTACTGAAATTTAGACCGTTCGGAAGCTAGGATCACCGCGGCAGTGTGGAATACTGTCAGCGGTAGATGAGCAACGCTGGGATTCCATGGACGCGCAAAAGCAGCATCAACAGAATCAGATGACGTGATGTCTGTTTTTACAAATTCGACCTCTGTAGCCGGTCTGGAGCGCATATCATTACGCTCGGTCTTCCGAATATCAATAATTCGGATACTCTCTGGTAGGTTACCACGAGCTAGAAGCTGGAGCACGACGAAACCACCCACGAGCCCTATAGGTAGGCGTTCGGGCTTTAGACGGCATTCTCTATGAGTAAAAGCCGGGGCTTAAACAAAGGCACTCACCCGAACCTCCTGTCACGATGTAGCGACGCTCTAGTTTCGGCGGAATTTTGGTAGTATAGTCAATTGGTCTTTCCTGCAACCGCCTATAAGTCTCATTCAGCTGATCTATCGTCCAACGTGAACCCGACAGCTGCCTGACCTCATCCGGTGTCTGGCTTAGAAGCTGGTTGACCCGGAGTAGGTATAATACGAGGACCGCTAGTACAGCCCAGAGAACCCTATATGCCCACCCGACCACCTCGAACATGACGATGGGCAAGGCCGATAAAATATCAAATACACTTAAACATTAATTTAGCCAGTAATGCGATGTAAAGGTTAAAGACTGAAAAACATTGCCGGATGCGACGGACCCCTTTTCGGCCTCTTGTGGCTAATGGAATAATAATATAAATACATTATGCAATAAACCCATATTAGCTAGACTCGCACCCTAACAACGACAGATGACAGCTATGCTTCCAACATGACGACCAGTGATGACGACTAGACCTCAGTCTAACGGAAAATTCTCTCTAACAGGAAGGTATCTCAGCCAAATCAACGAAATCAGAACAAAATATAAATCACAATCACAAACTTCCGTCAACCATAGCCTGCTGGATCAATGCGCATCTCTTACTCCATAAATCATCTATCCCCATCCTAAAATCCTTATACCCCAGCTCTAGGATCGTCGAATTCTGTCCGTACTTCGGGAACTGAGGCCTACCAGCCCCGTTCGGGTTTCCGGTTTTAACAAATGTGATGATGTAGTCTTGCAGCTGCGTTGCTAAACGTCCGTCGACGGGCGACTTGTTATTCGACGTGCCCGTGTCGCCGTTGAAGAATACGTACGGCACGTCGTCGGCATGCCAGCCGGGCGGGTGCGTGAATACGAGGTTGAACGTGTCGTTGTCTCGCGCTCTTGATAGGTACTGCGTCGTGCACGCGAAGCTGATGTCGGAGGCTAGGCGCTCTGCTCGCTCGGCCTGCGTTTTCCATGGGTACTTGCCGCCTAGCACATCCGGGTACAGTTGCGGATCCGTAAGAAGCATGTCAATGGTCTTGTCCGAGACCGCCGGCAGGCTATTTCGTACGTATGCCTTCACGTCATCCGCGGTGTTTATGCCTCGAGGCAGGAAGGGTACGGATTCATGGGATGTATGGCTTATGAATAGCTGGTTCGCGAGTGTTAGCAGCACTTTATTGAATATTGGATCCTATTAGGCAAGGGGAAGCCACTCACGTCAACGGTAGTGTCGAATTTTCCTTGGTAAAGTAGCCTCTGCGGTATATCCGTCACAAATGAGCCGTCGGGTCCGGGACCGAAGCCAAATGTACCCACGGGTGCCGAGGTAACAGTCTTTTGGTTGATAACCCGCAGTAGATCAGCTGGTAGTAGACGTAGCCGGTTCACGTCGTCGATTTCGTATCCGGTTTGGTTGGAAGCCTCCCTCAACGTTTTAAGATAATTCTCATCCAGATCGATGTTATATTGGAACGCAGGGGACAGAATAACCGCCTTTAGAAATGGACTAATTACCTCTGCGCCGTATGCCGTGAGCTGGTGGACGATACTCGCAGCCCCTGCGCTCTCGCCCATGACCGTCACTCTATCCGGGCTGCCTCCGAATAAGACGATATTCTCGTTTATCCAGTCCAGAGCAAGACGCTGGTCGTAAAGTCCGAGGTTTGGCGTGACATCCGAGCCGGATAGCCAACCATACATACCCAATCGGTAGTTGATCGAGACTACTATGGTTCCCTGCTGGTTATCTGTTTGAGATCTGGCAATCAGACCGGCTGGGTTGCCGTATAGATCCTTAGACCCGAATGTGAAGCCGCCGCCGTGGATCCACACGAGGACGGACGCTACAAAGTTCGTGGTTATTAGGTATTCATGTAAGGTACGTATGCTAAGTCATGCTAGCAGTATCATAATGCGACTCACCATTAGCATCAGGGCCCTCCTCGAAGATTGGCTTGGGCACGTAGACGTCGAGCACTAGACACGCCTCCGTCTGACCGGTTTGGTTGTTAAGCGTAGACCCCAACGTAACGTTGTCGATTCCGCTTTGTTCTGCCATGAGGTTGATAACCCATTGCGGGTAAGCCTGAGGGCACATGACGACATCGTCGATGCCATGCCTGTGGTCCGGTGGTCCTTCGGTTTCGACGATAGCCTGGGGCTCTTTGAAGCGCAGCTCGCCGACCGGCTGATGCGCGTACGCAATGTTGTTGAAGATGTAGTAGTTGCCAGTTTCCTATGCCAACCAGTTAGCACCCTCCAGGTAAGCTCCTAAACTCTTTTTCCTCCAAGCGGTAAATACACACAAGCAACCATCTCGAATTTGAAATGAGTTAGCTAGCTGGGGAGGGATAACGAACATTTACGATTCCGTGACGAACTTCGTATCCTAGGTCTACGGATGGAGGAAGTTGCCGCTTCTCGTTGTGGCCGAAAGCTACGGAGAAGACGCTTGCCGCGACGGCTAAGTAAAGCCAAGAAAATAACTTGAGGCTAGACATCGTGTGAAATAAATGGGTTTGAAGTGACGTGAGGTAGAATAAGAAAGGTGATTAGGAAAGGCCATGGGCAAGGCCCGTATTATATATACTATTTGTACCCCACGCTCGGTGCCATTCAAATGTTGTTATGCCTAGCGTGCACCAGTAGTGCCAGAGTTTAGATATGAGTAATGTCTAAGCGCCAACCGTGTACACGAGCGCATGGGCTTACCTTAAACTTACACTTGGGTAGTACATCAGGGGACGTATACCTAATGAAAACTAGCTACGCTCGATAGAAAACTATAGTATATCCCCTCTCGAGTAGAATCCGGTCGGGCGTTTTCTGCATCTACCTACCTAGGTATATAGGCCCGAATAGGAAGGTTATCTGAGCCAAGATCTGCCAGGCCTGGAGCGTGTCTTCACAGCCACTAGACTCGGAGCAGAGAAGGGGAATAGAGGGCCTCGTAGCCGTGATGTAACCCTCTGTGCTTCGTGCGCTCGTGCCGTATAGGTTAGGTACCTAGGCTAGGTAGGCTTGGTGGAAACGGCCATTGGGTCAATATGTTGAGATAAAGTCCCATAGCGCTATAGGATAGGATATGCCTAGTACATACTCGCCGAGAAGGAGTACAGGAAATCATTAGATGTAGTAGTACGTGTCCCCTTAGTAGGTTCTCCTCAGCCTTAACCAGCAGCTAGACAAATACATACTCTCCTAGCTTTCCTAGTCCTAAGGGGTAAAGTTTTTAAGCCCCTGAATACCTCCGAGTTACTGCCATCATTGGAAATAACATTCTGAGTTCCAGTGGGAAATAGAGTTCACAATTAGTCCAAAATTTACCATGGTTTAGGTATAGTTTAACAAATATTGTACTAAATAATTGTTGAGCAATAGTGCTATGACAAATTTGCCCCTTAACAGCTAGGCAACAACGGACACTGACCTACGAGGATCGCACTCTAATACACTAGTGGGATGAGCGTTTTGATCTAAACTGGGGGTTGTAGATCCAGTGAGGCGATAGTGCCTTGGAGAATAGTCATGGTAGCTACTAAACCTGCACTAGAGTTTATTCAACAGACACTGCTGACTATCCCCCCGCCAGAAGCATAGGTAGTACCTTGAAGTCATCATGTTCTTCGCGGAGTTCTCCATGGGTTACGATGTTGCTACTACACAACTGCTTATTTTATACAACACACTCAGGTTACTATGCCCTACCATAGCCCCTAGGATTCTTAAAAATGACTATTTCGATCGGGCGCGATCCCCAAAGGATGTCTGCATAGCTCTATTCTACCCAAGATCAACGAACACTTAACATGTTCGTCGTGGCCGAGGCTTTTGAAAGCTGACATTCCTTTCATTTACTTTTCTCGCTAACAACTCCTTCTTTCTTTCCGTCGGAGTTGAACAGAGTTTCTTGAGCTGCAAGCCTTAAGTTAGAATCTGAAGTTATTGAGGTTACATGTGTCACTTTCCGGGGTTACTTACCGCTCCAGAGCTCCGAGTATAGCCCACCTTGGTCGATAAGCTCTTTGTGCGTCCCTTGTTCGGCCACTCTGCCTTCCCTTAATACGATGATCAAGTCGGCATCGTATATAGTTCGTAATCGATGGGCTACGAACACGCTCGTCCGTGCCTTTTCCCGGAGGATACTATTAATGTTTTGCATGAGTGCCTGTTCCGTATGTGTGTCCAGTGCGCTCGTCGCCTCATCAAAGAATAGCAGAGGCGGATCCTTTAGTAGTAACCTGGCGACTGCAAGACGTTGCTTCTCTCCTCCACTGATCATCATACCCCTCTCGCCAACCTTGGTGTGGTATCCGGCAGGCCAGCTAGAAATAATATCATGGATTTGAGCACGTTTGGTGGCTGCGATCACTCGGTCTGGGGGCGCCGACAGATCACCATACTTGATGTTATGTTCAACGGTATCGTTGAAAAGTGGAGTGTCTTGCGGGACAACACCGATGGATTTTCGCAGCGATTCTAGCGTAACGTGACGAATGTCTTGATCATCGATGAGAATGCGGCCATTCTCAACATCATAGTATCGGAAAAGGAGTCTTAATATTGTAGATTTTCCACACCCACTTGGACCTACGATAGCGACCTTTTTACCGGCAGGAATTGTCATTGTTAGATCCCGGAGGATGGGGCGCTCTGGATTGTAGCCGAAGTTTACATTCTGAAACTTAATCTCGCCTCCTTTAGAAAGATGAAGCGGCTTCGCATCAGGGAGTTCCTTAATAGTAACATTCACTTTTTGTAAGTTGAAGAGAGTCTCCATGTCAAGAAGGGATTGCCTGAGCTCTCGGTAAACCGAACCTAGAAAGTTCAACGGGACGGAAAGCTGAAAGACGAGCTGGTTGACCATGACCAAGTCGCCAACTGTCAGGGAGCCGCTTGCCACGCCGTTGGCGGCAAGGTACATCATGGCTGTCAGGGCACTCGAGAAGATGATGTTCTGGCCGCTGTTGAGCAAAGCTAACGAAGTCGCAACCTTGATGGAGCTCTTTTCGTATTCCTGAAGCGCCTTGTCGTATCGAGAAACTTCAAACTTTTCGTTGTTGAAATACTTGACGGCCTCGTAGTTTATCAACGAGTCGACGGCTACTGTCGAGGCCTTGTTATCTGCGGCGTTGGCCTGCCTTCGAAACTTGGTTCGCCAAGAGGTGGTCCAGATAGTAAATGCAGTATACGCGGTCATCGTGACAGCCGTGATGGCAGCATATTGCGCGCCATATTGCCAAGTGAGGATTCCACATACCATGCCGATCTCCAAAGCCGTGGGGAAGATATGAAATACCATACTGGTAAGTAGAAAGCTGATACCTTTGGTACCTCGGTCGATAGCCCTTGTCAAACCACCAGTCTGCTTGGTGAGATGGAAGTTAAGGTCTAGGCGTAGTAGGTGATCAAAGACATTACAAGCAACCTTCCGTATAGCTTTCTGTGCTACCGAGGCAAATACGGCATTTCGCAGCTCTTGGAAAACAGTAGCCCCTATCCTCGTTGCGCCGTATGCTACTATCATGCTTCCAGCTATCATAGCGGCGGTGCCACCCGTCTCTCCCACGTCAATATTCATAGCATCCACAATGCTCTTGAAGTAGAAGGGTACTTGGACGTTTAACACCTTGGCTCCGACGAGAAGTACAACAGCCAATGACACGCGTAATTTAGTGTCGAAGCCATGCTTTGGCCATAGGTAATGCGCCATCTCTTTCATTATTGCCCAGTCCGCTTTTCGTTGCTCCTGGGCGCTTTTATCGATCGTGGCGAGAGGATCTTTCTGCGTGGTGGGCGGCTTATTGGCGGCATTGGAGCTAAACTTGGCTATACCCGGTTGCGTATTCGAGGTCAAGCTCAGGATATGAGGCTTTCGTAAGGAGTATTGCGACGTCGCGAAGATGCGCGTGCCACTACGCGACGGTGAAAGCCATGGACTTAATTGTGGTCTATTCAAGCCGAGGCAGCCCGGACAAGGGGCAGTAGCCCGGAGGACCATTCTGACAACCATGACTACGGATATAGGACATCGAACATCGTGGATTGTGCGTATATGTCGGAATATTGAGGAGGGTGGAGTGGTGGATTACTTTATAGCGTCGAAAGGCTTTAAGAAGCTATATTAAAAAAATTGGAAGCCGGATCGCCGAATTCGGGTTAATAGCTCTTACACAGGTATACCTAGGTAATCTTTTAATTATAAATACCTACCTATATTTCCGGATGTATCGGACAGAAGTGTCGGGTCGGTACTAGGATAGTTACAATAGGTAGCTGTATGTATGTAGAGTTTAAATGAGGCAGTAAGGGAGCATCAGTATATATTTTGCGATTGATGGAGGGGCTCTTGCTCTCGACGTCAGATCCCGCAAGCATTGCGCGACTACCCCGGCCGAGGATCCCTTTCCATCAAGGTAATTGCTTAAGAGAGTTAGCGCGTGTAGGGTTTATGTACCTCATACTTTGGTAGGGTACCCCTGTTGAAGAGATTACATAAGAGATAAGCTGGTAATTTAGGTGGGCTTGGCTTAATATTTAGAAACTTTGCTCATTCAACATCGCTTTACTTATACCAGCGCAAGTTATTTTTTAAAGAATAGTCCTTGTCTCCTAACATATATCCTCCCACATATAGGTAATGAATATCGCCCTCAATTTACGCTATCGTCTCCCGGGAAAGGAAGCCTATAAGCAAGTAATTCCAGCGGCTCACCAATCCTATGCTCTTGCGTATCCGGCTCCGTGTACTTCGAGAACTGTATAAACCCAATTTTTGCCAAGACCTTCTGACTTCCTATATTTGGCATGTCTGTGTTGGCATGGATCTGTTCTATAGCATCCACACTGCTTCCTTTCTGAATAGATGTCGAATGAACCCGAAGTTTGGTGTGCCTTCTAGGCAAATCCCACCAAGCCTTGAGCAACGCCCTTAGGAACTCAGTCGCGTACCCCTGGCCCCAAACCTCTTTCCTGAACCTGTACCCGATCTCGGGCCAACCACAAGATGAAGACTCTAATGTATGGATACCTCCTTCTCCGATCAATTCGCCCGTAGACGGAAGGAAGACACCGTACAAAAACGTCTCGTCGCTGTGTGGCGGTAAGAATTTGTTCAGCGTTGATCGAGTCTCTTCAATGTCGTGGTCAGGTCTCCCTTGTCGACTACAGGCCATTGTTTCTGGCTGTAAGCGCATCGCGTGGTAAGCCTGAAGGTCGTCCTCCCGCATTGGTCGAATTAATAGTCGCTCTGTCCGGATTGGCTGCCGCTGAGAAATTGGTAGAAGTGGTACGTGTGGAAGCGTGGTTTCCACAAAAGCCCATGGTCCCTCCATGTTGTGAGCGAAGATGTTATGCCAAGTGTGAAGTTTTTATTTTTTGTATTTTTCACTTTTTGATGGATATCAGAGTGTAGTTTATATGAAGCCTTGTATAAACATCACTAATTACCTCCTACGCCGCAGCGATTTCGGGATGACTCATTCGGACTGAGAATACGGAGTCATCGGGCTGGGTCCCACGGAACGGCACTGCTAATCAACATACCAGTTCAGATCAACTCCATAACATCACTCACTAAATAAACTAATTGGCTTATTCCAGGTATATTCTAAATTTCATTATTGGGTGCCTTAGGAAAACTATGATTAAGGTAGACAGCTACCTATCTTTTCACATAAAGAATGACATGCGAGAATATGAGCGTGTTGTAATTGAATGTGATTGTGCTGTTTCTTTCTAGTAGGATAAAGAACGACATTGCCCTTTGACTATAGTAATAAGAACATTGTAATAACCTATATAATCCCAATTGTCTTTTCAAAAACAATGGTATTATCCGTGACGTATGTTATAAGGTAAGTTGAGCGTTGGCTCGGAAGAAAAGAAAATATTTCCCTAGGTTTTTCTCTTTAAAGTCGTTCGCTATTTGGGTAAGGTTTGGGTAAGAATATGCAGACATGGCGCCCTACACCATGTTTCACTCACACGGTAACAATACATCCGTCACTCCCAGATGGCTGACCACCGAAGGAATAGCAACTACATTAGCCCGTATATTCGACCGCGGATCTTTCCAACTATCTCGACGAGGTGACCCGTATCATAGGAACTTCGTCACATATATCATCGTGGGATCTGTTGTATTCCTGTTTCTTTTAGTTATCCCGGTATTCGCCGTATGTCGCCGGAAGACTCGTTGGGGGAGCGCGCAACGGAACGTTCCTTCTAATACATCTGCTGGAGTTAATAACTGGCCCAAAACTACTCCTACATGGCCCACGCCTGAGAGTTGGGAGCAAGAACTTCGCGATTGGAGAGATATGCATTGGGCAACGCAGGCGGGAACTTCTGACCATTTTATCGTCCCTCCAAGTTCAGCCTATGCTAGTAAAAGGAGGCTTCCCGTCTACCAGGATGGAGAAAACGACGACGAGGTGTTTGTTGTTGGCAGTCTGGACGACGATGACAGACACCATGAGGGACTTAGGAGTCCTATGGTGATTGATATCTCTACAGCAACGGCGATGCCAATAAAAAATGTAAGCGGCCGTCAGAAATCCATCGATTTGGGTTCGGCGAAAGGTAGGGAATCCTGGGCGTCTTCCGCGCCAAGTTATTGGGATAGTATAGTTGATGATGTGGTAAAAAAGGACTAAACATGGTGTTACGAAAGCATTAGCATACGAACGTCGCGCTCTTACCGGCATAATTAGGCGAAGCAGTATAGTTGTAAGGTTATTGCTGAAATTATTTTTAGTTTCAGGTGTTTTATTAGTAAACATAAATTTAATAATTGTATGAATATTCGAGAGAAAAATATCTTCCTTAAAATGAGTAACTAGTAGTTGAGAACACTGCAACATAGGTACTGTAACGTTTTCAATGCGGGTAATTGTAAAAGGGATAATCCTTTATTCCAATCAATTATTGATTACATTGAATGTCTTGAATATTTTTATATCATGCCTAAGACCAATTTATTTCATCTCGTGATCTAGTTTGACGAAGTAGCCTTTATTGTTGGGATAATGCCTTTTAGCTTCTACCCCTAGCCCCTATTCAGCACAGCCTTAACATGGTATCACACTATAGCGATACAATTAAGACACCAATTACAGGCCGTTGGGAGTTCTTTGCAGTTGCTTAAGAGGCGATCCGTGTTATTAATTCTGTTGGCATTTATGCTAATAGTTCCCATTGGCCTCGGCACTAGTACCACTTTCTTGCAATACTACAGCACTCGATTCCATAAAAGCCTTGAGGACGCGGGCTACATTTTAGCAATCAAAGGGGGCCTCACAATCATAGTGATGGGAATAGTACTCCCAGGGCTTTCCAAGTTCTCGAATTTCCCCGCCTCATCCATAAGGTTGTCGACATTCCGCAAAGATCTTCTCTTAGCGCAAGCATCCGCGGTATTCCTATTCTTCGGGTTTCTAGCCTTGGCTGGTCCGTATATTAATTTCGTCGTTACTGGGCTGGTAGCCTTGACATTTGGTAGCGGTCTTGGCCCTCTTTGTCGTTCACTTCTTACCAATTTTGTCAAATCTGGACAAACCTCACAGCTATTTACCCTTGTCAGTATTGTAGAAACTATTGGGTCTCTAGCCGGAGGGCTAGTATTAGCCTGGACTTTCTCGATAGGCTTAAACCTTCAGGGGTTTTGGGCTGGGCTACCGTATATTTTCCTCTCTATGCTGAGTCTTCTTATTTGGGTTACGCTTTGCTTCGTTAGGAGTGAGAACTATATGGACAGTGGATACTAGGAATTCTACAATAACGTAGCTGGATGTTTCAGAGAAGATATCTCCCATACGAATATGTAGAAATATGTTAATAGTAGGTCTTAACAAGACGTCTTTATGGCACGATAGGTACCGCTTTAAATACAGAATTCATCAAGGGAGCGGATTGAGGATTAGGCATGAGGTATAGAATAGGGGAGACAAGAGCAGAGTCCAATGGTACAAGACAGTATAGCCCATTCACCTAGACCTTGATAAACTCCCAAGCGGTACCATCACCCTTTGTAGTAACTAGTTTCTGGCCGTCTTCCGCGATTACCATTTTCCATAGCCAATCTTTATAATGCGTCAAAAGAAGATAGCCGCCGTCCGGGTGCCTTTGAGTGCAGAAGTACTCGTGGGCTTTATGATGTCTAACTTGGGCGATGAAGGTACCGAGGCTATCATGGCCCATGTACATACTGTGTATAGGATCGCAGAACCCTAGCCATCCGTTCTTCTCGACGCAGATCCAATGATAACCCCCCTGATCACCCTTGTGCGGCTCGAGGCGGAGGTCTCCGCGGACAATGGTAAGTTGCTTCCCTGAAATAGGTTCGCGTATGATAAAGGTGTGGCCTGGCCACGGTACTGTTTCTTTGCGTTGTGGAAGCGGGGGTGTCGTGTGGTAGTCACTGAGAAGGTCATCTGTCATCGTTGAATGCGTAGGCGTTGCATCACCCCCGACTGTTGAACTAGATGTGCTCATTTCGGCAGGAATTGACTCATGGAGATGGGATTTGGTGTCGATTTCCATATTGTCGAGAAGCTGGTTGCGAGTTTTAAGACGCGAGATTCTGCCGTTTGAAGGAGGGGTAATTGGTAAATTGGACTTATCAAACGGTTGGCTCATTGAAAAAAGAAACAAAAAGCCTGTGCCACCTTGCAGGCTTGGGAGGCCTCGGTCGTCGCGGCCGCATGCCGTTACCACAGCCTCAGGCTATCAATTATCACTTCTATCCTGAATTTACCAAAGTTTTATTGTATTGCTGGTTATTTCTCTATGGCAGGATGTATTTTAAATTTCCTGAGTTTATATGAGATATTATAGAGTAATTAATTTTGATTGTTTTTTATTTTTACTTTTTAGGTACCTAATCATCCCCTTCAAGATGCTTTAAGTTCTTCAATTCACCAGGTTATGATTCGTATGTGACTCAATGTAAATATAGTAGGTATTTAGGTTACCTAGGACTTGAGAGGATAATGAATCCTCATACATTACAACGATAATCACCCGAAGCCTCCATCGATAAACACAAGCGGAGCAGGTAGAGAAGATAAGTCGATGTAGGGTGCTTTATATTAACCCGGAATCAGACCTGCCATTGATCATAAATCGCTAGACCATTTTAGGACGTCACGACGAGACGAACAGGTCCAGTATGCCTGGGATTTGTATGAGACCCGCCATTCTTGGAGGATTAGTTACAACTGCCGCAGCAAGCGTATCGGCGGTCGCAGCCTGATGCTGGTAGTGGTCTGCATAGTTTTCACCAATACCATCTTCATCATAACCGTTAGCGCCTTACTATATTGCTCGTTAAGGCTCCAGTTGGCAGGAGTTTTGGATTCGGATGGGTGGTTCTTGGTAGCACTCCCGTAATGGAATCTTATTTTCAAAATTATGACCCATCAAGAGTACTGATGAGCCGGATGAGAGATAGGTATGCCGGCTTTTAGGTATTGGTTATCTTTATAACCTACGTTGATTTATAACCCACGAAGCTAAGGTAATATATGTCTAGAAATCGTGTTCATTTATCTCGACTCTATCGTTGTTAGGGGTAGTTATAGGGGTATCTGTTATATAAAGGGCGCAGAGCCCTCGTAGGAGGATAGAAGGCCAGGCGTTACTAGTTGAATACAATCTATTACTTGGTCTACCTACCCTAGACACTCACTATGTGTATGACTAACCTCAACGAGCATTAATCCTGACACAGGCATATAGTCGGTTTGAAACCTAAGAATATTAGCGTTTTTGACAAAAAGAAATTGAACTCATTAAACAGCTAGTTTACCTACCTACCTCCTAGGCATGTTCTAGGCAAGAATTACTAATGGTGCAGATATTCATCCGAAGATAAGTCCTAATACGCTGATGTTCCAATACTAGGTAGTCATCAGGAACGTAGACGACACTAATCAGCATTGGTGCTACATCATGACTCAAAAATGAATAAACAATGAATCAAAACCTGAAAGTGTATCTGTCACTTGCAATCATATTCACCTGAGAGATAAGTATATATACAACACCTACCATCCCTCGGAGATACTCTGCTACCCTTGAACTAAAATTCGTTTCCCAAAACACGCCTCGCATAACATACTCAAGTATATTAGCCTTTCCTACCAACCTCCGTGAAAGAAAGCCCGGTATTTCTATCGTACGAACAAGATGGATGATTACCCACCGCCTACGACTACATCCCAGGAATATCTCGAACTTTTACATTCGAGTATACCGCGCTTCCATCAGTGGAGAAGATCCCAGCAGCTAACCCACTGGTACCGGATTTTAGAGGAGATTAACTTGGGAAGCAACCTAGATTTGGAAAAGAACCTAGATTCGGCAATAATGGCCCATGATAAATTCCTAGCCCTACCCGAGGATTATCAACTCTGGTATATCGATCATCTACGCGCTTTTCTCGATACCACTGCAGGCTACAGGCTATTCGGGAAACCACACGCTTGGCCTGTGATATTTCAAATGCCCTTCCTGGACCACTTTATATATACCACCCGACCAGGGGGTGAGTATACGTCACCTGATCTCGGCAATTGGTTTTATTGGCTACGCTATTTATATAGGTTGTAGGAGACAACAGAAACGGTTTTAGAAGACCAAACCCTGCAAGGAAATGTACAAGCCATTATTAGAGAAGACCTCCTAGCATTTGCCATCCTTACAGGAACACTTACTATCGCTATTTCAACGGTAGCCATTACAACCAGAATTTATTACCAACAATGATCAGAATATTTGCCCTATTACCGCAGGACTTTTGATGAGCGCTAGCTGTCATAAGGCGGAGCAAGAAGCACGGAAACAACTTTGCTATTTCGCAAGTAACTCTTGGCTACCTACCTACCTAGCTATGGGAGCCTACAGCTATACGCCTTGAGAATATTCTTTATTCTACCTAGATACCCCACCAGCCCTACCTACCAGCTAGGTACAAAAATGCAAGCAAGAGTGGCGAGGAGCAACTGTCATAAAATATGCCTTGCCTTTGAAGCTTAGCGTGGCGATGTTAATAGGTACTAGAGTAATAAATCAACGTCCCGGATGGGGTCATTTTCGCGGTTATTTAATATGCCAAGTAGCGAGCTGATACTGCATACTACCTGACCAGCTTGCCTACAAACTACCTACGTTGCACTCGATGTACACATATCATCTTAAGGCATTTTCATTCACATATTGCTTCGTGAGGTTATTCAGACCCACTTTTGTGCGTATTCATGTAGTATAATTGGTGGTTAAGATTAAATTGTGAGTGGCTTATTTTGGCTTGGTACGTTGCTTTTGTGGCTTAGGCAATTGGAAATAGGGGCGGGCGCTATCAGACTACCTACCTAGGTAATAAGCCCCTAGGCCCAGCCCCGGGGCTCAAGCCAATCCGTAAATGTCGCTGGTAAACTAAATAATAAAGTCAATTATTGGACTTGAATCGACTTTCCTGTAGCCAGGCTTTGAGTAAAATCTTGCTTGACTTAGCTTGTTGAGACCGCTGTCAGAAGAATAGGGGTAGATGAACGCCTGTGTTATACAAACACCACCTGACTGGATTTTTATCCGAGAGGTCTGGATTCGCTTGCTCCTGGCTTAAGGCGTTCTAACTCACTTTTGTATCTGAGGAGCTAAATGGTAGATGGTACTATATAAACTTCGAGAATATTAGCTTAGGTGGGACACCAGATTAACGGTCCTGGACGTAAACAACGACGTTAAATGCCAGGACCTGGCACTTATTTTTGACTGTGACGATAATAACAAAACCAATATTTAAAACATGACCGAGAATTCCCAATTCTTTGGTCGTTACGATCCTCTAAGACGAGATGAAGGGTCACGAGAAGGAGGTCACGGGATCTCATGCATCAGTGAATCGAGAACGAGGGTTCACGATTCAACGATTCACTCGGAATATATGGAGGGTATAGTGAATATAAGAAGGGAGGATCTCCTTGTGTATCTAGGTACCTAGGTAGTCATTCATCTTACAGTTATCAATCTAAGCTTAGTATCTACACATACTCAGGGGAAGGACTCCAAGCCTTCCTGACGAATACTTCAGTATTACTTACCTTTTCCCACCTTATATCGTATTTTTACTGCTTACCTAAAATCAAGACTCGATCAGCACCATACTTTAATGTACCTAAGTTTAGGTTCGTCACATTGGTGTCATTTCAGTTGACACCCTTGAGGATAAGGAAACGACTTACACGCTGCATATTAAGATGGTTCGGCTCACGACTCAGGATTGGGAATATGGTATGAATGCGCCTACCAAAAAATAAAATATCTATCTCATAGATGCGATATTGCTTACCTACCTAGGTAACAGCCTTGGTATAGTTATGGGGTAATGCCAACAAGGGTTTCCAAGGCATTTTTCATTCTTGGTCTCCTTACACAAACTCCCACTCCCCATTGATTGAATTCTTCTGTTTCCCATAGAGACATAATCTGATAATGAATATTTCCTTAAACCTTGGAATCAAACTCCAGTTCTGTTTGCTGTTTTCCAACGTATTCTTTTTGATACCTGTTCCACCACCACGTATTCGACCTCTGAGGCATCAAGCCCCATCGAACCATACATTCTTCCTCTGTATCGGTCATCTCCAGCCGTGCATACGCTAGGGATCGGTTCCATTTTGGATCGCCCATATCTTCCTCCAGCCAAAGTCTATTTCCTATCGCTTCGCGGGAGTCTCCAATGTGGATGGCCGTTAGATAAGTGCCTACTAGAAGCGCGACGACACATAGTATTTGGTTGAAAAGACTTGTCATGCCCAAACAAATGGCGTGTGCTCCAAATGTGCCCCAGCCTACGACCCTCAGCAGAAAGTAGTAAGGTTAACCTATACACCATTTTTGGGTTTTCGGGCTTCTTTTACATATCCCAGCTACCATCTTCTCAGTCCTTTTATCTTTTATAATGGTACCGCTTAATGACTTTACGGAAAGAATTCCTGATTTAGCAAGTTCTTTTATGTCTTGCATATCCATGTTTCCGGTGTCAAAGCTTGAATAGATGTTGTCGGGCGTAAGTGATAGTTTTTCGACTTCCACGGGTGAACGCCTTTTCTTATTACCTTCAATAATCTGCCGTATTACATCGCCATTCCTCCATGCGATGTCCGGTTGGGCTTTTTCGATTAGTCCAACACAGACTAGTCTGCCGTATATGCGTCCCCCATCTTCTTTGGTGATAGCGAATAAAGCCACACTGTCGCCTATATCGCTCAGGTCGTTGTCCTGGCCGTCGTCCCGCGGTTTTTCGAAATCACCTATCAATTCTTGTTGAGAAATGAAGCCGATTTCATCGCAATTGTAAGCCTTTTTGATGTTGACATATTTGGCATGTGTCTTATCCCCCGGAAAGACGAATTCTTCTGCTTCAGCGCAATTGGACAGATGAAGTATCACCCTATAAAGGTTGTTCTTCGGATCTAAAAGCCAGATTGTTTGTGGGATATCAATGTCGCCGCAGTAGAGTCTCAAGCCAGAGCCAGTTCCCAAAAGGCCGTCTTTTGTACGGGTCAAAAGCCCCATATCACCTAGAAAAAGCGACTGTCCAACCCCCAGTAGGGTTTTTGGGGCCCATCGAAGACCATCTACATCTATTCGTTCGTATTCAGAAACGAAGATAAAGCCACTTGGTATTGAGTCGAGCATTTCCCAGAATTTACGCATTCGAAGCTGATGCGGCTCTTTTGCGATTTTCTCGATATCAGGAACACTGAAGTTAAGCAGAGCAGACAAACACAGTGGCTCGTCTGCAGGGACGCTCGTTGTGCGAATAGCTATTGACTTGACTATAAACTTGAAAAGGTCGGTAATACTCCCTCCAGACTTTCGAAACCCGCGAAGCCGATCATACAATCCGATTAGTGTAGGTTTTACCGTAACCTCGATGGAAATGTCTTTGTTTGCTTTGATTCGTTTGATGCCCTCATCAACATTATACCACCCATCTCGGAATTGAAAAAGCAAAGTCTGGGCAAGGGCAGCTTCTTGAAAGGTCCAAAGCCTTGTATTCCAAGAGCAGTGAAAGATTTTGTATAAATTCTCAACGTCAGATTTGTGCTTATGCGTTGTCCCGGTTGTCCACGAGTCTAATACCAGAACAGCTTTGGCATCTTCGTATGCTTTTCGCATCAAACCCATCGCCTTATCTTGCTCTGACTTTAGGTTGGCTTTATCAGGAGGCACACAAAGAGTGTCAAACCAGAATAGAGCAGTGTTCTGATATTCACGAACTATTTTGCTCAGTCGCCGAAATTGACAACTTGGAATCGCATTCCGATGGGGATTTCCTAGTCCATCCGACCAAATATGGGATATAGCAATGTAGTTACAGCCAGGTTCAGCTGCCCGAAAAACTACGTTGATCTTTTCGTCTCCCTCATCTGAAACAGAAATTAGAGGTATTTTGTCTTCTCTCAATATCGAACAATAACTTTCTGGATTTGCTATTGCATCATCACAGTTATCACATCCGTCTACGTGCTTAGTTATATAAGTGTCGTCGTTTAGCCGCTTATATAGACAACTTGACGCTGTGCATAACTCCTCATCTGCATAGCCAGGTTGCATCTCAACGCGATCCCTTGTCCGAAGAAAACGATGTGTTTGATGTGGTGATGGTCGGGTAAAATGATAGAGATACCAAAGCGAAATTGTATCCGACTGCGCGAAGATTACGTTGAGTTCTGATGGGCACCATCCATCTTCACGTAAAAGCCTCCACATATGACTTGTCCACGGGAAGCCCAATCCAGGAGATATTCGGCTATATGGGTCCCTGAAATCTGTAGTGTCCATTGCAGCCATTGCAACCTCCACGAGGGATGATGTAGCCGTAACCATGGCCGGCCTTCTAGGATCCACGGTTGCACAGTCCTCAATATATCCCGGGAGCGTCCTTGTTTCGGACATTTCAATTTCGACAATCTTCTTACTGGATGCTATACACAGTAATCCGTGTATACGGAGACACTGTTTAATTCTCTGAACCATATCAGCACTCAACCCTGGGCGATTGCTATCACGAAGCCGCTTTGACAGGGCGGGTAAGTGAGCCGTTGTAAGCACAGGATAGCTTTGGTTCTCAGCCTGCTCTATAAATCTTTTTGTGTCTGGCGAGAATATAGTCTGTGCGAAACTAAAGAACAACCATCGTTCGAGAAAGGCAACGAATGCAGGGGGCGGTTTATCGAAGAGCCTAGTCCATTCTATTGTAGGCCTAGCAGGCCAGCCTTGACGGTCGGGGTAAGTGATGAATTCTCGGTTGTCGTAGCCCTGGTTGTTGAAAAGGCGTAATTCAGTACGCGGGCGAGTGGGATTTTCTGGCAAGGGTATACACTGCATTTTGAATGGTATAGCAACGTCCTTCGGGCTAAAAATGCGTAGGTAGGTATAGGTGAACGGAACCAAAAGTAATTGTGTTTATGACCAAGACAGTTACAGGTTATAGAAGTATGCTATAGATATAAGAAATGCAGGTGTTCGTAGAGTGGCTTAGTACCAGGCCGTATAGGAGTATTTAATTGGATGCTACTTAAGATAAAAGCTATCAAAAGCTAGGAGGTAGGCATCCAATAGGACGGTGTCTACGGCTAGGATAGACCTCACACCCCTGAAGGTGTGACACATAACGGCTTATAAACGAACCAACGGCGCCTCAGTAGGCAACCCCTAAACACCAATTTTGCACCGAACACGAGCTCGCCCGGATGAGCCAACGGGAGCGGCTGGAATATCATCATATATGCCTTGCAAGGTTAAATTTACAAGATTTGAAAAGATCAATACAGTATGTATATAGACAGATACCTTGTATATTAGTTTTTAGATAGCTCTGCACGCCGCATAGGCTGGTCCTTCCCCCTCGCCCCGGCGTTAAATATACCAACCAACAAACCAACCAAACCAACCAAACCCACCGTTGGTGATAGGGTAACCGCGGCAGGCTGTGAGGACCGCAAAAATGGAATTTCTTACAGCATATATGCCATCCTCGTCGGAGATTGAATGACTGGCAGCATACAACTATCTCCTTGCTAACTACATACCTACTTGCCTTAAACCAAACAGTACCAACTTGGGGAATAATGCTAGGATGAAATCACTAACATCTATATCAGCCAGTCTTCCATGGGCTCGAGTTCCTGAGATAAATCTCAATACTCCAAGTTGGTTCTTGGCATCCAATGTCAAAACAACTGAAAGCCTGTCTTCGAAAGACTCAGAAGTTGAATTGTCAACAGTCATTCGCGATGGCCAAAACGACGAGCAAAGTCAATTGAAACTCAGTGCTAGCCATAGTACAACCAGAGATATAAACTGGCCTTCCACCATAATTGACCGGTCTAAACTGGTAGAAGAAAAAAACGAAATAGGGAGTGAATACAGATTTGAAATTTACCAGGACATTTATTCAGAACTCGTGGACATGACCAGACAAGCTCTTCGTGTTAATGACCAATTTGAAGATGACTCCCAACATCCTACAATTCTTTTACGAACCCCAATTCGTGGGTCTATGTCCTACATGCAATCTATCGTTGAACGCCTTGCGGGGGACGTTGGAGCAGAGCTTATATCATTCACTTCGGAAGATATCACCGACATCTCGCTTGATTTCGCTTTTCAAGACCACATGGGCCATATAAAGGATCTACCTCTCCGCGAGCTTTCGCAACACTATTTTGGCTTTGCCCCGAGTCTCAAAGGCACAGCTGATGTGGCTCGGGTCGAGAAAGCAACATCCGCAATCATCGACTCTGCAAAAGCAAAGAGAAGAACAATGGGGACAGTGAACAGAATGTCCCACAACCATATTCCCGCCCCAGCTACTCTAATACATATTAACGATGCGGAACAATTTTTAGGTCTTCCAGGGGGAACCAAAATCCTAAAATCGTTCAGAACCCAAATTCAAGAGCGACGGAAAAGAAATGAAAACATCATTCTAGTTGTCACAGTACATTCCTACGAGTCGTTAAGGGGTTGTTATAATTTCAACCGGAGAACTAATCAGATGACCATCTACCGCAAAGTCTTGGTCGATCAATCTTCGACCATTGATATTATACCGGCCAGCAAGAAACTCACACTCAAGCGGCATCAGTCTTGCTGCATTATAGAAGCAAATATTCGACATCTAAAGCGCGCTCTGCGAAAAAGACTGCCGAATTTACACGAGCATGATAGTTTAACCCCTAGGCCATATTGGGAAACACCGGATATGGCCCCAATGCATATGGTACTGAGTAAATCCCTAATACCGGAGCCCGTCCTTGAACGAGCTGCGGGACAGATTGCTTGGCGAGCAAGAGACGGCTCACCGCCGAAACTCGACGATATATATCAAGTCACGAAAAGGCTCTTGAGTAATCAAGAGTTAACGAAGGAATGGGGAAAGATTCAGGAGAATACTGTGAAAATGAACTTCGTAGAAACCAAAATGGAATACAGAGAAGCTGAAATGGGAAACGAAGAAATCGGAATGGAGACCGATGAAACCGAAGAAACCGAAATGGAAAAGGAATTGCGAAATTGTCTCGTTAACCCAGGTAAGTGAACGTGCCCCCACGAAGCTCAATGAAGACTTCCCAGCAGCTGATCTTATAGAAAACATCCGAGTAAGGTTCGAGGATGTTGTCGTTGATGACGAGGTGAAAAGAATAATGAAACAATTGTTGTCATTATCCAACTTTCGTGCTAAGGGTATCTCCGAATCACTTTTCGAAAGGATGAGGATCACCGGCGCACTACTCTATGGCCCACCTGGAACTGGTAAAACACATCTGACCCGTGCCCTTGCCAAAGAAATGGGCATGCAGATGATGGCAATAACAGCTGCTACAATCCAGTCAAAGTGGGTTGGGGAGACCGAAAAATACATCAGAGCAGCATTCTCCCTCTGTTCCAAGTTGGCGCCTTGTATCCTATTTATCGACGAGGCAGATGCAATATTCTCCAAGAGATCCTCTAATGATGCACAATATGAAAGGTCCTCCATTAACCAATTTTTACAGGAGATGGATGGACTTGCTACGGACAAGAGCAGCCCATTCGTTCTAGTTGCAACCAATAGACCTATGGATCTTGACGAAGCATTCCTCAGGAGACTTCCCCAGAGGATCCAGTTCAAACTGCCGTCCGAAGATCAAAGAAGGCAAATCCTTCGTAACATCCTTAAGAATACGGAACTACACTTCGATATAGATATTGAAACCTTAACGAAAATGACGGCAGGATTTTCGGGCTCCGATCTGCAGTCGTTTTGCGTACAAGCCGCCATTATCTTCACGGCTGAAGAGAAAGAGAAAGATAACCAACTCAATACCGGGGCAGCAGAAGGTTCTCAGAGGCCAGGACTAGAAAGACGACACTTTCTAGAGGCCTTAAAAAGAACCCACAGGACCGTTTCCGAGCAAAGCGAAATCGACAATGACGAGTTTACGTATTCTTTCAGTCCGAAATATGCATTGGATAGCGAAGAACCGATATCCTACCCGTCGATATACGAAAACTCGTAAAGTCTTACTTTGCTGATCAAAAGTCCGGCAAAATAGTTAACTATAGTGTAGGGAGCCAGCATCATCGGATAAGGAATATACCTGCGACTGCAATGGTTGCTTTGAAAAGTTCGCAAATATACACGAAGCAGAGTATCACGGGCACAAAACGTAAGATCAACTATTCATATGCTTTTTTTTTCTTGTCTAATGGAGCTAACACGTGTATAATAGTCAACATGTCAATTTTACAATCCAGTAGAATTGTTTCAACACCCTTAAGTTTGAATTTACATGATAGCTTGAAATAGGGATGCACCTCGAGATATCATAAAACAACGTGTCTTTGAAGTAATATGGCCGAGTTAGGACTTCCGAATGTGTAAATTGGGGATTGAAGTTAGGGTATTTTGTTCAATACTTTTCATATTAGATAAAATAGGGTATATGAGCTGTATAGTGTTTATTGACCTGGTATCACAACTGTATGGATGGGGAATTGGCCCTTCTTATATATATTCCACCCCCTTACCACTCATTTCAACATATCTCAAGCCTAATGACAATGAGCAAAGATACTAACATTATTCTAAATACTCAATTGCGAGAGATTTCTCCATCACCTCCCTATAGCCAGTGTATAGCCGCTGTCTCTTAGCCAGAACCTCAACAGGTAGCGACGGTCTCTTACGACTACTTCCTTCACTATCAGAGAATTCAACCGACCCCATCGTTATAGGAGTCAGCGGGAGAGAATTCTGAAGAGAAACAGACGTCTGAAGAAGATCCTCAGAGGGCATAGTGGAGCCTGGTGAGTCTATCTCGGCTTCCTTGATTTCCTCTAAACCGTTCTCGACTACGACGAAGTTGCCGGACGGTATATCCTGGGTCACAGACAGCGACCCCCCTGGAACCAAGCCCAGTCCAGTCTGCGGAACATGCGCCTCGTCGAAGAGGGTTCCGTACCAGGCCTCTCGGACGGCGAGGCCAAGAGCTACTGATACCTGCCGCGCGACGCTGTTGCCGACAATACGCCATTGAGTAACCGGCGGACCAACAATCAAGTCGTCGTCGGGAAATCCCTGCGCACGTCTGATTTCCAGAATGGTCAGCGGGCGGCTTTGTTCCCAGTGATTGATAGCGCCTATGCGAGCATCCGTCGGTGGACATCTCGTAGCGATAGTACCAAATAAGCCGTTTGGATGAATACGACCCCAGCCCCTGGACGGCCTCAGTACCCTGTCCGCAGGCATAGGAGGATATAGGTGATGGCGGTCCGACTCGCTCAGCACGGGAGGTATATCGGGTCGACCGTACCAAGCTTTGCTGAAGTTCATGCCCCACGGGTGGATAGGAATAAGGGATAGCTGTTTCCTCATAGGAGGTGTAAAGCCAATGGAAAGTCGATGATCTGGAAAGCCGACACAGAAATCCGGTTTTGCGTCCCGAATATCGGGCAAGTCTGCTATGGACTCCCTAGCACTCACGTATCTAAACGGGGTCGACAAGAGTACCCTCCTATCAAAGGGTCGCCCGCAAGACATTTCGCCAAGCTTCGTTAGACGCGTACCAGGCGGATGCGAATGCGACGGCGCCGGGACTTTAGGCATTCGGAAGCCAGGGGCGCTGAAGACGAGAAATACCCGACTGCGAGACTGCGGCGCACCAAACGACCACGCGTCTAGGAACATAACTTGAACCTGATAGCCCAAGCCGACGAGCGCGCAGACAAGTTGGGAGAAGACGCACGTATCACGGAAATTTCTCGAGTTTACCATCTGCGGTACGTTCTCCAGGATTCCGTAGTACGGGCGGTACAAGTCGACATACGATGCGAAAGACGCGACAAGCGACTGGTTCTTTCGCTGGTCATCCGTGGTCCTGTCGGGGGTTAATATAGAGAAGCCCGGGCAAGGCGACCCGGCTGAAAGGAACTGGACGTCTCCAGGTTGGGGCACTTTGCTATTGTTACCCTGCATAGCTTGAAGTAAAAGGTCATCAACAGACCCCAAGAAGGGGGTGCACGTGTCTGTCTTGCAATTCGCCATATATGTATGGATAGCCTCGTGCCAGATGTCGTTAACCCAGCGCATCTCAATAGCGCCGCCGTCTTCCAGGCCGCGCCCGAAATTCCCGCCGCCGCAGAACAGATCAAGCCCTTGGAGTTTCTGTGATCTATGCCCTTCAGAGGGGTCGAACCCTAGCCGTAGACCGTGCACCAGGTTCATATCGAGGGGAACATAGGCCGATTGGCCCTCTTCGGTCTCGACTTCTTGGTGTGTTATAAAGAAGAGGTTGCCGGTTCCATTGAAATCATAGGGCCTAGGTATATTTTCCTCCGGCCGAAATGCTCTGACCAGACAATGTCGAAAGATCCTGCGAGAAGAAATCTCCACAAATTGGTTTGTGTAGACGAGTTCATTAGGGGGCGAGTTGGAAGCTATTTTATCAACATCTCTCCTCCGTAAAAGCTTCCTTAATCTAACGTAATGCTTATTGCCCTCGTCGAAGAATCCTTCCACGATGAATGTCTCTAGCTGCAACGCTTTCGGGTCAGTTTCAACGAGGACTGCATCTCCGACGTTGTAAGATGTCTTCTTATGAAACCTGTCCTCCTCACACGTAAGGTGTTCTCTCTTCAGAGTAGTCCACCGGCAATCATCAGAGAGATAGGTTTGACGAACGAAGAACTCCGCCGTCGTGGAGGGATTCCCAAACCATTCGACGTCATGCGTGGAGAGAATCTGATCTGCTTGTACTCTTGCTGTACCATGATGGCAGGTGCAATTGTTCGACAAGAAGAGCTCATTATTCCAGGGATACTTCATGATGCCGCAGGGAGTGTCGATCGGTTGATACAACCATATGACATCGAAAGAACGCCTCCCTTTAGGCGATTTGTGGATTTTCTGCACCAGACCAAACCACAAATGCTCCCCCTCGCAATGTTTTGATTTTTGTTGTTTCCATTCTGTATCAGTGCTCTCGTCATCTGGCCTGGTAGAAATAACATCTCCCTCTATAATCGAAGCAATAGATGATTCATGATCATAGGCTTTCCGCTTGACCGCAGGTGGACACGTCTTCTCGTTTGGACGACTGGTCTGCACGAAGGCTGCTCGCTTTTTCTCGATCGAAATCGACGGGCTTACTTGTTTCAGAACGTTCCCAAATAGCATATGAGAAAAAAGATCATGGATATACGGTGTCACTATTGTCGGGGATACTGGGCCGTTTTTTCTCGGCTTTAAAGGTCCCCAGCGTACCATATTACTATCGTCGGATATTGCTTGACCTATCTTGAGATTCGGCTTATACCGGTTTAATGTTTTGATCTCATCCCAAAACCCATGCCACAAAACTGTTTTAGAATCTAAACCATGGGCTTCTTTCCAGATAAATTCCACATTGGCGATAATGGCTCCCCGGAAGTCGCTACTCCGGTTAGCGGAATGCCATCGTTTAAACGTTGCCGATTTCCCATGATTCCGTAGAGCCCATACGCTGAAGTTCGATTTGAAGTCATACAAAACAACCCTACGGCCGTTCTCCTTCGAGTAGTCGCAATAGTCAAGCACATGCTTGGTAAGGTCAACGATCCAGAGGAATGGCTCGTGGAACCTTATGTACTCGCTTGACGGGGATCTCAACTTGTAATAAACTTCGTGGTTCCTCTTTTCATTAAGTTCCGACCGTATCCAGATTTGGTCGCCCACGGTATGTTCCTCGATCCCATAATTCCCAATTGGGAGTTGCTGGAAAGGTATCCTCTTAAGAAAAAAACGTTGTTCGCCACATCCAAGGACTCCATCGAAACAGAAATAATCAGAAAACTGGCGAGTAGCGAGATGTTGCAGTGACCTCAGCTCATAAGGGTAGAGCTCGGAGTTAAGGTATATGCAAAAATCATGCAGATCGAACTCGACGTAGTCGTCAAGAGACTGTTGAGATTTTATAGTTTCAGATAGTATCGACAATGCTTCTGCTTCATCAACCTGGGTGGTAGGTGGAATGAAACCTTGGAAGAGAGATTTTGGTTGAGTCAGGGTTGACTGAGGAATTTCTATAGTAATGGGTCTCTCTTTGGGCGTATTTGTAATCGGTAATTCCGGAGCCGTTTCCCAGCCTTCGTAAGGATTTGCCTCCAGTTCGCTAGAGGATGTATCTAACCTCGTAGCACCAGCATGCAATTGTTGGCATGAAAAGGTATTATCGACTCTATCTGATCCGAATCCATGATTGTGCGTGTTAGACGGGTCGTCTCTCAAGTCATTTGTGTCGTCCTCCTCGATGCTTGAGATAACCGCATGGTATGAAGGTGGAGTCTGGGGCTCAAATAGTATTTTATCACGACTTGAGCTAGGTGTTGAAATTAAATCAACGGGCTGGTCAGGAACTGCGGAGCACTGCCATCTGAAAAGGTCCTGCTCGTGTATATCCATTCTTGTCCTAACCCGTAGAGTCCGCACCCTACCAGCGCAATGCGTAACCTTAAGTATCGAACGGAATCCATTTACAATGTCATTATACCGGGTGACGGTGTAAATGAAATTGTACCGAAGGGAAAGGAGTGGACGAAGGTATTAGTGCCGGAAGTGGGGGATAGGTCTGCATGTAATTCTGCTGAATAGGAATAATTAGCAGAATGGTTAAACATTACAGTAGCCGCTATACATGTCTAATACATAGTATATGGTAGATTTTCTGATAAGTTTGCCAGTACGGGAAGTTACAAAGGCCTAATGATAGAGCCTAGCAACAACTACCGTAAGTTGGACCTGTGGAAATAAGACTATGTAAAACGAGCCGCAAAGTACAGGAACCAAGGAAGGGGGCTAAGATAGTATTGAACATCGCGCTAACTAGGAGTATCACACTGGAATGAGGCCATCTCAGACATCTTTGCCGTTTGCGAAACAGCCGCGTATGGACACGATGAAGAAATGAACGTGCACCAGAATAAGTAAATTAGAAGGATTAGCCAATTAAATCCAACGCTTCTTCATAAGTGGGCCAGCATGTTGTTAGCTTTGCTGTTTGCGTCAAGCCACATTGAAAGTGTCGTTTACATGGTCAAATTAATTCACTTTCATAAACTGATTGATTTATGTAATCTATAAATATTTCTTTTTTTTTATATTCTTACAAAATACTTCGCTATATTATAACCTTGTCTTCAAATGTAGTCCTTTTCAGGGATATTATTGTTAGGGAGTAATAGGTAATCACGGCAAGACTTATGGGCGCCTGGGCCACCCGATCAACCCCGGCGTACTATGTAATTCCATTCATGTCCATTGTAACCAAGGGTGCCTTCACTCTATATGAAAGCTTTCTTCACCTTCTAGTCGTAGTTGCGAGCACTGATCTAGGAAAGACTTGACGGATGGCGCAAGGGTTATGTCATAAGAATCCGAGTACCAGCAAGTCAACTCAGGTAATACCGGTCAGATCCCGATGTTCCACTTTTACTTCCGGACCCGACCGGAATCCACATAGGTTAGCGATCCACAACAGATTCGTCCGATTACCGTAATCGTAAAGACAACAGAGCCAATTGAGAGCAATGATCATTTCATTTAGCTTCATTGAAATACTATTAGTACTTAACATTCCTCATTAGCAAGTCCTAGAAGCACCAGTATTTTTATAGCTATTGGTATCAACTCTCGCCCGCTCATTACCGTAAACTCCGGTTTTTGCAAAGCCTGCAAAGCCAACGACGCCAGTTTTGAAGCACAATCCCCACCCAGATGATAAACACAAATTACTCGATTGAACCAGCTCCGAAGATAGTGCGTTTACTATAGTCCCAATGTGACTAAATCACTAAGCACCTCCGCGAGGCTTCGCCTTAGCTTTAGCCTTCTCTTTCTTTTCTTCCTTCAGCTTCTTCTTTTTAGCTTCGTTCTGCTCCTCGAGTTTTCGCTTGTGCACGGCCTTTTCCTCATCTGTTTTGGGGATTACCTTGAAAAAGCCCTCTAGGCGAGCCTGTTGCGAACTCTTGGTAGCTTTTTCTAATCGTGCGCCGCCTGCGCGGACTCTGTCTTCGTTAAAACCCTTGTCGGTCACCAGAAACTTGACCAATCCTTCAATATCCGGCTTATCCCATTTGAAGTCGCAAAGGGGGTCATCTGCCTTGCGAACGTCTGGCTCAAAGAACAAAGCTCGCGCATCCTCAAAGGGCCAATCTTCAGGTAGTGTATACTTGGAGTCACTCTTGATATATTCAACCACTTTCTCGAGTGTACCGTACTGGCGTATCAGCTTCAAAGCAGTGCTAGGTCCAACCTTGGGAATAGGATCGAGATAGTCACAGCCAAGTAAAATGCAGAGATCGACGAACTGTTTAGATTAGTACTTTGCATGACGTGTAGATGTGATCCGAGGAAAGGTTTGACTGACTTGTTTGCGATCCATATTCAATCCCTCGAGGACCTTATCAACGTGAATTTCCTGGATCGGCTCTTTTCTCGTTTCACTGAAGGTTAAGTGACGTAGCAAGACTGGGCTATCAAAGCATAGCGTATCCATATCCTCGCTGGCTGCTGCATAAACCTTCCCAGCTCTAGCAAGGGCGGCGCACTGTGCTTCGGCTTCGGTTGGCGCAATAATGTAGGGTATACCCATGAACTTCAACAACTGCTGGCACTCGGCATTGTGCTCCTTGGTGACTTTGACTGTTCGGCGAGAAAACTTTTCCACATCTTCGGCTGTACCAGTTTCCTTGGCCTCTTCGAGCCCCTCTTTAGCCTCGGCCTTACGCTGGAAACGGCGAGCAAGTTCACCCGATTTTAGTTTGGGGGGTGCGCCATCGAATACATAGAGAGGTTTGATGCCGTTATCGACCATTCGTAGAGTTCGATAGAACATGCCCATGAGGTGGGAGGTGGTATCGCCCGACTCGTTTGTTAGCTGCTGGCCGTCGGAGCGGACTGCGATCAGGAAGCTGTATATGCTCATAGAACTAGTTGTGAATTAGTTTCCGCTTCCCGTATTAGATGAAAATGAAGTGACGCATACGCATCCTGTCATCTTAAGATTAGCATGCAAATAGCTAGACACTTGGTCTTGAGAAGCACTCACTATAGCAACTTTGCGACCGAATTGACTTTTGATGTCACCCTCTTTAATGGCGGCAGGAGCCTCATCTTTGATGATGGGGAATAGGCCTTTAATACCCATGGTGAAGGTATTTCAGAAGCAGCCCAGTGTGAATAGTAGTAAGTACAATTGGAAATTAAGAAGAAACGAAGGTATATAGGTAGAGATCTTGTTATACGTGGAAGAAGATGAAGTGGTGAGAAAGATTGGAGTGGGTGATGTCACGAGAAATGCGAAACTGACGCGCCCTAAAGCAATTAACTGAAGCTTGACGCGCCTTCTAATCGCGAAAAGTGGGGTAGCTCTTAAAACCAGAGTACCTAAGGCGGTCGGTGCCTGCCTCTTATACCTATTTGTAGCAAATTTTGTACTTGTATATTCCGTACATGCACATTAGGTACATGTACCTAAAGTTTAAATTGAACTGTTTAATACACTAGAGTTTGAGTTGTTTCCATAGTTTGTATGCTTCTCGCAAGTATTTGCATTAACCAGCGCTCATCTTCGAATGTGGGGCCAGCAATAGGATGCATTCTACCTAACGAAGTACATATGAACATTAACTATACCTATTTTAAGCATCTCAAGAATCAAGTGATAACTCCAAAGCCACTTATAAGAATATTTCTCAATTTCGAATCCAACTACTCAGATTATATTTTCATCTATGTAAATTATCTCAAATAGTATACTTATATCTCGGACTTTCATCACCTAGTTCTGCGAGTTCATCTTCAGATAAGTTCTCATGTGCCGCCGTAAGAGGTCCCTCGCCACGCTTCTTGTTCTCTCTAGCGAACCAATACCACAAGAACCCGTAAAGGCAAGCGGCCATTCCTACTAAAGATAAAGAGACGGCATTGCCCACGATGTAGCGCGGTCCATCGGCACTAGGACTAGAGAATTGTTAAGCACTGAGTAACGTTAATATGCTGAATGTAATTAGACTTACTAGATGAATGATGACATGATGCCAGCAGCATTACCCCAGGTGAGTTGCATGCCATTGGCTGTTGTGCGCTTGCCATATCGCGGCGTATTGCTTGGTAGCTAGATTCAAGTTGTTAGCAACCTGAAATATAAGCCGAATCAAAACTGAGAACTAACCCAAGCCAGTGGTAAGCCAACGGTAACATAAAGTCCAGTGGCAACTAGGAAACAGCTTGAATATTGTTAGTTATATCACCAAGAGCTGAATCGATAGCCAGACATACCCAAAATAATGTACGCCAGCTGATGAGTCTGAAAGCAGTACACCATATCCAACCACACTAACAGCACCAAAAGCCACAGTGAAGAGGCCGCGCATCTGCATTCGATCCGACAAAATTGCGATTCCCATATAAGTCACAGCGCCAACGAAATAACACGGAATGGTGAGCAACTGAATCTCCGCGGTCGACCACTGTCCTAAACCTCGGATAATCGTTGGCAAGAACGTAGAGTAGCCTAGATTAAAAGTGTTAGGTTGATTTTCCTAAAATTGATTAATTCCAGGACTATGCATCTTACCGTATAACAAAGTGTCTACGCCAAACTGCGCAACGCAGAACATCCAAACCTTCCAGTCCTTAAACGCAGCCAACATGTCGTTCTTACTAAACTTTTGTGCGCTTTTGGTGAACCCGTAGTGGCGAAGGTGCCGCTCGTTGGCTAGTTTCTTCTCCTCGGGGGTCAAGAAGTAGGCATGGTCGATATCGTTGGGGAGGAAGAAGAAGGCAACGACGCCTAAGACGATGCTCGGGAGGCCCTCGATGATAAAGATCCATCTCCACCCGCTGTACCCAGAAATTCCATCCATCTGGCCAATGCCATAAGCTAACAATCCGCCCAGAGCACCCGCAATAGCGGCGCTGACGAAGAGGTAGCCGACACGAAGAGCGAGCTCTTGTTTCGTGTAGAAGAAGGTCAGATAAACATTTAAACCCGGGAAGAGCCCAGCCTCGACAACACCGAGAATCACACGCACGGCAATAAGTGCGCCATAGCTGTGAACAAACCCCGTACACGTCGCAATAATTCCCCAGCCGAAAGCGATGAAGGCGATATATCGAGAAGGCGTCAAGGGTTTTAGTACCAAATTTGAAGGCACTTCAAAGAAGAGATCTACGAGCCTTGAAAAGTTAGAGCTGAACGAACTAATAAGAGCCCTCCACATCTCAAGATGCTATAGCTTTCGCTTTAAAGAAGGGATGACTAACACGTGACGAAGAAGATAGAGACAGCTACTTGGAACTGATTCCCTACCAACCCAAGATCTTCCTCCATACGGTAAAGACGTGCATTACCGATGTTTACACTAGAGCTAGTTAAAACCCAATCCCGAAGTTAGATGAATGATTGGCGGAGTATATACCGGTCCAAGAAACTAAATGTATCTACACAATTTGACATTAGTTAACTATTAATTTCACAATAACTAGCAAATAACAATACCCCAGAGAGACTTAAGGACAGAAGGTTTAAAAAAGAGCATTAGTTATACTACTTACAAAGGAGCATAACAAGAGGTATTATGTATAAATCAAGCTTGCGCATAAGTCTCTTCTCATCTACGCCGAAATTCGGATCCGTCGCGGCCTCGGCCACGCCGTCTTGCGCCTTAATATTCGAGTCGGACATGTTCGGAATGTCGTCTGCCATCGAGCAATAAAAAACGGCGATTTCGGTAGGGTCGTAAACTTAGGGCTGAAATAATAATAATACCCAGCCGGTCCGGTCCAGAGGAAAGCCGGACGAATTGATCGAGTCTCGAGGGGAGGTATATCGGATCGGACTTGTGGCGATAGCTTTAAAACCAAAAAAAAACCCGTTCAGCTCCACCGGAATCGCTTCTTGCGGACTAGGAGTTAGTCTTGTTTTACGTCAGTCTCGTCTAATCCACAGCGTCTGAGCTAGAGATAAGCTATCTCCTCGTTATCTCATGCTACTCGCGAGTATTTGACGGCGAGAGTCTACACTGCTCAAAAAGCTATGGAGGTATCGTATCCCATAACGTGTGATAGAGTAGAGTAACAAGAAAAGGAAGTAGTATGGAATACATACATACCCAGGTAAGTATATAACTATCTAGAATTAAAAGAAAATGCTACTCTTTCCCATTCTTGAGCTTCCCGGACCCTTGATTCGGGCCTATCACTTTGCATACTCCCCAGCAAGCTGAACTGCATCGCGACCCCAGCCTGCTGATAACTTACGACCCGGAATTATTAAGCAGGTAAGCAGGCGAAACTGCACATGGTGTCGGAGAACCAGGTGTAAGATAATATTGGAAATGAAGGTTCCATCAAAGGACCAGCTCTCACGTGAACCCAGGGTTCCCATTAGACCACCCGTGAACCATAACCGTCAATGGGATGCGGATGCAACCAATTGATGGCAAACGGAGCCTTCTACATATACCTATAGTAACGACAAGATACATATGTCGACGCGTGGATTATGACACAAGTGGTAGCCCGGACCAGCGGGAAGAGCCGACAGGATTTTAGGCCCACGCAAAAGCACCTGTATCTCGCCAAGACGACCTGAAGGATCGGATAAGATACATAAACGTCAGGAGTGGGGGTTGTACTTCTACATACGAAAGAGGTCCAAGCAGCCAAGTAAAGCTCGGTATCTTTCACCGAAACAAAAAGTAAAGCGTGTAGTGTAAATCAGATATCATTTCTTGGCTACGTAGGCCGATCCCCACGATGACGAAAGTTACCTAACCCCCCCCCAAGTATGAGTTGTAGAATGCAGTGTCTACCTACCTCCTAAGCTACCTACGTATTTGAGCCCCTCGAGAAACTTTGAACCTGCAGGAAAAAAAGACAAGCTCTCTCCAATATTAAGATGGGGGGGCAAGGGGGTGTGGCATCGATTTTACCAGGGGTGTCCCAATCACCGATATTCTCGGCGATAACGCCGTGTAACTAATTTAAATAGATGCTAAGTCCGTAAGCCTTCCATAGGGCTAGCACCCCTTACGTATATTAACTAACGTTCATTCGAATACATAGTGTAAGTGTCACAAAGGTCTGACTGGGGCATCTTATTAGTATATAATTCCTGTTTCATCTCGGTGACGATACGAAAAGGACGAAGCAGACCCGCCGGATCTATCAAGGCGTTTGGGTCGCGTACTCGAAGAATATGACGGTCTATGACGGTTCGGGACCGTGATCTGCCTCCCACGCTCGCCGAGGCTGAAGAGGTATGGGTATATTGATGCTTCGTTGTGCCGTGTGATCTGTCTATTTCATTGATACTTTTGACCGAGTCGAAATTCCCGGCAGTGCGTACTGGGCTCCTCGGACAGGTCGGAAAACGGAAGCCCCTCGGCAGCATATCCCTTGTCCTAGGTGCCTCGTCCAGAACCTTAGCAGCGCCAGCCTAACCGGTCTCAACTCACCAACCCGCCAGTGGCGGTTCTTAGGCGCAACTATTGCACCTCAAAAGTATAAAAAAGGGATGTCCTTCACCTACGTCTACGTAAAATACCAGAGAAAATATTCCCAAGGTTATAAAGATATACAATTATCAGGGCAATTGAAGAGCATCACAGAATTAATATCTGTTATTTTTCTATCTTCTATAAAAGGTAATAAATGATATGATTGATCGACTCCGGACGCCTCGTCTACCTCGTCTATGCCCAAGGTATCAATCTATCTAGGAATATGACACTCTCACATCTATCTGCAAGTGTATCCGCCATCAATAACAATATCAGCGCCGGTCGTGTACGTGCTGGCGTCGCTAATCAAGTACACATAGGCCGCCTTCAACTCCTTCGCCAGGCCAGGACGGCCCATAGGTACCATGGAGTACCATAAGTCCTGCGTCTTCTTCTCGATGAAGTCCGACAGGCCGGTATCGATGTATCCGGGCGAGATGGAGTTGACCCGAGCGAAGTCGCGCCATTCGTTAGCCAGGGATCGGGCCATATGGATGCAGCCGGCCTTGGCGACGTTGTAGGAGGTCTGCTCCTGCGGGAAGTTGGCAATGTGGCCGGACATGGAGGCGGTGATGATGAATGAGCCGTGGCCCTGCTTCTTGAAGTGGGGACCGACGGCCTTGGCGCAGTATGCGGTGCCGTTCAGGTCGATCTGAATGACCTTGTCCCAATCCTCTCTCGAAGCATCAATGACGCCGCCATCAGCAGTAGCCCCAGCATTGGCGATAAAGCCGTCGATGTGGCCGAAGTCCTTCACGACGTCGCGGACGAGCTGCTCGCAGTTGGCGAACTCAGATATGTCGCACTTGTAAGCCTTGACTTTGACGCCATAGGCCTTAGTTAACTCCTCCACGTTCTTGTCGGCACCCTCTTTTCGCGAGGAGTATGTGATAGCAAGTTCAGCACCCATCTCAGCGCAGCCACGAGCGGCCTCGATGCCCATTCCCCGAGGACCAGAGGCACCGGTGATAACGATGACCTTGCCCTTGAGGTTGAAAAGGTCGATTAAGCTGTCCGACTTGGGGATTGGCTGAGGCATGTTTATGGTGTAATATGTTGGATGTTTGAACGGGGTGCTGGTATATCGGAATAGTGTAAGTGTGTAAGAGTATAGAGGGCCGGGAAGCTCTGAATAATAGTATGGGGTTAAAGGAGAAGTAGAAACGCTATCAGGGTTATCCCGACTCTTATATATTCTTAAACAAGACTACGTCTGGTAGGAACAAGGCGGGTATAGGTGGATATAAGTGGATATGGCATACAAGTAACAAAAAGTCAAGACCGTCAGAAATGTTAGATGATGTCATAGGCACATTCACACGCAGATGTGATAAACCTAGGTGAGCCACTTAGATTTAAGACAGCGAGTATACTTTTCCCACTTTCAATGCAATACTCAGCGTAATGCATATGCTACTCTCACTAGACAGGGGATAAAGTGGTGTGAGTAAGAATAAAGTAAGTAAAAAGCATCAGTTCGGGCCTTGTGTCTCCCGAGTTGTACAAGTTTTACGGGCTATTGCCGCGGTTGGAAGCTTGGAGGACTCGGATGTCCTTTCCTGTATATTTGGATGTGTAATCCGTAAGTCAGTTACTAATGTTCTTGCCTTTCCCGGTAGGCGCGGCTTCTGATCATGACATTAATTGAATCTTTAGACTTTAAGAATGTAACCTTTTAAGAATGTAACCCCCAAGTCTACCTAAGGTATTGTACCTACCTCGGCACGACCACGGTGTCTGATTAGTCGACGCACGCGAACAGAACTTATGTAAACCCCACAAGGAGGGGCCGATGCCGATTCCATATCCATTCTCCCCTTGTCCCCCACGTCCCCGGATATACTTAACCCCAAGTTGTCGTAACGGTGCCGGTCCAAGAATGCCTGCACGTTAATTATTAATTATCGCAACTCCGAAGTTTGACGTCCTCCGATCAGCCAAGGGAGTTTGACTACAGGGTCCTTTTTAATCCATTTCGGCACTAATACACAATTCCGTGATATACCTGTTGCCAATATGCTCGTCACAAAAAACGCAGGCATATCTGGATCGAGGGAATAGCAACCAGTGCTCAAACCACTCATCACAGCTAAGACGGGACAGTTGCGGACTGGGTAGAAGGTCAACTAGGCAAGGCAAAATATGATCTATTCATACATCATATTCAAAAGTTCCGCAATATTATGGAAGTACTCAGGGAAGCTTAAGCAGCTCAAATACTCGGCTGGGAAAATTGTTGGACGTAATAGGTGTTTAAACAGAATGTGAGTAGCAGGTACTAACCAATATTTGGGATATATGCAATTTCTGGGTAAACGCAGATCCATTCTTCAAGGCAATTATGTCGGCATGGAATGAGTGTTGCAAAAAGGCGTATAGAATTACTAGGCTTATTGGGATACAAGAGTATGCATTTGGTGCTGCCGCCACCCGGCAGCGGAGCAGTAAGGTGAAGGACGAGGCAGTTGGATGGTGTCTCGATGGGTGTCGCGTCACCCCGCCTGAGGACTTGAGGCGAGAAACGCTGCGACGGGTCGTTTGGCCTCTCGAGATATGTCACAAGTATCTTTTCGAGAGGCTGTAAGTAAGAGAGGAGAAGCGTAACCTTCTATATGGCTACGAAGAACGGCACAGGAGAAATCTGCCTTAGTTCATATCAAAGCCTTGGGTACTATCTAGGAGGTACCTAAGGCATACAGAACGTTAGCTCTCGGTCAGTACGGGGTCACATTAAAATACTGGGCAGTTTTCGATAAATTTATTCAAGGAGGCTTCGTCCTATCTATTATATCATGTAGATCACACGCCAGCTCCGGAACATAAAGTGGAAAAAGGTTATTTGCAACCTAGGAGTATCATACAGGTGTTCTAACAGTGCTATCTGATTTTCAAGCTTAGTACAATATAATCAAAACAGTACAATTGTGATTTATACCTCCGTAGTACATACGTGGATAACAATAAATCGGGATGGTTTGTGTAACGACATTTAAGCCAGTATGAAGAAGCTAGATAATTTGGAAGGCTACCCTGGATAATATGTGAATGTGAGCGAATGTGCGCTAAGTACAAATTTAATCGGCGCAGCTCGGAATATATGCTAATAATTCATACATTCATAAGAATAATCATCCTGACTTTCTTCCTAAATGCATTCATTTGTGCACATTCGGGTGATATCAAAATCCCGTCCCGCACTACAATGTACATCGGGTTTAAATGTTGTTGTCCTAGGTCTAACATAACACAGCCCTGTTTCTCTACTCGTTTTTCATTGCCAACTCACCCTCTATTAAGTACAAAACACTTGCCATACTTTCAAAGTATATTAATAGTCTTCATTATCCCCCTAACTAAGTTGCTCTCACACCCAACTGAGCCGGGAATGTGGACGTTTGCCGAGTTCTCATATCGATAATTTCCGAGGCCTCTTCAACATCTCTCTAGCTCTCAGCCAGGCAACAGCAGATCAAAATGGATTCTAATTACGAAATGCCTACCCCCTATTTCATCCATTCGCTCTCTGACGAATCCCAACCTAAAACGAATGAGAAAGCATATACCTGGTTTCCTACGATGGACTTTCGCAGCGTATGGTCTTTGGATCACTGTGACTTGGTTGCTTTCAATGCCTGTATGTGTTAGCTACCTTGGCTGCTTGCTAGTTCTGAACCTGGGCCAAGAGCCCTACTCTAACACATATTTTCACAGTGCTTCTCTCTGGAGGAACATGGCAGACTACGCCGCGGCTAACTATAGCGACTAATTTATACCGCATCTTTGCAACGTGTGAACAATTATATCCCAAGTTCAAAGATGGTCCACTCAAGAAGAGCGAAGTGCGAGAGTTCTTCTCCCTTGTTTATGCCCATCTAAGCGACCACTGTCTCGCCCACGACCACTTGGAGGAAGACGGTCCCCGACGCACAGCCAACCTTGTGGAGTTCTTCATTCATGCGTCTAGGAACTACAATCCTAAAAAATATGTGATCGATTTAGATACGGTTCCGCTTAACGAGATAATACGCCGGTTTACTTTGACGTCGAGTTTTCCTGAACGTACATGGTTCTACTGACAGGCTCACACATCGCCACGGATCGATTAGGAAGGGTTTGAGAGTCTTATACACTAAATAGATTGTGATTACGGAAGACCGAGTATAAACAGATGACTGGATTCGTATTGAGTCAAGATCTTCTGTAATCCAGATGTTTCCCAAATGAAAAAGTTCGTATGCTCATAAATATTTTTAGGCTCTACAAGTAATTTCGTAAGTAACAAACTGGTGGTATAATTCTATCGAGAACTCCTCTACCTAATTCATGTTCTCGCAAAGGGAATGAAGTAATTATGGTAAGTGATAGTGGGCGTAAAATGAATTAATGGGTGAACTATGATGACGATAACTATAGTAGCAATGACTTGCTAGAAGTAAGAGAGGAAAGACAATCGTCACGAAACTGAAGATAGTGAAGTCGCACGAACTAATAACCATGGTTACCGTATCGTGAAATAGTATCCCAAGTATCTGAATTTACTAGCCAGGAGGAAAGAAAACAACAGCAATGTAAGGTTCGAGCCATACGGTTAAGAAGGAATATACAAAAAGGGGGCATCGGGTTATTATATCACGTGATACCTTTCAGCTCCTGGTGGACTTGCACCTTTACAACTTTATGTCGATCTATCCTGTTCTCTGTTACAAACTAAGCCTAAGGCATAAATAGGGGGCTTGATGCACGGATAGAGGGTTAATAATAGCCTAGGTCATGCGGGAAGGAGATCACGTGATACCCCTGAAACCCTACGCACCTCCTAGTATCTTAGATGCAAAGCGTCTAAGTATTTCAAGAGTTTCGTAGTACTAGTACTGACGATATAGTCTAGATACCTATATAAGGAAGCCTTTTACCTAGCTGACCTTAGAGTACCGCCAGTAGTTAATTTAAGTATCATAGAGAGAATAAAACCCCTTTAATAGAAACTCTCCTTTCTTGTATTCATGATCCTTAGCCGCTCGTGCAACGTGGCAATAGACTAAATCCTTAAATCTTTCGATATAGCCGCAGGTTCCTTTCGGAATATCCCTAGGAGGTAATTATATCATACCTACCTGAGTATGGAAGCCATGTCACCTTGATCCTGACTACATATGTACATTAAGTTACTTTTTAATACGCGCATCAATATTTCTCTATAGCCTACGTTTCATCACAAAAGTTAAAATATGTGAATTTCATTGGTGTATTTGATTTAAACACCAGTATAAGTTTCGAAGTTTGGCGATTGTTTACCTAGTAATTGACCAGATGTCATACTAATACTTTAGAATGCTACTCTATAAACCTTGGTAACTATTATCTCATTATTAAGCCGCTTATATTTGACGAATACAGTATCTTCGTGAAGCTACAACTCGAATAAGCGAATATACCTTGTAGTACTACACCTATACACCCCCAGCAGCTGCTTAAGCCCCTTTGCTAAAGTAGGCACTCATTTATCAAGACGCAAGTTGTACATCTGCATAAAGCTGTAAGAAGAGTGTGCCACAACGCAAAGTGTTTCCTAATCCCACCGATGACGTGATAATGATGATCCCCGTTTAATCGCTCCGGGACAGTGACTGATCTCGGTGACATCGTTATTCGCAGCTAGCGATTAGCTGATAACCTATTACCCCAAAGAGAAGAAGCAACATATAATGATGAAAATTCTAGCCATTGGCAGTAGTCCTGCGCCATTTTACCTCCGGAGATCTCTCTATAAGCACAACGCCACGCGGTGTTCAACGTTCTTATCCTGCGCTGTATGCTACCGTGTCATAACGTAAATGGCATAAAATGCCGAGCCCTCATAACTATAAAAGGGGAGGGATGAGTGCTCCTTTATGAACACCGAACCTTAGTCTACAAAACATAGAATATTTACGCAACCCAGCATCTTACCAGCTGAGACGGAACGAGCATGACTTATACCTTAATCGTACTGCTCCAGCGGAAAGAGGGTATATCCTCGTCCCAATTCCGCATGTATTATGACACTGTCCACGTCCCCCTCTTAAAATCGCTCTTTGGATCAACGATGCCTTCAACCCATACACGTTACTATATCTCTAGGGATACAAAATCCGAGCATGGGCATACTGATTCAACAACCCCGCCCGAAAGAACAACCCCAAACGAAGAGTTGCTTCCCACTATCATGCACTCGGGGAAATTAGCGGATATCCCGTTCGACTCGCTGACAGTAATGACCTGGGAGAGCAAGGAATCACGGGATGCATTTCTGAAAATCTTTTACAGCAAAAGCGTGGCTGAAAAGTTAGGCGAGGACGAAGAAAATTTTGCCGATCGGGAAAAGAGATTGATATTTTCAGTTGGAGATTCTACTACTACGATATTTGGATAAATATGTTGAGAGGAATTGCTATCTTGAGGTTATTGGTTGAACTTGGGTACCTAACTACCTAGGCAGTCTTTGATATTAACCTCATGGTTTTATCGAATGTTATTGTGATGATCGCCACGTCCCTGTTTTTCTAGATATTCGAGGCACACACTACTTGAAGTACGTAATTTTCCCGTGAGGCTTAAAATGGTGTTTAGTATTCATGTAAGATATATCAATTTGGGGTATCTATCTGCAAATCTATTACCCCTTATTCGTCGGGCTACGCTCCCCAATCCTCGTCCCCCACAGCTGTTTTCCGTAATGACCCCTCTTGGGTTGTACTTGTGTTCGATAGAAGGGCCTTTCATAATTGATACTATGGGAATCTTGCTATAAACCAGGCTGGTGGAAGTCCGCTTTATTTAGATACGCGGCTCTGCCTGATATCCACTCCGCCAGCTTTGGAACAAACATAGTGATAGCCTTCCCCTGGCTGATCACGTTGATATCAAAGTCGAAAGGGTCATAGGGTCCACAAGCTTATAAATTAGGATGGGGTACTGTATTGGTTGGCTAGGACTTCATACGTCGCTATGGCGCCACCAAAGAGACTATCTGGGGAGGAGGGGGAACGTATTGAGTCGTATTTCTCACCGTAAAAGCATATCCTGATGTAAAAACTTCTACCGCAAGTCTTACTTTCTCTAGACAGGCTGCGCTTTTAAACCCATAGCAATGGCCTAGTGTTAGATAGGTCCGAGTCTTCGTGGTTTAATAGAGTTATTTTCTCACTTCCTACCCGCACCCTTAAATAAAGCAGGGGAAATAAAAGGAGACAAATAACAACAGCACATCGGCCACTCAAAAAGCATAAGCTAAAGTACAATAAACATATCACAACTGCTAATAGATGGAACAACACTCCCTTTCATTTCTATAAACCTTCTAAAGAAATACTAAGCATCCAGCGACGGTGGACGAACGCGCCAAAGCCGTCGAGGTCTATGGTATTATACATATTGAATCCCAACACGCGGGGAAAAAAAACACCTGAAGACAAAAAATAAGTAATAGACGAATTGAAACAGCAGGCTCGTCAGATTCATGCAGTTTATGCAATGGTGGTATCATGTCTTTCTGTACAAACACAATGATATGCTCAGCAGCAAACAAAGGGAATAGGGGGGAAGGAACGCTCTCCCGTGCTCAAAAAAGCAGTCTGCCAAATGTAGAAAGGCTAATCAGTTGAAGCTCTCTTCTTCTGAAACAGTGATAATCGCACGAAAAAACCTACTCCGGCTTCTTCGTCTATAGGCCATCACTTCAACAAGGCTGATGATGGTTCCTCGACTCGTTTGTATTCCTTTTCTACTTCGGGCCTTCATCTTCGAATCGACCCAAAGCCGGATTTCTCATTAGGTTCCTCATCCTTTCAATATTAATTGCTGCTGGTCTTCGATATTCATGTTTCCAGTAAATGTAGTTAGTAATCCTTTGGCGCCTATCCCCAAAACGCCAGCACCCCAACATTCCTCGACATCAGACTCTTACCTGGGAACTGGCGGTAAGGCTTTTCCAAGGCTTTCGCGACTGAGCTTGCTCCTCAGATACCTGAACCCACCACTTACGCCACCCCTTTTTCGTTCGTCCTCGTATCCGGGCTCGGGCTCCAAGTAACTAGACTTCGGCGGTGTTGGTGGACCTCTACCCCCAATACCATGGGGACCCAAAGTAGTAAATCCATCCTGCCTTTCCGTTATCGATGGTGTGTAGGGCCGGGTTTCACTAGCGCTATCGCCCCGACTCCGCTCCCCCACCGAGCCCGCTTCCGCCGTCTCCTCAACGACGGGTAAAACAGCATGCGAGTTAGATCTCGCCCCTGGTGATACAGCGGTTGTAATCTTACGTTCCGGGACTTGTTCCTCTTTAGCAAGATCCTCCTCATTCTTAGTAGCCTTTTTCAGGGCCTTTTCTAAGGTAGGATTTGGCTCGGGTGAGTTCGGGCTTCTCATACCTGGCGGTGCGGGAGGTAAATACGACGGCACAGGCGGCGCACTACTGGATCCAGGTACCTGTAATGCTTCTTGATTGGTGCGCTCCATTTCGGCTGCAGCAAGCGCTGCGGCAGCTTCGCGATCGTGCGCATCCCTTGCGGCCTCTTCTGGAGACATTGTGATACCAGACATAAACTTGATGAACCGCTCGCCATACTCCTCAGGTGGGAGAGCAGAGATTTGGCTACGATCACTGGATAGGCCTTTCCAAAAGTGCTCTATCTTCTTGATAACACCATACTGTCGAAAAGTTAGCTGTGAATACAAGAGGGCACTAATAAATATAGATAGTATTGCAACTCACATGGGTCAAGCAGTCGATGACTCCAAGGTAGTAAACTTCTTCACCTGCAGTGTTGTCCTCGTGAGTTGCGCGTAAACCACCATCGTCACTGTAGAACATTCCACCTCGAGTGTGCCCCTCAGCTAACTCGTCCGGCATTCTACTGCTGGTTTGGCCTACGGGTACGGGTCGCTCAGCTTTAATCATTTGCCGTAACTCCCTCGCTTTGCGTGCATTTTCCAGCTTCGATGGCGTCCTCATGAGGACAGAGCTAGGGTCGAAACTTTCATCCGAAGGGTTATCTCCTCCAGGGTTAAATACCTGTAGAGTCTTGTCTCTAAGGTTTTCCTCATTTCCCTTTCGCAAGTCGTGGATGCCTATCAAAAGCGAGTAATCCATTATCTTCAGCTTCTGAAGGAGCCGAACGTCACGCTCCAACTGCTGCAAAAATAGCTGCTTCTTCTGTATTCCGAGCTCGAGATGCCGTTTCCGTCGAAGCCAGTTGAGGTCCTTCAATGTGGCGCGCGGATTTTTCTCGAGCTCTTCCTCTCGATAGTCTCGTCCTACCGTCGAACCCTTGAGGTCAAACGTTGTGTGAATATCACGGTGAGGAGGGAAGAGATTGTTCATGACAACAAAGTGAATCTTTTTCCCGTATGGCATTTTGACGCGGTGTAAGCCATAGAACTGGGATAAGAGGGTGTTCGGGTTCTCTGTAACGTGTTCATAGTAATCTTTCAAGACTTTCCGTAGAAATTTATGCTCTCCATGATGGATAGTCTTGATGATATACTTGTAGTCTCTTGAGAAGTAAAAGAAACTACCACTCTTTCCTGGAGAACCGAGTTCGGATAGGATATATTTGCCCGTAAGCGACATCAGGTAATCGGCGGGATCCAACCCAAAGAGCGCACGAAGATGCCGGAAAACCCAGGGCGCATAATCCTTAAACTTAAAGTCGTATTTTGCCGAGGGGACCAACTCATTACCCGCACTGCTCTAGTTAGTATATGGAACACAAGCTTAACTCTGGCGGAGACATACATGTCGAACGTCGATTTCTGCTTAGTTTCAAAGTCGGCATCGGTCAGGGGGCGATCGAGTTTGGCATTTGTACGCGAGACAGACACTCGAATACCTGTTAACATATTGTATGCTGTTGTCCAATTTGCGTGGTTCTCGTCGACCTTAGTTCCGACCAGAACTCTGTCATCATCCTCTTCTTGCTTCTTTTTCTTTGCCCGTTTTTGTCGGTATGCTTCAGCCCACCTCAACGCGTCGTCATCTGGTAGTACTTCGTCGCGAGGCACATCGGAGTGCAGGGAACGTGTATTCCGTCTTCCCAGATTAAGAGACCCTCGACGCTGCGATGACCCGGCCGCGGTAGGAGAAAACCTACCAGTAGCATATACCGTATCGTTACTATCCCTCGAACCTCGGCTTGGTTGAGCCCTAGGCACCTCCAGCGTGTGCCGATGTTTTAGACCAGTCGTCGGAGGTGGTTGCAGTGCCGAAGTCGATGAAGAGGCACCGGTCGGCGGATAGTGCGGAGGTGAAGAAAATCTCTGGGGCGATGGAGAAGTGCGTTGAGCTTGATCGAGATTAGAAGATGAAGGGTTATTAGGTAGCAGATAATTCGAAGTCGAATTCTCTTGTGATATAGAACCAATATTATTGCCGTAAATACAGTCTGCGCCTTGAAAATCGCCGTTATTTGACGACCTCCGTGGTAGTTCGATGGGATGTTGTGAAGAAGTGCGAGATTCCACCGAAGACCGCTTTATTTGGGATTCGGACGTATTTTTACGCTGGTTTTCAGGAGGCGGTGGCATGCCATTAGTAGTAGGTTGGCGCTCCGACGAGCTCCTTCCAGACAAAGGTCCTTTCATGTTTGAATAATACTTGGAGTCTTGGCCAGCCGAGGCCACGCCATTCACGTCTCTACCTGACCTGCCATTGGGCAGAGGTGTCATGCTGGAAGGGGGTAGCCCATCCGCGTTCATTCGTACCTGAGGGCCAGAGCTGTGTGATGAATGTGAAGATGAATTGTCGTCGAAGCTCTCATTCGCGTCAATTGCCGTAGACAACTGCCTTGGAAGAAAGGCTTCTTTAGGATCAGTTAGCTTGTGGAAATCGGGTTCGTGATCGTCTCTGAGATGGACGACGCCGGAGTTTTGATAATAAATGGGCGAGTTTTCGTCGTTTACGAACGTAGGCATATTTCGCATCCGCAGATTGGGCGTCGTTCGAGTGGGATTCCGAACGAATGCACCTGAAACCCTCACCCACGACCTAGTTGCCTTAAGACGTTAAGACGATGATTATTGCTGGTCGGGCGAGGGATACGCGGAGGGGACGATATAAGGAAAAATCGAAACAGATATTATTTGGCGAATATCCTCTGGTTTGATGTCGTCGTCGTCGCTGTAATTGGTATTTGGTGACACCAGAGGGATAGGGGGTGGGTTGAAGATGCGAGTGCAAGATTGTGTTGTCGTGTAAAGCGACAAAGTTGGCAGCTGAGTGGGTGGATACAGAGTACGGAGGTACAGAGTACGGAGGTTGTACGGAGGTACAGAGTACGGAGGTTGGGCACCATGCGACCCTATAATTGGCTAGATTAAACGTGGATAACGGCGAGTGGATACGTCCTTAATTGCATCGACTCAGCCACGACCCCCCGGAGCCTTGTCTTGCTTGTCTCGCATAAGTCAATGGAGAGGAATATTAATACCTTAATAAGGTCTAGCGTCGGTTATAAATATAAGTCGTTGGAATACATACGGTACCCAAATACGTATGTAGTATCTATGCTACAATAGTAAACATAGGTAGTTAGACTTAAAACTTATTTTCAAATATTGTTTTACATTAACAACGATAAATCTGTTTCCTAATGCCAATGCGATTCGACGTGACAGGTAATATTTACTTACATTAGGTATGTTTTAGTGTATCCACCACTTCTAAATCATACCTAATGGGGTTAGTTTACTCAAGTTTACTCAAGTATCCTGCAGAAATGCTGCGCTTCTCCTGTGTTATTGCATTAAGCATGCAGACGTGTCTTGCAGTGGCAGAGTGGCTCACGCGGAGAGAGAAGAAGAAAAAAATAAGCCCGGAAAACGCGATGTGGATATGCAGTATGCAGTATGTAATTGGGATCCATAACTGTCCCGCATACATAGTTGAGCTAGTGGACCCTGAGCCAAAAAGGAGGACAGAAGGACGCTACGGTTCGATAATCACAGCGATTTTTATCCATTTCGGTATACGGCATTATGTCATATTCAACGGAACTGACGCCCGTTTCTATGATTTTCTTTCTTTAATCTATTTTCCTCTCTGTCCATACGAGGGAATGAGTATCATCAAAGCTAGGTATCAATCAATCTCTTTTTTCCCCTCGTCTTGTATTGATTTATAAATGCGTCTCAGCGTCAGCTCTTGGATCCGTTTCATGCAATCTCAAAAATTGAAAATACCAAGGATTTAACTTGCCGACCTGCCGACTGGGCCCTGTTTACACAGTAGGAAGATTGGGACAGTCAGTTTAATGCGGCTCCAGCCACGATTTCTAAGGATTTTAATCAAATATTCAGCTCGACCGGGTGTAGCCCGGCATCCTCGGGTTCTCTGCCTCTCGCCAATTTCTTTGCCGACTCTCCGAGACAAGTCACCAACTTCTCCAACAATCTTCAACCTGTGATATGCTGCATCGTCAAAGAGAATATTAAAGCTGACGAATATACTGAAACTTACGCATCAGCCGTATTCAAGGCATTCATGCGCGTTTGATTTTTGGAGGTTATTCATATTATTCATAACATTTACACGGTACTATCTATACGTATAAGCCACATCTGTGCTGTAAAAAAGAAAAAAAAGAAAAAGCCTTTTTTTATTCGTCTCGAACAGCAAAACTCCACTCCATCTTATCATGGAGCCGACCTATCGAAACAACGTCGCTAGTCATCCTGTAGATCATGCCGGTCATACATAGAAAAAGGTATTGCGGTACGAAGACCCCGTTGTCATTGCCCCGAACCCCATATCGGGTAATGCTGGATACCTCCTCTCAATGTAGCCCGCAATTAGAAGCCCAGAGCCACAAACAAAAAGTTGACCAAAGCTCTGAGCTAGCGAATAATTTATTAGAAGGACATCTGAATCTAAAAATCGGTTGGTTGATACACGTCTCAACAGTGTATGTATGTCATAGCTTAGATCATCACTTTCGAGAGAAATTAACACGTGTATAACCCCACGATTAGTTTAGGAGTTGGGACGACACAAATTTTAGACGAGGCTTTGTAGAGATTGCTAAATCTTACAAACTCATCGGAGGCCTCGCGGCCTCCCGTGCCGGCAAAGAGCAAGTTCCATAGCTGCCGTGAGCCTGGCCCTTGACTCTTATATATGAATAGAAATCCAGTAGAAGGGAGAATATCAATGTGTATCCTTTTCCCAAGCCGTAACTCCTCTTAATGCCTTCGGATTATGTACACGACAATGCAGATTATATCCAACGTCTACCAGGTAAGAGCAGTTGCTTTATGTTCTCGTAGATCCTTCGACTACCATTTTATTTGCGCCCTCTTGTTGTAACTTTTCCAGTGTCTTCTTCTTTTGGTGCTCGGCAACTCGATATCGCTTGAAGTAAGTTACCTACAGATACGCAACGAAAGTATAGGTTAGCCATGGCCTAACTATATACTGCAATGCTCTATCAAGAGGTAGTTATAATAAAGGAGGTATAGGAACACACCCAGGCGCTGGCGCAGTTCTGTTCGAAATCCTTATTCTCCTGCCCACATTGCTTCTCGGCAATTTTCTTGCCGTCGCCGTTTAGCGAGTCGATAACATCGTGCTTGTCTAGACATCTGTAGAATTTGTCGCGCGCATCCCAACATATCTGCCGCTCTGTTCTATCTGGCGCACGCGCACCAGTGCGCACTTCCTCTTTGCGCTTCTCGTCGGCGGAACCGAATAAACCGAAGATGCCCATGGTAGATATCGGTAGATATTCAATGACGAGCAACAGAGGGTTAGATATGGGATTAAGAATTAAGAAGTTGTTGACACGGACTAGCCAGTCGTCTTTTCCGAATGACGTCGTCTTTTAGATTTGTGAAAAATAAAGTTCTGCGGGATGAGCTCGACTTATCGACGCTATCATATTGAAGCTACATGTATCAAGCTGGATGCCGATAGGTGAAGCCTTCTAATTATGTAATACATTTAAGTACCTAGGTAGGCTGCTAGGTACAATACCTAAGGTAGCCTGCTAGCCCAGTAAAGCTTGAAGATCACCCAACAACGCTTAGCGGCTCAGAATTAAAGTTAGATGAGCTGATGAGGAGCCCCTGCGTCACCTAACCTTCGTCAAAATTAATAATAGCCAAACCCAAATAATTCAACAATTTCGACAACGCCATTCTTCCTACGACTTAATACTTCTCACCTACATCATAACTGGTAATTTTACGTACCTAGGTAGTTATACAATAGATCGAGCCGCCGAAACTCCCATTTAGAAATGGTAGCCTTATAGCGCGACGTCGAAGCGAATAACATCCAACTTCCTTTCCATCCACTCATTCATACACTTTTGTTTTTTGGTACTATCAGACGAACGTTGCGCAGCGATACCGACCCCTTTCCCTCCGTTTACCTTTATTCCAGAACTCGAAAATGGCTAGACGGAGGAGACCTCCGCGGGCTGGCGCCGTGAACGAACTCCCCCCTCTACGAATCCTCGGCCAGATCGCGGCGCTGCAGAGCATATACTACGCGGCCGCGCTTGTCCTGATGCTCTTCACATCCCTAGTCGCCGGGACCCGGTTTAGCTTAGACTTAGTTTTCGGCTGGGCGGAACTGCGCGGCGACACGACGCAAGGGTGGTTGATGGGATTTATCTGGCTATGTTGCGCAGGCGCTGCGTTGGTGCCCCTCACCCTCGGATCTAGGCGGAATGGTACTAATAATATGACAATACAGTATAGTAGCTATGGTAGCTTTCATAGGCCGGTCGAAGCTCGTAATCGATTTTGCGCTTACCCTCCACTTCATCCACCTCGTCATCGTGACCTTTTATACGGGCTTCTTACCGCGAAACGTCGCCTGGTGGGCTACAGCGATACTTTCGAGCGCCATAACCGTCGTGGGAGGTACTTATGGCTGCCAGTGGAGGGAATTGCGGCCTATCACTTTTGGGGGTAACGCGAAGAATAATAATACGGAAGGCGGCGCCTCGGCTACGGCGCAGAACGGGGCTGCGGGAAATCAAGGAGACGAAGAGATGGGCTTCTCTAGGGGCCGCGGAAGGGGTAGAGGGAGAGATGGAGCTGGAGAGTACGAAATGGTTGGCATGAATGGCGATGGGAGTTGATAATGTTTTTATCCCCTTTGTGGGGTTTGTTGGTTTATAATCAGTTGGACTTGTATGAATACTGCATGCACGGCGTTGGTTCCTTCGAAGAATAAATGAGAGCCTCGAGGGTTGGGACTGCTTATGTTCCGTGCCATGATATTATATCTGGTTATGTTGGACAAGATTATAGACGAAGGGCATGACGTATATACACAGGGGCTTATAAGTACAGTATCTGTAAATACTTGCCCTTATCCGTCTCAACATGCAAGACCAAGCCTGGGCTCACTTCAAGGGTCTAAGATTAACCAGAAGTAGACCCGAACCTACGGAAAATTAGACATGTGCCTGAGTGTCGACCCAGAGCAACGGGTCCGTAGGTCTGCGAAGTATCCACTTGTCTCCGGTCTAGGTATTCCCCGTCCACTCAAATTTGAAGAATCATGTTTTACATTAACCCAACAAAAACAGGTGACGAAAAACTTTCCCCTTAGCTCAAGTCCAATAAATGCCGCTATTAAAAGCAGGGTAAATAGGAAATTTTCTATGAGTCGAGAATCTCGTTACCGTAGAAGCATCCGATGCGCTCTGGGTCGTAAACGGAAGATGGCCGGAGCCCGCCTATAACCGACGGTCTTATTGTTTGGATCATTTAGTTGAGGTCCTAGTAACTACCTCACGTAAAACCTATTACTAGAATATCCGTCTTAGTTCAATCGCCATTGCTATTATAAAAATATAAATACTTGAGATGTAAAGTCTATTTCGTCTGCCTGTTGTTGTTGTTGCTGTTCGTCTTCGTCCACGCGCCACGTTCTGTTAAAGAAACTTTCCCGCCATGGCTACGATTATATTGGGCGTTCAATGGGGAGAGTAAGAACTCCGCATTCTTGCTTTTATTATCTATTTATATCCTTATTGCTAATTCGTTTTATTATATATATAGTGAAGGAAAAGGTTAGTCGGCTGTTTAGTTACTGATCTACCCGTAAGACATCACCTAACAAGATGACTTTGTCATACGCCCCTTTCAAGGCAAGCTTTGCGATATTCTCAGCTCCGATGTTCAAATTTGCGCCCGAGCTACCGGCGGGAGAAACTGCGGTCACAGTAAGATGCCCCTATTGCCTTCTTTTCTAAAGATGAATGTGTATACTAATACATATACGGTCACCTATAGCTATCGTTGCTGCAGGGGTATCATACGACTTGTAAGTGTCACCTTTCACTCTATCTGCTTACAGTATTACTAACCATTTAAAGCCACATGCTACCATCAGGCCTGCTTCACCCGTCAACTACAAATATAATTGGACCTGGTGTTGTCCTACACGTGCCTACTTTCTTCTCCGAGCTCGCCAGCATCGAGGCGAAAGGAGTCGTAAATGCCCAACAGAGACTTAAGGTCTCAACGCGTTGCGCACTAAACCTCGATCTTCATGCAGTCGTGGATCGTCTTCACGAAGGGCAGCTTGGCAAGAAGAACATAGGTACCACAGGTAAAGGTATTGGCCCTGCTTACAGCTCTAAGGCCGATAGGAGTACCGTACTTCTCGGCGATCTTCTCGACGATGATGAATTCGGAGACCGAATCAGGGCAATGGAACGGGGTTACAAACTGAGATTCGGCGGGGACTTGGCCGGATACGACGTCGAGGCGGAAATCAAAAAGCTCGAGGTAAAGATACTGCCCCTTCGACCGTACTCTTCTAACCCCCCAGAACTTCCGTGAGAAACTCCGCCCCTTTTCCATAGACGACGTGGAATTCCTCGAGGAGGCCCAGGAAAAAGGACAAAAAATCCTCATCGAAGGCGCGCAATCAGCCCTCCTAGATAACACGTACGGAACCTGGCCCTATGTAACGTCGACAACCACCACTTTCGGCGGCGTAATGGCCGGGTTAAATCTCAACTACCGAAAGATAGATTCCGTCATCGGCGTCCTGAAAGCGTACTGCACGCGAGTCGGATCCGGCCCCTTCCCCACGGAAGACTTCGGCGACGTCGGCACCAAGCTCCAGGAAATCGGGCACGAGTTCGGCGTGACCACGGGACGCAGGCGCCGCTGCGGCTGGCTGGATCTAGTCTCGGCAAAGTACTCGAACAGCGTCAACCACTACGACTCGTTGAACCTGACCAAGCTCGACGTCCTCGATACGTTTGAAGAGATCCAGGTAGCGGTAGCTTACCGGCATCCCGATACCAAGGAGCTCATCAGAGGTTTCCCCGCCAGCGCGAAGCTCCTGTCTCGAGTCGAGGTTGTGTATAAGACCATGAAAGGCTGGAATGCCACGACGACCGGCACCAAGAAATTTGACCATCTGCCCAAGGAGGCCCAGGACTACGTCACGTTCATCGAAGACTTCCTCGGCGTCAAGATCAAGTGGATTGGGTGCGGACCCAAGCGAGAAGACATCCTAACTCGTTGATTCTCCAGCCACTCTGTTTTCTAGCATTACTTACCTACCTTAGGTACCTACCTATATAACCCGACATACTGTGGTTTATGGAGGATTAGGAGGTAGTGTCAGGTATTCCCCGACATAAACAGTAGTTTCCTCATCTAACTTACAGGCTTACTTGTGAAAAGTATTATTCTTATAGATTATTAACTGGCTAAACCTTCACAAGAAAATAGGATTGTGGAATTCTCTATCGGGAGAGCAAGTATTCTTATAGATCTGAGCCTAACAGCGAATTGACAGAGGGGCGAAAACTGGAGCGGTATTCGACTCGGTCGGAGCAACTCGAGATTGAGATCTTAGAGAGGTTTCTTAATTATTTACCTAGATAATAGAGAAGGTGTCTCAGTATTGATAGTTTTTGGTCCCGTTCATTACCCTAAATTTACGTGTGAGCAATAATAACCTTAAATGATGCCGACCAGCTAGGTAGAGTCAAACCCCTGAGCAAACAACTAACTTGGAGATTTAGTTCCATATAAGATAACTACCTAAGCGTAAGATCCAACATTTGACGAAAAGTTCTATTAGAACGACGATTCACTTAGGTACCTATGTAAAGCTTAATATGACATATTAATCTACCCTGTTTTATGCAATACAGTGTCTAGGCCTATATATCCGCAACCGCAAAGTCAAACCCTACGTACCATCAATCTCAGCTAGCCCCTGATCTCTAACCTTTTCTCTACCTCCGCAAATGTTTTGCCTTGACCTAGTACTATCCTGTAACCTATAGGCTACTTTCTTCGGTAAATGCCGCACCTTCTTCCGCCTTCAGTTTGTATATGGTCTCGTCTGTATTCTGTTTTGCCAGTGTCAGCCGTCGCGAAAGGCTATCTTGGCTACTCCGTCTAGTTTCAAGGCAATCGGGAGGACAGAACGGATCCGAATTTCCAGGTTCGCCCTGAGACTCGGACCAGGTATCAGGATGGCAAGAATCGGGTTCCGCTACTTTGTCTGGCTGACCTGTCTTCACCGTATAGTCAGTTACAGCCCCTACGGCCGAGACATCTCTTTTTATATTTACGACAGAGCTCGAGTGTGTATTAAGTGTTTCTCTTGATATCCTTGATACTATGAGATTGGAGGATGTAGTCGGCATTAGAAAGGCATGCCCAAGTCCAAGGGGCATACTTGGCAGCAATGATTCATCGCCTGTCTTGGACATTTCACAAATTGATGAGATGCGAGATGGGATCACATCTTCCGCATCCGAAGTCAAAGAATCCGGAAGCCGCTGCAAAGTATCGAGTTCGTACCCCATATCAGCTGAGAGAAGGACGGGTTCAAGAGGTTCAAACCTCGGGAAATATTCTTGTACAAATTCTGAAGTATCGTCAATGCGCGAATTAGCCTCTTCCTGACCGCTACGGCTGATTATTAACGGTTGAGGATATAGACTTTCCTCGGTCCCCTCACTAGGTATACATGAACATTCTGGTAGAGTTTCGATATGAGTAACTGAAATTGAAAGACCTTCATTGAACTCTTCGGTGGACTCCGCTAGTGACGCAACGTCATCTGGTGTTGTAACTTCCGATAAAAGACTGCGCTGTGTCTTTCGTCGTTGTCCGCGTCGTTGTGATGATTTGGATACTGGGCTTATCACACCAGATTGTGGGCCCGACGACAAAGGCGTATTGAATGGGATAGTTGGAGGCATATCAAGAGCTGGGGAGGTTGGCGCAGATATCTCATTGCTAGGACTCGCGACACCACTATGGCATGGTGTATGAGACGTAGGAGAATTTCCCGATACGCCCGTTGATGAGCCAGACCTTCCGGAGACTAAGTCAAGGCTCCTCCTCGATGAGAGCCGGTCAAGTTCTGCCGTGGCAATCATTACACTAGCTATAGCCAATGGGTCGATATGACGCCCAATATCATGAGAGGTACGTTTGGCATTAGTAACAATAGACTCAGGAGTATTAAACAATGGACTTTCCTCGCCGGATGGCGGCCAAATACCCATGGGGTCCCGAGCCAAGAGCCGGCGTTCTTTACTACGTCGTGGGGCAGGGAACTCAGATCGAGTAGATAAAGTTGAAGAGTTTGAGCGTCGAAACCTCTGTCTCAGAAACCGGAATTGATTTGTAAGAATATCGCGGACACGTAAATGATGCCAGTGTCGATTTTTGTCAACCTTGAGACGTAATTCATGGGCTCGCGCTTGTGTGCCTTGACCCTAGACATATAACTAGTTAACAGGTAGAATTAACGGTAAATAGGGACACATACCTCTAGTCTTGATGGCGGCATTCCAAAGTCATCCGGATGTCGACAAAACTCCGGGCATGAGTTATGAGCATGTCTTTGAACAGCGTGAGACTGAGCATTGGGCTGTGAAAGGTAGAAACATAGCTTCTCATCAGAGATGACCTCGCTACCACTGTTACTGCGGCTGTCTTCATCGTTATTAACAACTGGAGAAGAATCAACTAGAAGCGTATGCCGAGAAAATATGGCGTTTGACAATTCTGATACATCATGTTCCCGACGGGGTTCCTTCTTTCCCTAGCTTTTCTCCCAGTCTATAGACCCAGACGTATTAGACTTGAGCTTCTGAGAGCCGCCGGATAGATCTGCACTTCGGCTAGACTCTTTCAAATCACTAAGCCCATCCCGGAGTAGTTTAGAAAGTTTGTCGCTTTCAGAACTAAGTGGACCATCAAGGCCAGTCCCCGACTTCACGATCGATCGATTTTGCCTGGGAGGCTGTAGTACGATGCTTGGGCAAGCTGGACCTACGTCGACCCCACCCCCTGAGTCCGGCGCGTCTGGAGAAGTAGCCGGGGTACTTTTCCCGGTCAACCTGGTCTCTTCATTTGGACAGTTTGAATAAGAAACACCCGACAGCCAATTCGCAATCAATTCATCGTCCGCGCCAAGTTCCCATTGGTTATTGAGGTCCTCAGAGCCGACTGAGTTTGGGCTGACTGGCGTAAGGGACCGATCTTTACAAGTTTGGGGGGCCCGACGCGCCTGGCAAGAGAAAGGGGCCCCGGTTGGACGTAAATGGAATGTATGCGGTTCGGGAGAGAATAGCCAGTGCCCATCCTCGAATTCTCGATTGTTCTCATCACATCGTTGTTCGGCGGGGGCCGATTTGCAGCTATGAGAGTGGCATCTATGAGGATGACATTGGCCGCTATAGGAATGTCCTGTCGAGTTGGGGGATAATAAATGTTGCTCTGCGGTGAGCAGTGAATACCCATAATCTATAGCTTGCATAATACGGATCCAAAAGGCTTTAAAAATGTAACTATCGCCACTTGGTAAAAACGAAGGGTATGATTCTAGGTACAGGTTTAGGTATAGGATCGTTACGTTGATATGGAAAAATGAGGGAAGGATTAGAAATGATGTTGTATAAGCGAAGGCGTAGATGATAAGTTGTCCGTTAATTAGAGTCAAATTGAAGTAATGAAACCGCAATGATATTCACTAACATTAGGTAGGTAGTTACTTCCGTGGCGTGAAGACGGTATCTGTGCTACTTGCCTCTTCAAAGGTCTCGGGATATAGAAGGTTCGATCCTCGAAACGATCTTTCTGCTTATGTACCTGTTACTCTTTACTTTAGAGTTTACTTCCTAGGTACATAACCTTGTGTATCTCCCCACTCTTACACCTAAGTATTGTACCTGAGGCAATGTTGTGCATTTTCCGGTGTTGAGTTTAACTATTTACGTGAGAACCCGCCGTTAGCCGAAGTTACTACCGAGTATTCCCGCCGCTCTAGGAATGCCGAGGGCCGCCGAACGGGGCGTCATTCCACTAATTTTTGTTTGGACTCGTTTGTTTTCGATCTCGGCCCCGCAACCGCCTCCATCATCACCATGGTCCATGGATAGGTAGCTTCAGATAGAGAAACCCCAATTGCGCTCACCTCAATTCTTCCCAATTGAGAGTGCAGTCATGTTTCGTCCGGTAATATCGCGTGTTTCGAGGCCATTGGCCATGCCTACAAGGCAATACCAGGCCTTTAATAGAAGCTATGCTTCCGCACCGAAGTCTTCGTTTAATTGGGAAGACCCATTAGCAAGCAAGAATTTACTCACTGAGGAGGAATTGGCTATTTCGGAGACTGCAGAGCGATATTGTCAAGAGCGATTACTGCCGCGGGTTTTACGTAAGTTATTCTAGTGATAATTCGCCTTTTATGTAGTCCAATAGCTTACCCGCTGACTGTATTGCTCAGAGGCGTATCGTGATGAGCACTATGATCCGGCTATCTTGCTTGAAATGGGCGAGCTTGGCCTACTCGGTGCGAATCTTCATGGCTATGGTTGCGCTGGCGCATCGACCGTAGCATCGGGCTTGATTACTCGGGCCGTCGAACGAGTCGATAGCGGGTACCGATCTGGCATGTCGGTGCAATCCTCGTTGGTTATGGGTGGGATTTATGAATTTGGGACTAAGGAGCAGAAAGAGAAATATCTGCCCGATATGGCGAAGGGTAAAATTCTTGGAGCGTTTGGACTTACAGAACCCAACCACGGTAGCGACCCGGGATCAATGGAATCGATAGCGCGACCGCATCCAACGAAAAAGGGGTATTTACTTTTAAGTGGCTCCAAAACTTGGATCACCAACTCGCCGATTTCCGATGTGCTTCTAGTGTGGGCAAAGTTACAGGAGACAGGCAAGATCAAGGGATTCCTTATAGATAAAAAGGATTGCCCTCCCGGCACCCTGGAGACGCCAGCTATCAAGAATAAGACTGGACTTAGGGCTAGTATTACGGGCATGATTCATATGGACAATTGCCCGGTACCGGAAGAAAACATGTTCCCTGATGTCGAAGGTTTAACTGGCCCCTTTACATGCTTAAATAGCGCTCGGTATGGTATTTCCTTTGGTACCATGGGCGCCTTGGAAGACTGCATTGCCCGGGCGCGGGAATATGCTCTGGAGCGGAAGCAGTTCAAGAGTAACCCTATTGCCAAATATCAGTTGGTGCAGAAGAAGCTGGCAGACGCTGCGACAGACGCTGCGTATGGCGTGCTCGCCTCGATACAGGTCGGTAGGCTTAAGGATGAAGGGAAGGCTACACCGGAGATGATTAGCATGGTAAAAAGACAAAATTGTGATCGTGCGCTTGTGAACGCGAGAGCGTTGCAAGAAATATTCGGGGGTAATGCGGTTAGCGACGAGTACGGAATCGGAAGGCATGTAGCCAACCTATTTGTGACCCAGACCTACGAAGGGCAGAGCGATATCCACAGTGAGTTAATTATCCTAAAACTGATGACCTTTGCTAACCCAGTACAGGTCTCATTCTCGGAAGAGCCATTACTGGGCTCCAGGCTTTTGTATAAAAGCGTAGCTATTGGGCACCTGCCTATTTAGCAAGTTATCTTAGGAAGCTAGATAACTTCCATAGCAAGTATTCGAGCGTTTCTGATATAAAGCAGTTACAAATATTGACTACCGGCCTCATAAGAAGATCTTAGATACCTGGGCGTTTTCGATTTCTTGTAATAGATCTAGAAACTAGAGCATATATCACGGGTTGTATAATATACCTGTTATCCATATAAATATTTGACTATACCTAGTTATGTATCTTGTGAACTTCTGCCATAGCAAGAGCCAAACCATAAGGGTGTGGTTTATCAGGCTGAGATAGAGTCAAGGCATCCGAACGGGCCCAAACAAGTCATAATGCGGGTTCACATTACTCCAACCGTGCAAAGAGCTTGGGCAAACCAAACTTCTAAGCCAGTATTGTTATTCGGCATGAGTAATGTGAAGCGTGACAATTGCTGACAGCTGAGGCGAAAACGAGCTGTAAGTGGTAGAGATTGGGAAGTTGTAGGCGCGGTTAGTTGGCTTAATGCCTAGGTTAGGATTGGACGGTACGGGTGGCGGTGTGGGGATCTGTATGCTTCCGTGTAGTGAGACAACCTGCCTAAGGCGCCGTCTCTTCGGGCTACCAGTCAGCCCAGTGCGCATCCAATACAAATCCAGGTACCACCTCACAGTAGTGTAAGCTAAGCCACTCTCAGCCACTCATTTTTGAGGAAGTTACGACGAGACCAGCAAGACGACTGCAAAATTGATTGGCCTGAAGAAAAGAAAAAAAAAAAAAAGGTAGGTTGTTAGCGCCTACCCGCCCTGCCCGTTCTTTATGGACTGGTCTGTGCTGACCTAATTATTTCCATTTCCATTCATTCCGTCACCTGAAAGACCTGCCTGACTTTCCCTTTTCCCCCGCTACCAACCCTTTCGTTACTACAGTCACCATCAAACAATCATCCCGAACAACGATAATCATAATAACAACGACACCACGTCCCGACCTCATTCATATCCTTCAACACTTCGACCGTAGTCATTCGGATTTCCACCCTCTGGTATGTTTATATTTGTCTTTTATAAAAATCCCTTTTCCTTACGGTTACAAACCTTCGCCTTTATAACTCTATCCATTTCTCCCGCATTCCATACTGACCGCAAGTATAAGTAGTTGATCTCTTCAGGAGACATACCGCTGCCGACCAAAACAAGAACCCGCAAACTCACAACCCACACCTCTACGAAATGGCGTTGAAGCGAATCAACAAGGAACTCACAGACTTGGGCCGGTATGTCGATATTTTTTTCTTATCGTAGTCGATGTTTGTTTTGGTGATGGTACTTGATTTGTATCCTGAACGAGCCCAAGGTGGGGCTGCCATAGAAGGGCAGGGCGGGGATCGGGATACAATACAGCCTCATCAAAGAAGGCTTCATACTCGTCTACTACCTCTAGGGGTGATTTCTACCAGGGTGATATTTTGATCAAATTTGCTAATACTCTATCTCTTAGTGACCCCCCTTCATCATGCTCTGCTGGTCCCGTTGGTGAAGACTTGGTAGGCATCATCTTCCCCTACCTCCAAAAAAATTGATAGGCGTCGATACTATCTACCCGCCGCGTGACTCGGTCGGGCACGAGCAACTAAACTTCAGGAAGCATCACGTCATTAATTAACTATTGCTGACTTCTCATTTCTCTATGCAGTTCCACTGGCAAGCGACGATTATGGGACCGGTAAGCCATTCCTCCAATCCCCTCACCTTTGTTCCTTTGCGCGCGCATGCTACCGTGCACGCTATGAGCTGGTTTTTTGCTAGTGGTGGCTCTTTTAGCCGAACTTGTTATATATTGCAAATCTGTTCGCAGTACTAACTTAATGTCGTAGGGCGACTCGCCGTACTCTGGAGGTGTCTTCTTCCTGGCAATCCACTTCCCGACAGACTACCCGTTCAAGCCCCCTAAGGTCAACTTCACAACTCGTATCTACCACCCGAATATCAACTCTAATGGCAGCATCTGCTTGGACATCCTGAGGGACCAATGGAGCCCGGCGTTGACCATCTCTAAAGGTAAATATCGCATGCTAACTTTGGGACATTCTGGCTCTAACATTACATAGTCCTCCTGTCAATCTGCTCTATGCTTACCGACCCTAACCCCGATGACCCTCTTGTCCCCGAGATCGCTCACGTTTACAAGACTGACCGGGCAAGATATGAAGCTACGGCCCGCGAGTGGACTCGCAAGTATGCCATCTAAGATTACGAGTAAGGAGAATTCGCTGGCGAAGAATGACGCTTGGCACCGGAGGTAGTGAGCATAGCACTTTATCGGTAGTGATACTGGAAGGGACATGGATTCTTTCTTCCAACCTAGGCAATACGATCTGCATTCACCAGTGTCCATTCGTCGTTATGGTTTAGTGTGCCTCTTCGATGAACATTAGAGCACATGCTTTCAGGAGTGGAATGAGAATGACTTGCTAAGGAGGATGAAGTTCTACGAAAGGCATGATATGTTGGAGTGATCTGGAGGGACTCTCTGGCTTTACATTTTATTCCTCCTTGACATTCATCACAGATTTGTTTTAATGCATTCACGTTTCCCTTCTCTCTTTCCCGCATTGTATTTGTGAAGTCTACCAATAAGCTCCAGGGCTTATTACGGCCTAAATAGTCTGAAGAACTCTCCTGATTCCTATAGATGCCATCCCAACTAGTGACAGCTGACAGCCCATACGATTATGAATGGTAATTAATCTCAAGCCTTGAGAAGGATTATTAGGGTTCGCCATTATGGGTTGAGCCACCTGTAATATCAACGTAAAGCCAACCAATCCAAGATGCCAGGATCAGCCCGAGTCAACTTTTTGGGGGCTTTTTTTTTCTTAAGTGCCTAGGTGAAGATATTTTTGAATACGGCGTTTCGATTTCTGATTTAGGTGCATGTGATGGAGGAAGTAAGATATACACTATAGAAACGTGGCGTATGCATTTACCCACATGCACCCCTTGTTTTAGCCGCCGAACCCAGGTACATAGACTAGGTATGTATAAATAATAACTTACGTAGTTAGTTTTATATCTAACTTATGATTTCACCGCCGGTCGTACGGTGATGGTGTGTTGGTTGAAATAGGTAGTAAGACAGTTGTTTGGATATACATATCGTTGCACCTACATGATCCTACCACAAATATAGATGCCGAGAAGGTTATTTTGATATCCGGATTTGGATGTTTCCGGGTTGTAGGATCTGGAGGGATTTCGTTCGGTCTTTTCTAACTTAACTTACTACTAGATTTGTGCGGCGTTAAGTCACGCGGATGTCGATGTAAGGCGAAAGACGAATGATGCTGGAATTTATGGAAATTTATGGGAGCGTGAAATAATATCGATTTGATGCGTGGGATATAGTGGTCTATGTACATAGGCATATATAGATGTGCGATCTTTTACTACTTAACGAGATCTGCTCTAGGATCTAGCGGCATTGTGCGACGGCATATAATACCATGGTGCATTGGTCTACGGTAAGGATGTTTACTTGTGGACAAGCTCGAGCTGAATCGAATTGTCGTCAAGTTTGGTGATGTGATCATTTATTGGGTTGCCTTATTTACTTCTAGAGAAACCACTTGCGCCGCGAGCGGCTTTCGCTGATGTATTGTACCTAGACCTAACGCTGGCGTCAAGCGGCTGATGAGACTAAGCCTAGAAGTCTTTAATATATTCAAGCTCAGCTAATGTTGTCTAACGTTGCCAAATTTGTATAGCGCTTCCTTGGTATCACCCCCTAATATGGTATTTTTAAATAGTTACTAAGTTGCGCTGCCAAATGTCTTGAGGATTTCATAGAAACTAACTTTGTTTAAAGGATGTAGCTATTGATTGATCATATCACGATGGTGTGAATAATACTTTATAACCTGCAAGATCCTAAAGAAGAAAAAGTGAAGCTTCTATTTGATTCATCTACGTCGTGACAAGTACATATTCAAGGCGAGTTGGGCATAATATTCTGCTGGCGCTTTGCTCCTTTTCGCTACGGGACCCTTGGTAATTCGAGTCTCGAATGTTGTCTAAGGACCCCCCTGACGAAACAATCTGAGGCACAGGCGCCGGGGGGATATTAGGAATATTGACCAATAAGACGTCGGATATATTCCTCGACTTCTCCACATTCCAAACCGAGTCCAAGCTCGATCCCCCCTCATAGTGTATTCTTTTCCTTTTCATCTTGTACCACCTTACCTCCTAGCCCTTCCACGAAGCGACCTCCGCCCCCAGCTACATACGATAGTTCTAGCCCGGCCGAGGATTGCGCGGGCCCTTTTGTGTCTCTCTCTTGTATCGAGGCGTGTCGCCGCGATGGATGTGGTGCCATTATCCACCTCCCTATCCTGGACCTGAACGAGGATCCGTACATCAGACAGTCATGGCTCGGCAGAGTACACTAGAACGGAATATGTCATGGACGAAGATTCTTCGATGAATAGGTACTTTCGACAACGACAGCAAGCGCTGTTCTTTTTCGCCAGGTAGGTGTTTTTCTATTATCCGAACACTTATATTTACTTACCACCATTGCCGGCACCGCAAAGATGCAAAATACTCGGGCCTCGCACCCAAATTCGTTAGTCCAATTCAACCTGGAAAACGTGGACGTCCTGAGCCTCCTTCGTACTTCAAATGCCTCGAAACCGTTTGCGGTAAGGCTGTAACCGCTTTGTCGCTTGTCGGCCAGATCGAGGACCCATCTGTTTAAGAACCCCTGGTGAATGTAACGTGTACCTGGTCGCATGTGCCTGGATATACTACCATCGCAGGTTACAGGTACATAGTTTCATACTTGCCTTTCCCCTTATCCTCTCTTTAGTGTAAACCCCCCCAGGATCACATCACTCATGTGTATTCTTCACCCCCTGGCAAAGTGTGAGGTCTCGTAGGTACCTAAGCTTTCCAGAGAATTTCGTGGCCTACTAGTGTAGATGGAGCTATAGCAGAGTTGACGTTAAGTAAAACCTCGTTGCGGCGCTGTACCCAGGTATGATCTACGAGGATGGCCTGATGTTTCTTATTCTTGGCAGTCTTCCATAATATCCACCGCCTTCCCGTCTCTTGCATGAGATCTTCGGAACCCTTCTCTCCTTTCCCTTCGTTTACTCACAAACGCTTTCCCCTCCCGTCTTCGTTCTCGTAGGTGCGCTATTCGATTCTCGCGTTGGGCTAACCGGCAGCTGCTATAGCAGGCTTTCAGGGCCAACCCTACCCTCTTTTGACTGTCATTTTCATCCGCTACCTTGTTGATTATTCCCTTCTATGGCTTCTTGCCCGTTCAGCAGGTTCTGAATTAGTATTACCTGTTTTTTTTTCCCGCGCCCAGGGACGCGATTCCGATATATAATTAAAAAGTCTAATAGAGAAGAGGAGGTATTAGTGGTGTCGAGTTGTGGATTGTATTTGGAGATACGGGTGGACTAGGAAGACGACTGGAAAAGCGATTTTCTACAACGACCGCGAAATAATCAATTCGTATAAACGCCCTCCAACCAAGATGTCGTACTACGATATGGGCGAGAAGCCCTCGGAGAGGTCGAGATGGACGCCGTTAACAAGAATGTTGCTGTCGGGAGAGATGACGCAGGAACGGCAAAGGGAGTTGACGATGCGCGAAAGATTCGATAAGTGGATGATCAACGAAGGTTACCGAAGATTGTTCGTAATGACCGTGAGTTTCCTTGATATGACTCTTTATTAACTATCGGCCAGTTTCGTCTTCGTTTTCATGGTTCTCCATGCCCTAGTTTTCGCGTTCGGTTTCGTCAACTACGCCGTCAAGGACAACCTACAAGTAGCGAGAGATACTTTCGGACCGACTTACATGATTGCTAGATCGTCAGCATTGGTTCTTCACGTGGACGTGGCCTTGATTCTGCTGCCGGTCTGTAGGACATTCATCTCGATGGCGCGACAGACACCTCTCAACGGCATTATCCAATTCGATAAGAACATCACGTTCCATATCACTACTGCTTGGTCCATCTTCTTCTTCTCCTGGGTCCACACGATCGCCCATTGGAATAATTTGGCGCAGATCGCTGCTAAGAACAACTTGGGATTCTACGGATTTTTGGTCGCCAACTTAGTATCTGGTCCAGGCTGGACGGGTTATATCATGTTAGTCGCGCTTACAGGCATGGTATTGACATCATATGAGAAGCCGAGACGAGCGAACTACGAACGATTCTGGTACACTCACCACATGTTTATCATCTTCTTCCTTTTCTGGTCTTTCCATGGTGCCTTCTGTATGATTCAACCCGATTTCGCGCCGTTCTGTATCTCGATCGGTACCTCCGCTATTGGTGTCTTCTGGCAGTACTGGATGGTCGGAGGATTTACTTATCTGGCCGAACGAGTTGCCCGTGAACTACGTGGACGCCACAAGACTTATATCTCCAAGGTTATCCAGCATCCGAGTAACGTTTGCGAAATTCAAATCAAGAAGGAAAACACCAAGACGAAGGCTGGGCAGTATATCTTCTTCTGTTGCCCAGAAGTCTCTCTTTGGCAATACCACCCGTTCACCTTGACAAGCGCTCCTGAAGAGGATTACATCTCGATCCATATCCGTATGGTGGGTGATTTTACGAAGGGTGTGGCTAAAGCGCTCGGATGCGACTTCGAGAGGAAGGAGAAGGACGCGTCGACAGTTGTAGGTGTTGACGGTCAGAACAACGAGGTTGATCCCGCCTTAAAGAGAGTCCTTCCCCGAGTATACGTCGATGGCCCGTTCGGTTCTGCTTCAGAAGATGTGTTCAAGTACGAGGTTTCCATGCTGGTCGGTGCCGGTATTGGTGTTACGCCCTTCGCGTCCATCCTCAAGTCGATCTGGTATCGGATGAACTACCCGCAGAAGAAGACCCGCCTTGCGAAGGTGTACTTCTTCTGGATCTGCAGAGATTTCGGTTCTTTCGAATGGTTCCGTTCGCTACTGATGGCCATCGAAGCCCAGGACGTTGACAACAGAATCGAGATCCACACTTATCTCACAGCCAAGATCAAGGCCGACGATGCGACAAATATCATGATCAACGACGCCAATGCTGACAAGGATACAATCACTGGACTGCGCAGCCCGACTAACTTCGGACGTCCTAATTGGGATATGATCTTCCGAGGCATCAGGAAGCTTCATTCGCCAGCTGAGGCGGGTGTGTTCTTCTGTGGACCTAAGGGTCTCGGCAGTGTACTTCACGTCTTCTGTAATAAGTACAGTGAACCTGGGTAAGTAAATCCTCATGATTGTAATTTGATAAACGCTTTTCTGCGGACGGATAACTAACCTAATTCCTTCCATAGCTTCTCCTTTGTCTGGGGCAAAGAAAACTTCTAAACTTGTGTATATACAAGACTTGGCCGACATAATGCCAATAAACCTCAAAAGCATCATCCTATCACCGGCGCCGGACGCAGATGGCCACTGTATATGTGTATTAATCGGAGGCAATTTCTGGTTTTCCTTCGCTCGGGGGTAGAGTGCGTTCCTTTGCTGGACTGGTCACGTAGACTTGAAAGTGGCCAGGACTCTTAATTAGCTCGACAAGCAAACAAACCATACTCTATGACCTGGCCGGACCAACCATGATGAGATAAATTAATATATACTTAAAACTCTTGGGCTCGGTGGATACTTCTTTAGATTCCGGCCGCCGGCGATGTGTCTACGATATACGGAGATGAAGTTGGAAACTGAGCTTCAGTAGATGTTGATACCATATAACTATACCTTTGTATCTAGTTTAACTAACCAATCCTGCAATATCTTTTACAATTAGATTTATACCCACACTCTATGTTTTAGAGATCGTGATTATTTGATTAATGATGCTCAATACTCTATTTATCTATTCCATGTACAGAGTAGGATAATCTATATAATAGTCTATTTAAACGACGATCTGATGTGCGGCTCTTTCATATAACCCTTCGTACGGCTTATGGCAAACAGTAAAGTCGAGACAAAGCGAAAGATACCTTGTAATCACAACTCCACCCGCACCGCGCGGGCAGAATGTGCCTTGCGATTGGTTGCCAAAGCCAAGAATCACTGAGAGAAATACTCAGGGCAGGACAGACTCAAATATCACTCCTCGCTTCAGGTTGCCCTGGGAGTCTAACTCGGGACTCGGCACCTGATCGACTACCGCCCGTCCTTACACTATGTATTATGAGGCTCTGACCTCGTTCCTGGATCACACTCCCCTGGTAAATGATCCCGGCATCTGGACCCGGCCCCTGAGAGCCTGTGGGTCCGACATGCACGCAAGCAAGAAGAGCGCGCTGCGGTGAAACGTGCGTGGTCTGGATGTTGTTTCGAGGCGTGGGATACTTAAGAAGACATACGTAAGCTGTTTTTTCTTTTCCTTTTTGTTTGCTCTTGATGGTTTTTTGTTACTTTATTTTTTGAAATTGCGTTTTGTATTAGTAAAGGGGTTCTTCGGATATAAGGGGGCATGGCGAATTTAATAAGTGCGGAAATAGATTATGGCTGCTATGTGCTTTGACCTAATGCTAGGATATTTGGGGAATGTCTGTTTCTGTAAATACATACTTGAAGCCCTCAAATCGAAGGGCATATCCTACTAATACTTTTTTTTATTTGTGGCTTTGTCTACTTAGAAGATAGTGTCGGTGACTATTTAGTTCCTTTACCATATAGCCACATCATACCATAGTCGGCTGGGCCTTTATTCAGGGGCTACCCAAAAAGAAGTACTGGTATTTTGATAATGTCGAACTTTGATGCCACAATAACACCACGAACGCGTAATACTATAACAACGGTGTCGTATGTCCGACCTTGCTGCCGATATCTTTCATATCGTCTTCTATGAATCTATCCTCATCGTCATAGAGTTGAAAGTCTCCCTCCGACACAGGCCCCGCGTCCGGGAACCAGACTCCGTTAGTGGAGCCGGAGGACTGTTCCTCCCCGGCCACCACCTCCCTAGGTGCCCTTTGAAATTCTGCAAGTAAAGGATCGTCCATGATCCAATCGAAATCGATCATATCTTCGTCAAAGACCCCCGGCACGTCCTGGTGAGTATTTTCTATATTATTAGCTCCGTGATCGCTCGTCAACGGCCCATCGTCAACCGTTGTCGTCTCTTGGCCGGATAGGCCGGTAGTAGTGCTATCAGCGGCACAGACCTCGCAGCTTTCCGGACGCACAACCGCATCAAATAGATCGTGCTTTGCAGTAAGTGGGAGTGTATCGATGGATGCGCACGGCTTGAGATCATTATGGCGGATGCTGTTTCCATTCCTATCGCCACTACTACTGCTGCCGTCCGTTCGTGGCGTGGCCTTGGCGCAATAGAGTAGGGGTGACGGCGGGGTGACATTAACATCCTCGTGTAGGCAAGCCCAGTAAACACGTCTTCGCTGGCACATGGGGTTAGATGAGATGTTACGATGATGAAACGTATGAATAAAGGGTCTGACACGGATGGTGGTCTGTCGGTTGGCGGAATGGCGGCTGATAGGTGGCGGTTTGAGCGCCCCGATTGGTGAACCTATCTCAAGGAAGGATTTTGAAAAAGACTTGGAGATATTACTGGCGGGCTTTAGTAGCATCTCAAGCACAGTAGTTATTGGCTTTCTTGACGTTTAAGTATCTTGTTTGTCTAATATCAGATGCCTTCCTAGAGGTAATCTACGTAAGCATACGACTTAAGATATACATCATGTCGGTTCGCAATAGTTAGGTACACGCTATTGACTTAGTTAATAGGTTTCCAATCTTGAATCTACGCGCTTATTTATTAGCACTGACCCCTATGTGGTGAATGCGGGCTATTTTAATTTTTTAGCCCAGATCATTTGCCAATGAGGGACAATTACCAATGCTTTAACTTATACCAGGGCTATCGTGAGACTTTATTACGCCTTGTTTTAATATACGATCTTACAAATTACATTACGAGTTATTAAGCTCCAGGCGTGAAAACATGCCGATGAACCTTCTTATCTAGTTCTAAACCCAAAGGAATAGCGATCAAGGCTCGTGCAACTTATTGGTGCTTCTTGAAAATAGAAACCACGTTAATATATGAGGCGTCGTCTTACACGGACAGTACATCCATTCACTCAATATATATTCTGGATTCGATATATCTTCTTGTATTCTCTTCTCCCTTCTTTCTTTAACCATCTCGGTAGCTTCACTAGAAGGTAGGTTTAGCAACGTAGGGCTTCGCTACACTTAAGTGCTCTCCTATCTTACAGTCACATAGTTGAGATAAAAATGATTCATATCATACAAGATATCTCCCTCCCGTGCATTATATTCCAAGTAAAATAATATCGACAAGCCCGTTAGGCCGCGGTACATGAACGCCTCTTCTCAAATAACCTTGAAACAACGTTATCCTTGAGAAAGGTACTTGTGGCATTTCTCAAGCGGTTGAACGACCCGTCTCAGCATCTCATGCCTCCATTTCTCAGGCGGGGTGCTATGGTGCCCCTCAAGACACCATCTGATTGCCTGGTCAAAGTCGTTTCCCGCTTCTTCTTCAACTTCATCGTTCCATTTCTGCGCAGCAATAACATCGAATAAATCTTTTTGGGTGTCATTTTCTCCGAGCGGCCAATCATCTTTGCGGTGAGGTTGGTTCTCGAGTAGTTGACCAAAGCATAGCTCTAGGAGAATGATACCTAGTAGTTCTAGTGATCGGGAAGCCTTTGTACTTCTGCCATTCGTACTTGCGGCGGATGGTAGTTCGTGCAGATTCTGATCATCTCTAGATCTGACATTGCCCATAAAATCGCGCCTGAGATGAGGTTGGTTGAGAATAATCTTGTGGGCGTTCTTGTCATTGCTGATAAAGACAATGTCCGACTTTTTCCATGACCCGGGAAGCCAAGGGGTACCAACAAGCTGTAGAAACGAAGATGCTAAAATAAATGAGAGCTCATATCGCTTTCGACGGCTAGGAAGTGGTGATGTTTCTCTCCGAAGTATTTGATCTATCGTGACAAAACTGTAGGTTTGCTGAGATACTTTATGCACGTAGTATCGGTTGTCGTCTTCAGAAAGATAGCCACAAACGCTTCCAGTTCCCTTGATCAAAGATTCACAGAGGCTCGAGATTGGATCTTCAAAATCAATATGGGTCTCGGACGGTGGAAGCATTCGAACTGCCTTTGATCTGATGACAAGTCAGTTTAGGCGGCATATATTACTGCTAGGTAGTTCCAACATACCGTCCTTGCTTTTTGTTGGCATTGGGGTGATTTTCCCCCATTACTGACCTGATAGGAATGCTAGATTTATGTTGCGGCTCGTGTATTGTAACACTTGTGACGCCAGTATGACTCGCGGGCAATGATTGAACTCGATTATCATTACCTCCAACCATCAGTACTTTCTGTACGTCCCAGTATGAGTGTAATTGTGTCGCAAATAGGACATTGAACTTCTTTTCTTTACTAGTTCGATGTTCTAGCAACAACTTCACCATGTGTGGATCGTGGCAATTGCAAGACCATGCGGATGCAAGAGCCTTGAAAAACGCATCAGCTTGTATCCAAAAGTTGCATAAGGCTGAATCATCAATTTTTGAGGCTATCCCTTGATCTTTAACGGCAGCTGGCTCCTTTTCACTCATTTCCAGTAATCCTTCTAGCTGAGAATCATATTCCTTGAGCTTTTCGAACAGTTTTGAGCGAATGCTCCTCCTACTGCTGAATTTTAATTTGTATGCTTGGAATCGAAGGTTGTCTTTCGTAGCTAATTCTCTCAGGCGAGTCCTCGACGTTCGGGTTTTCTGGCCACAATTATTAGTTCTAACAGGTATTGTAGGTACCTATTAAATATCCACGTCTTTAGTGACTTACTGGTTTTTGGAGAAAGTCTTGTATTTCGTCCGCTTCCAACGCCAGTTCATCGTCGAAGTCCTTCAGGCTTTTTCTGGTATGCTTTAAACAATCCATAAAAAGGTCGTATGAGTCCTTGCCCAATCGATGCATGAGGACATCTGCAATGTTCTTATCATGCCAACAGTGACCCCCCGGATCTGATAACAACTCTGTTATCCTATCTTGATCCTCAGTTAAGTCTGATAATAATATCCTGAGACGAGTCTTGAAAAATGCTTTGCAGCATCTGAGTTTGTATTCGCATTCTTTGTATTCTCTTCTGACATGGAAACTGTCCTCGACTTCTTGGAACTTCCCGAAAGCGGCGAAAGCGATCGGGAGAGCGCCAAGCACGGCACCGGCGATCTCAAAGCCAGACATTGGTTTTATCACATGTAAGGCGTAGTTTCTTGTCAGAAACTACGGCGTCATTTTTGCTACAGGTTTGTTATGAGCACCATTTTCCTTTTGATGCCGAGTAGATGAGGATTGCAGCCATTATCAGGCCTAGAAATTGTGAGGGGTAAGGGGTTTTGTGTGTGCTCTCACCCCTCATAGATGCAGATACCGATGGGCCCAATCACATACTGTCGATATGTAAAGTGGCCAATGCATATAAGAAGAGCTGGGTAAGATAGCTGATTACCGTGAATACCTCTCTGATTACATGTTAATAAGTAGTTACCAAGTTCCCTTTGACGGCCGAGTCGAAATGTCGCAAAATGAGAACATCTCGGAACGGAGTCGTAAGGTGAAAAAGCTTTTTACTGATCTTAAAGTCCAGTTGGACGGCGAGACCGATACAGTCTCATATCTCGTAGGTTCAGACGCCGTCCAGGATGCTTTGGATCGATTTCTATTATGGTCCGGGAATTTGGGTGCTCTACATTTGCCGGAAAACAAACTTTCTCTTGATTACCGCGTAAGGGCGGCGCCAGAGATCCGAGATCAGATATGTGAATTTCTCGACGACCTTCAGGTATCTATTGAAGAGTGTAAGGAGGGGTGCTCTTTATTTTAGCCTCGGTACTGATTGATATTATAGTGACGGAAGCAAGTATTATTAGCACTCTCAATATGGAGTCTCTGGGCTTGAACGATGATACGACTGAACTTGGTTCAAAGGATGTAGGATCGTACACACTTGAACAAGTTTCATCATACGAAGCTCAAAGTCTTCTTGAGGAAATATCTCAATGCATCCGATCGCTTTTTAGACTTGGAATCTTGATTCGAAAAGCAGTCCCGCGAGATCGGTTCCAGGAAGCTCTCCGGCGGTCAGACTACACATTCCCATCATCTTTTGACATCGATTATGTAAGAAATAAGCATCCTAAGCTTTGTAGGAATGATATGGAATGGTTAGCGGGACGGATCGGAAAAGCAAATGCCCAAAGAAGACAATATATTCAATATTGTCGTGATCATAGAATGCGGCTAGGCAATCTACACAACGAAACGGATCGGGGATCGGATACTAACCGTGAAGATGCGGAAAGCAAAGCCACCACAATGTTTCCCGTCGAAGGACCCGAATTACAGGAAGACCTTATATCATTGACAACTGCATCAAGTATATTTTACTCAGAAAACTCCCTTAAGCTACCGACACTGGACGAGTTGTCACCTGAATTAGAACCTTTCGAATGTCCCATTTGCTTCACTCTCCAGTCATTCACTGTTGAGAAAGCCTGGAAGTAAACCTTCCCACTCCATCTCAACTTTATATGACTAAAATACTATAGGGCCCATGCGTTTCGTGACCTTAAAGGGTACGTTTGCACGGTAGGAAAATCAGGCTGCGAGGACGAGCTGTTCAACAATCGAGATACGTGGTTTGAACACGAATTAAAGAACCATCGGTCAAATTATATCTGCCCTGTGTGTAGAACAGAAGAAGATGGTCAAGATTCGTTAACATCGCACCTGGAATCCGTCCATAGCAGCTTTTCTGCCCAGCAAATCTCCAGATTGACCGAGGCAGGTAGGCAGACACCGACTCGCTTCAGAGCTCAAGATTGCCCCTTTTGCAACGAGTGGGCTGAGGGCTTAAAAGAAAAAGGTCGTAGAAAGAACAGATCCGATGTTCAAATAGATGACAGCGCGCTTGTTTCAATGCACCGCTTCAAAAGACACATCGCTACTCACCAAGAACAACTTGCGATATTCGTCATACCGAGACCTAATGAAGAAGAAGTGGACCAAAGCAGTACTTCAAATTCAAAGAGCGACGAACCGGCCGCCGAAGAAGCCCCAACTGATACCATCCCTGAGGTTTCAGAGGACTTGGCTTTACCCGTGAGCGAAGAAACCACCACGTTCGATAACTCGTACGTACCTAGCAACGATACTGGGACAGAGTGGGGCGGAGGCATCAGATGGTATGATGGTAGCGATTCAGCAGAAACTCGCTGGAAATGTGTAAGTCGGTAACCCTCGTAATATCCTAATCTCTTAACTAACATTGACGAAGTGTAACTGTACTTTGGGGGGGAATAATTCACCCGTGTACGATGAGTTTTGTGTAGAATGTGGACATGGCAGGTGTTCTACCTGTCGTACCTGGAACCCGAAATAAACACCCAAGACAAGATAGTAAAGTATCATAAGCCTAATCCACTCATTGACTTCCGAACGATAAACTCCGTATATGATGAGATGTGTACTGTTTACTGAAGATATCCTATTAGTAGTCTAGTCACAATGGACTTACAATCATTTAGAAACGATGTTGGAGAAGTTTAACTTAATTTTGTAGGGGGTTTATATTTTGTTCAAGGTTACGATAACTTATATATATCCATCGGTGATCACATGCGACTTCCTATCAATATTACCTATTTTCGTTCGAATATTCTAGTCCCTAAGGGCTTAAGTACGGTCTACGTATTTCGGGTAACTTTCATTCACCCCTTGTCCTCTTCAGTCTTTGGTTTAGACGCGCTGAACGCATAGTTTCAAGGAGAAATATTGGTCCAATATATATCAAACTAGGCAATCTCAATAGGGAAGACGACATTACTCGGGAGTACCTTATATAAAATATCCTGTCCAGTATTGGTCACTTCCGAGTAAGTATTATTATGTCTTATTCGATAGTACATGCCTTTGCCCGGGGAAGATATATGCGGCCAGCGTGTAACAAGGTCTTGTAAGGGCTTGGAACGATTTCATATTTACTAATAATTTTCTAAGGTCTCAAGGTCCTGGATGATCTCACTATCTTAATTCTGAGGAGATCACGACCTATTTGTAGACGTTTCTAAGAGATGTATCTCCGTATCTAGTTGCCTCTTCGCCCCTTCGGTTGTATGTTGGCTATCTTGCATACTGCCTGCATCGTCTTGTAATATGCCTCATCCAATTGTCCTGATCTTAGTTATCTTAACCCCTTACTGGGTCTAGGCTGTATTTTTAAATTCCAGTCAAGCTAAATCCGTTTAGTTCTACGATGAGGAATATTCAAGTTATTATCTGAATTCATTGCGTACTTAGCTAAGAAGATTGTAGTATCTAATAGGTGCTTATTGTGCCACTCACCTCTATATATTAGGTACCTTAGGTACTTATTCAATCCTATATTTGCTTACCTAGGTATTTAGCTGGAACTGGACAATGTAGAACTATTTTCATCCAGACTATAAACATGATTAGAAGTATGATACTTGCCCAATGTATGTACAAGTGTACATCCCCCCTGAATCCGAGGCCGCTTAAATCGATATCGCAATAACGCGCAGAAAGTTTTACACCCCTGTCGAGTATCACCAAGACGCGCTACACCCAACAGGGCACGTCGCACGGACATCGGAGCGCTACTACCTCGCATCTCCGCCCAGAGTCCGCCGATCAGCGACTGCCCACCGCGGGAAAACTTTCCATTCCAACCTTCTTTTTCCCCCAATCCATCCGGAGAGCTTACGCCCATCGTCGTCGTCATCATCATCAGACTATTTCATAACATCGGACATCAAATAAGAAATTAAAGAAAAAAAAAATACACAAAAAAAAGGGACCGAAAAAAAAAGAGACAAAAAGAGACAAAAAAAGACGGAAAGCAAAAGAAAATGAGTCTGCGACCAGGAAACCGGCCAAAAGAGATCCACACCAAACACCTCACCGAGCGCGAGCGCTTCCGCGTCCGGACCCTCTACTACGATGCCTCCATGAGCAAGAAGCGCATCGAGGAAGTAACCGGCTACTCCCTCAGCCAGATCCGCACCGCCATCCGCGCCAAGTCCTCCGCAATCCCACCGCGTTCCGGCCGTCCCAAAAAAGGTACCTCCCCCCCCCCTCCCCCCCTTTATATGTACCTACCTAGTCAACCCAGCCCCTCCTCCCCTTAGATACCTAGGTACCTACCTAGGTATCTCAGGTTGGTTAGTTACGTACGTTAGGTACCTAGGTACTAACCCCATCGCAACAGGCAGCAAAGACGGGCAGTCCGCAGCCGACGACGCCGGCCCCTCCTCGGAAGGGTTCGCGTCGGAGGACTCGGCTCTAGTGCCGCGGAGTAACAGTCCCCAAGAAGAGGAAGCGCTCCAGCCGCAGACCGCATCATCATCATCTCTAGACCGGCTGCCGGCAGCGCTGCGGCGCTACATCTGGCAGCTAGTCCTAAAATGTGCCCCCGCGACAAGTCCGTTATCCTGCGTATGGTGGATCGAGAAGCGGCCGGAATACCCGTGGCTAGTCACGGGCGTATACCCGGAGCACTGGGAGACGCACTGGCGGGAGTACCTCGAGCACCGACAGCCCGCGGCGCGGCTGTTATGCCATCTAAACCGGGAGGCGCGGCAGGTTGTTCTCGACACCTTCGCGCCCGTGTGGTCTGAGGCCGGGATCGGGATGTTGGGGTCTACCGTTAAGTTCCTATGGATCGACCCGCAGCACGACAAGATCTACTGCAAGGAGGACGCTGCCGCTTTGCCGGGTCTACTGGATAAGTCTCGAGCTGCCGTGCTACCAGATCTGAGCCGTGTGCCCGCTGGCCCTGCTGATAGTAATAGTTTTCACGGTAGCGGTGGCAGTAGTAAAGGGTGAGCGCAAGGTACTGTCTTGATCTGTTTCCCGTCACTTTTCCCCATTCTTACGAGAGGGGTTAATACGTTGCAACTGTGAGATAACTCTTTATTCGGGTCGTGAAGCAGCGTAATGACATAGAGAAATGCGTATAGATTTACCTACACAGGTACTAATGCCAGCGATACTTTATTTTTTTTGCCTACAAATACTACCAAGGCAATGAACATTAATTGTGAGCTCGTCCGTCTAGCAGATATATGCCTTGTCGGCCTACCTAGGTCCTAGTCTACCTCGAGGTATTGTAACCTAACAAATTCGCAATGAACTCCCCGCCAATGCAACCATGTCTCATAATCCACGACGCAAGAAATCGGGGTATATCAGGATCGTATGGTAGGTACCCATCAGTACTAATGTGCAATACCGTTGATGGGAGACGGTTCGGCCGAGTCGAACGCTACACCCTCAATCATCTCAAAATCCTGACTCGTGCTCCGGGAATTATCAGCCTCAAGTTTATGACGCTGCGGTACATCAACTAGGTCGTCTTTTATCTCATCTCGAACGTACGCAACGTAATACGGATCACCCGTCTCGTTCAGGTCCTTTAGCACAGCCTCTGTGCCGCGGTTATCTTCCGTCACCGTCTCGTCGTTGTATCGATACCAGACATTGTGCTTAAAGTCTCGGATCCAGACCCAATAATGCCCCGCGGACGTGCCACCGCGGTGACAGATTACAGCGTGGATATTGTATTTCTCCTCCTGCATGGTGTTAAAGATCGTCTCCTCTTTCTGGCGCAGGTAGAGAAGTTCCTTTCTAGTCATCTCATCAAAAGGCTCAGTAGCCTCCCAGGACATATCAGCGAACTTATCGCAGAATGAATAGTCAGTAAATGACGAAGGGGTAGCTATCTTCTTGGATAGTCCATATTCCAGTGGTTCGGGTAACTTGTGTTTCAGTCTCACGTCATCGGAGAACTCTTGCTGTACATGAGCATCCTCAGCATTGTCGAGGGCCGATGTTACCATAGCCGCTAAATCTTCCGTATCCGTTTCCTTGAATTCCTTAGTTCATGTCAGCACTTTCATCACGCTTTAACCAGACGTAGGGAATATTACGAACATTATGCTGTTGAGACTCTGCAGGGACGTCTCGAACACCCTGGGAGGGTTTGGCCTCAAGCTCCTTTATGCGCTCCTTAAGCGCCCACGACCTTTTACGAGCAAGCCACACCGGCGACCCCTTCTCAGCCTCCATATATCGATCGAGGCATAAAATTTCCGGTATAATAACGGGGTTCTTGTTCTTGCCCTTCGGTGTGCTTCTTTGGATGCAGATATGCAGAATGGGAGGGAGGGATCTAATGCTACTATAACGTGCGCGATCCCCGTTGTCGATTGGCTCATAAGTGAAGTATCGATCCAAGGCGGAAAACAATGTACAGCGCGCATTGTTTACTCCGCCCGTGTTGCCAGCCGTCCCATCTGGTGCTTGAATGGCTTCCTCGGGATACGCTGTGATCCACCGCTCCGGAACAATCTCGACGTTCAACGGAGTCTCTTCTAGGTGAGAGACCAGATCGCTAGCCGAGTTTTCCTTCCTAGTCTTGACAGTATAATTAACTATTGTCGTAAAGAACGTCTCCGTAATCTTGTCTGCTTGCAACTCCGGCTTTTCCGGCATAGGGCCGTCCGGACGAATTGCCCGCATGAAATGTTCAAGTATATTTCCTATAATTTCTCCGACATCCTGCTGCTCCGTCCCTGATCTATCCGATCGTTCTAGTTGACGCGAAACTTCCGCCATTTTATCATCGAGGGTCCAGGATTCAGTTGAATCTTGCATCTTGACATCATCTTGAGACTGCAGAACAATAGGGGCATTGTCATCCGGGGTTTCCAACTGAACGTACGACATCGTTGCGTCTCCCCCGTCGTCAACCAGTGTTTGAGAACTCCGAGAACTAGCCATTTCGAGCTTATCATTCACCGACTCTACCGTGATGCTCACCGTGTCGTTGCTCACTCCATTTGCTGCATCGGGATTATCCTTGGAGAGCACCGGGGGTGCTGGCGACGGGCGTGCTGGGAGCGGCGGAGGGATATTCTGGGATCGCTGGTCTAGAATATCTCGAGCTGATGATAGCGCGGTGTTCGCAAGTTTCTGGGAGGGCTGCGCAGCGGCTTCAGTAGTTGTTTGTAAATCGGTAAATAACCCCTGAAGCATCTCGACAACTGTTTATAGGTTAGCACCTCCTAACAAAGATAGCGAATAGGGACCTCTCACATTGTCTGGCGACGATGGCTTCTTCGATATTAACGCTAGTGCCGTTTCCTCCCGTCCGACGTTGTCCAACCGTCTCCTCGTCAAGGTCAAGCTTTACCGAGTCAAAATTCAGGACTATGTCGCGTATGATCTTGACGTTATAAAAATATTGTAAGAGACTATTTAAGTAGCATGTATTGCCGATATTTTTTAGACCAGGTGGTGTATTAACAGAGTTCCCTGGTATTGGCGATGCATGAGGTTGCCATGCTAGCATCGGTGCATCCCCAGTCATCTTGACAAATTCGGCAATCTGCTGCAGCTCTGCGGCCTCTTCAGGTTTATCTTGTTGTCGCTTAAGTTCGGACAGGACGTCAATAGCTTCAACGATCTTGGTTTTATCTGCGTTTTCGTCCTGGCATGATATTAGTAGAAGGACACCAAGTAGACGCACCAAAAATAAATAACTTACCTGCACCCGCTGTTGGACAAAGCCCCGAATAATCTCCGCCGTCCAGTCTGACTCCACACCAAGCAGTTTTGTTGCCGAGGAGATGCTCATTCTTCTCAAAGCATTAGGAAGCGATGTCATGAGTCCTGACTCCCCTGTTGTCCTGAAAGCTGTAGGGTCGATTTGCATCAGAATATCCGTTCCAAAATATCTCTCAATGGCCTCGAGGTGTTGTTTGGCTTGGGCCTTGAACTCATCAGTCCTGTCATATCTAAACATCTCGTAGAATTTCTCCACAAACCAATCCGATGTCGTATCGTCGTAGGGAGATGCGCGGAAAAATGCAAAAGCTTCCTGTACACTCATGTCAATAGGGGATGTCTCGTCGAACCGGGACCTGTACATGATGATCTCAGTTGATGCATCATCACTACGATTCTGAATGCAGCGCAGAGCGGCGTCTAGATATTCGTCGCGGTATCTAGGGCGCAGTCCAGCTAGGAGAATAGCAGCCCAGCTAAAATATAGAGGCGGGTACATTGCTAAACAGCCTAGCAGGGTCAAGTCTGGTTCTGTGACTGTGGAGATATTCGCGTCGACAGGTCCGTTTGGGAAGTCTCCTTGAAATACTTGTAGCAGTTTATCCCAAGCAGGGACTGTCGCATCGCCATTAAGTATATCGAGTTCTACCTGCGCATCCTCCATCCGAGCTCGTAATGTTCGGACTCGGGTCGGGCTCTGTGCCTTCTCAGGGGGGGTGATAAGCCAACATGGCTCACCGGTCTCTGCGTCTGCTCCTTCACAAAACCCCAAGTACTTCAGAAGGTCATCGAAATCACTGCCTATACACACGGAGAATTTCTTGTTACGCTTGTTAATCCTCAGCGGGTGATCAGTAATTGATTGGAGCGAGTCTGTGAGGTATCTGCGGAGTATAGTCTCTGATTTCATAGTTGGCACTTCGTTAAAGTCTGAGTATCGTTCTGGATCTCTCTCCTTTGCAAGGATCAGATTGCGTGTAGTTCGATCATTGTCATAGAATTTAGCCACCTCCTCCGGCGGGATCCTATGAGGTAAGACGGATATCTCGACGTTGAATAGACATTGATCAGCTACGCAGATGTACCGAGCATAACCAACGGCGTCGTCGTAAGTTGCCGGGTTTTCCCTAAGGTCCTTCGCAGATTTTCGGTAACAGGGAACGAGCATATGATGACGATGCTCATCATTATACGGCTGAACAGGGTTTGAATTGCTCTGAACGTGGAAATGGTAGCGACATCGACAACAAACAGTAGAAACAAAACGGATATTTCGGTCCTGGAATGACTGGGTTGCGACCAACTGCATTTCATGACTTGTGCAATGAAAGTTGGAGTCAAGATCCGGTAATTGAGAACCGAGGAACTCACGAAATAGGCGAGGAGATGTGAGAGCTGAGACTTATCAGCAGTGCTTCATCAAACCGAAATAGCTCTGCGGGCATGTATAAAAACTCACGTTGAGGATTGGGTAGGTGTTGTAGACTACGTATCGCTATCGACTGGAGCTGGCGAAGCTCTGCCGCATCATCTAACTCGTCGATAAGGGCCATGATATCAACTAATCTCCCGAGGGCATAGGATCTAAGAGGCGGGTGTTGATTAGAGGGAACAGCTTGATTCAACCTAAGCGCGTTGCTGAACAAGATTTGACGCCGTGGACGCCTTTTACTTTTGCGTGTCAGAAAAGGCATCTTGAGGATAATTGCTGTGAAGAGTAGAGAAGGTCGGGGATTTAGGTAGCAAGCAGCGACCGAAGTGCAGATGTGAGGAGATACGGAAATATCAAAAGCATAGACCAACCTCGTAAGATATAAACAAGTTCTACACAAACAAACTCGTCGCGAGTAAGTACTCTACTTGTAACGCAAAGCTTATCACCAGCTTAAGACGACACCACCCCAACCCGCTGGTTTAGATATCGGACGTGAGTGGGGCTGTTCGCAGTCCCTAGAACATGTGTATTAGCAGAAGGCATATAGCTATAGTAAAAGATTAAAGTAAAAGAGAGTCCAGGTCCAAGTATTTATTTCCTCCTTGCCTCTCGTACACTTGTACGCTCAAGCTCCATACATGGTTCTCTTAGCCCGTATCTAGGGTCTGGTCCCTGGGGTATAGGGCCAAGCCCAATACTAATCCATAAAGTTCGTCGATGACAGTCCAGCATTAGATGGTTAGAGCGTAGGACAGATCCTAACTGTTTAACTTCCCCGGACGGCTATCATAAGCTCATGCTGAAGTCAAACTCGCTGGGCAGCTGTAAGAGCACAGCCTGGGGATAGAGTCATCCTGTTTAAAAGTAGACCTACAGTCTGCAACATCTAACCGAAGATATTGAACAGAGCTGTAGCTAAGAGTTGAAACAGACAGCCCCCTAGGGGGTCTATTCCTCCTCCCTCCTCCCAAAAGCGACGAACACAAAATAAAAGAATCAAGAATATGCGTACCTTGAATAGAATGATTCGATGTTCTCATAACTAAACGAGTATAGTTCAACTAGCCATACAGATGGCATTAGACTTGGGGCGAGACGAAATGAATAAAGGCATAGTAAGCTCACAGTTGCATCCCAGTGAGTGCACTCGATTAATGATCAATGATCAATGCCGTTAAGTCAAACCAAGACAGGGGTCTAAAAGAAAGAAAGGCAGAGAAATAAATGCGACGCAAAGCGCAAAACGCACGGGAACGATGCTCCAGGCAATCCTTAACAGAGAAGGCGCGTGTAAGATAGAGAGAAGTTGTAGCCTTGGTGATTATTTAAATAGCAAACGCTGACGAACTCCCCATGAGGAAAGATGCATAGGTATGTAGTTCTCGAGTTTGGAGGCAACTGAGTTATGCGCTAGTTCTTAGGGTAAAGGTTAGGATCATCATCTGGGCAGTAAGCTTTCTGCTTTCTGAGGATTACCAAAGCAGCTCCAAGGTACATAATGTACATACAAAAAAAGACCGTGCAGATGTACTTACTTGGGGTTTTGCTGGGGCTTATCGCTTATCTCGGGTACCAGAATCTTCCGCCACCAGAACAATCAATCAGGCGGGTCTACCTGACGTCTTTGTTTCACCCTTGTACCGCATAAAACATTAAACCAATCGGCAAATCCCCGGTTAATGCAAAGCTGTCAACTTCAATTATGTATCTACAGGCTACAGCATCACTTCCATGAACTTACATCTGTTCGTATGTACCTCTTATTTACACCACGTAGGTACCTAAGTTTTATTGGGAGTTACGGGTTGTAGTTGCGATTATAAAATTACGAGGCATTAAGGATCTACTCCCTACTTGAAAACAATACCTTGTCCCTTAGACTTGCTCACACGCACTCCGCACACTCCCTTCGATAGGTATCTACCTAGGTAGGTATGTACCTACAGGTAAGGCAAGCATAGACCTGATGTCGTGTACTGTACGTCCAGCAATAAAGTTACATACCTACTCCTAGGTACCTATCTAAAAGGTATCCGAGTTCGACTACTTGAGCACAGCCAAACTTTGTAGTAAACAGATTTAAACCGTAATCCAATTCTTATAAAGATTCGTCAAGCTTCACCCGCATATAGTCCAGTTGACCACAACGTCTTCCCCCATCATCTTCTATCCAGCGAAATGATCATACAATTTCGAAAACCATCCCATACATCGCATCACATCATCCCCCAATACTGCCTGCCTGAATCCAGAGGAAGTTACATTTAAGTGATCAGCGACCAAGATTACGATAAGATTTTCGCCTACTCAGCTCGGCAGTACATCATAACCGTTCTCTCAGTGAATTTCCAGTTCAACGTCATGGATGTCAAAACTCGCTTTCTAATACTCTCCGACACGCACGGAGAAAATATACCCAATATACAACACATTGACGCCGATGTAGCCATCCATTGCGGCGACCTTACCGATGAATCTAAGATTGACGAATTCAGAACTACTCTTGAACTTCTCAGAAGCATTAATGCGCCATTGAAGCTGGTCATTGCAGGAAATCACGACTTCACAACCGATATATCAATATTTAAGAAAAGAGTTGCCGAAAACCCGGACTTACAACCGGAGGAAGTGGAGAAATTTTACGGAGGATTTGGTGAGGTACACCAACTTTTTGAGGAGGCACGGAGCGACGGAGTGGTTTTCTTGGAGGAAGGTACACACCGCTTCGAGTTAGGAAATGGAGCAAAGTTAACAGTCTACGCTAGCCCCTATACACCGTCACTAAGTGGCTGGGGCTACCAATATAATCCTCAGGAAGGACATAACTTTACTATCGAAAAAGGCGTTGATATAGCAATAACCCATGGCCCACCCCACGGGATAATGGATCTCACCGACTCGCGACTTAGGGTAGGGTGTCCCCAGCTTTTCGGTTCTGTTGCTCGGGCTCGACCAAAACTACACTGCTTTGGTCACATCCACGAAGAGTGGGGGGCGAAGCTAGTCACCTGGAGAGAGAATATCAGCGAAGTACCGTCGCATTTCACGGATATCGACAATGAGAGATCAAAAATAATTGGAAAACTATCAAATTTACACAGCACCAAGTTCGACACCCCCGAAACAGTGGAGGAAAAATCGACGAAAAGGGCGGCTCTTAGCCACGAAGGATATATCAAAACCGGCCACTGTACTGGCGATGAGAATCCGCTCAGGGCCGGCGAGCAGACGCTCTTCGTGAATGCGGCAATTCAGGGAGTTACGGAAGAATACCCCATGCATGTACCCTGGTTAGTCGAACTTGAATTACCGGGACGTTTTCAATAGGGGTTTTACGGAAGTTATATTTTCAGAAGTTAGGATTGGTGGGAAATGCTGCTTAGAAGGAAGAGGCGAGAATCGGAGGAACAATCAGAATTCATACTAGAGGTGGTTACGAATATAACTACCTACCTAAGTATCTTCTTCCTTCTCTAAAACTTTCAATTTCGCCGTCCCAACGTGAAACTCAAGAGGCTGATCTCTAATCCAGGGGTAATCCATCAAACCCGCACCAGGCCCTTTATATCCCTTCTCGAAAAGAATATCTTCTTTCGCAACTGGTGCCCACATGATTCCCCCTAGATCTTCTGCGTTCAAGCTAATCTCATATTCATGTCCAGGCTCTAACCCATCCACGCCAGTTACACTAGCGGAGCGCCGTATATTCCGCGGATTCCCCGCCTCGTCCAATTCGTGCCCAATCTTGACAATGCTCCAGGGTTGGGGGCGGAAATTACGCCGCACGAACTCAAGTGGTAGCTCTACAGTTTCGCCTGAGTGGATCGTTAGGAAGTAAGGTTCCTCAAAACTACCGCGTACGCGCCGCGAGGGATACGGCATGCGCTGTGCGTTGCGTACGTTGGTGACTTTAAGGGGCTGTTGCGTAGTAAGGTCTGTGATTGTAAAACCTGCGCGGGAGAGCGTCCGCTGCAGATCTAGCGGGCTGTTCTCTGTGTAAAGCGTGATAGCTTCGAGCGGCGAGGGGGAAGAAGGGTTAGGAAGTAACGTAAGTCTAAGGTACACGATGGGGGCTGAGGATCGGGTGAAGCAATGCGTAGAGGGAGAAAGGGAGACCTCTATATTAATTATCGGGGAAGCATTGAAGCGTGATAACGAGCGGAAGGGTAGTTGGATGTCTGCTGGGCCGGAGCTTGAGGGCTCTCCCTGGTCTTCCTTAATCTCATTGTGTGCCATACTTGCTAATTACTAAGGGGGAACACCTCTAGCCTCTAGGGTTTGGATATTTTATCTTTTCTGGAAGGATATTTAATCAATTATAGCCATGAAGATTATTTAATATGAAGCACGTATGAGTCATCTAACCTTCTAAACTGGTATATGGAATCCAGGGGGGGATCTCCAACTCACCTGCACATCTATCATATCCCCCCTATTAGATGAATAACATGCATAATTATTTATGAATGATTATCCATAATTACCACGTGACTTAATATCTGCATAAGTCTAGGTAATCGGCGGAAACGCTAGTTAAGTTAGTCAACTAGTCACGTGCAGCACACTTAGGACCTAAAATGGAAGCCCGGAATAATTGGAAGATTCCAATCCGATCAAGCTCAAAGCTCGGAGCCGCTAGTCAACGACCTATATAACTCTTCTCCCTCACACAATTACATCAACCCATTCCTACATCCTCGAGTCCGAAACCAGCCTCCTTCGGGCTTGAGTCAAGATGGCGAATCCACATTCCGTCCAGGCCCAACCGGAGGAGCACCACCACTTCCACCCGCACGATGCCATCAAGTCCGGCATAAAAGGCGCTCTGGTCGGCGGAGGTGCCGGTCTTATCACCTCGGCCGTGCAGAATTCCCTCGCGAAGCGCAACGTTGGCGTCTGGGGCGTCTTTAGCAGGACTGGTAGCACCGTTGCTATGTTCAGTGCGTCTTTATCTGTCTGGTCCAATTGCTTGCTAAAAAAGAGCTGTTGTCGTCGCGATTGAGAAGCTAACTTGCTTGTAACCCCCCACAGCTGCCCTCGGTACCGTGTACACATTCTCCAAAGATGCTGCTGCCAACTTAAGAGAGAAGGATGATACACTGAACGTGACGATCGCCTCTTTCCTCGCTGGTGCCACGATCGGTCTTAGGAGTACGTTTTCCCACCACCTAATCCTGTTTTGCAGTTGTCGTCTTCGCCATACTAATTTTCGCTGAAACAATCAGCCGGCCGCATGCCTCAAATCCTCGGCTTTGGTGCTGCCTTCTCTATCGTCATGTCCGCCTTCGAATACACAGGTGGTAGCCTACGCGGGGGGTCCCGCAACGAGGTCTCTAGTATGGATGAATACGACCGCAAGGAGTACTTGCGGAAGAACCGACGGCGGCCGATTGAAGAGACCATCTCTAATATCGGGGAAGGGAGAGGTACCTACACCACGCCACGCTATACCTTGCAATATTATCATAGTATAGCTATTATTAATGAAGAAACGCTAACAAAATTCAACCTCATAGGCATAAAACCTCCGGGCTACGAGGAGCGTAGGCGAGAGCGTCTAAAGGAGAAGTATGGTGTTGAGATCAACCCCGTTTCAGCAAACGCGTAATAAGCAGATACATGCTGCAATCATATTTTCGGGCCGGACGCCCAGGAGCAGATACTGCCTACTGAGAAGTTCCTATGAAAACACCGCTGACAAGTCGCGCCTATATTATTAAAGCGACAACGATTATACGGGCTCTACGGTAAGCATAGAAGACCACAAACAAGAGGGATACCTGTACATATAGAATCGCATATCCTCATGCGTTCTAAACAACTTTCACTTCCATACAAATAGTACAATGGTGAACTTAGCTTTCGCCGAAAACACGAAACTTTATCTTGTGGTAAGTCAACCATCATCTTCTCATTTTCTCTTGCTATCCCGCCTTTCCATGATGAATTTCTCTTTTAGAGGCTGTTTATGACTCGTGTTTCACGAACATGATTCATCCAACACACCATTGTTCTATCTTTCCTGATTACCGTCTGGCATGCAAAATTTCTTGTTACTCGAAGCTATTATGCGGAACCGAGACTAACGGGTACATTTCCAGATCACGCATGCCTCTTGTGCTTGTATATCAGTACCAAGAATAGTAATTTTCATTAATGCCTGTTGGTTTGTTCACAATGCCAACTTCGGGGAATCCCTGCCAAAATATGAACGCCTGAATCATAGCTAGTCCAGCGTCCTTCGTAAAATAATTCCAAGAGGGTATGCAATTCTATATATACAAGCTACTCCGTAAAAAGAAACCAAAAAGCCTATTCCATCATGCATTTCTGCAAATAACTGCATGTCATATCAACCTCGTGGAACCACTTGGTCCTGCGACTTGTCAAACTTCCAGAAATTAGTATATGATGATTACTTTATACGGCCTGACTTGGACAAATCTCTTGAAGCAATTATTCGAAAACATGTCAAGTAAGCACGCCGTAACGGGCCTTTAAGATATACTTAGTAGAAACTCTGTAAATCCGGACCGGGGCCGCCCACAGGCCGTGACTGGGTCGGGGGACCTCCTGGAGCCGACCACTGCCCTTGCTGCGGGAATGGCTGGCCGTACTGCGGGGCAATCGGCAGAGGGGGCTGAAGTTGAGGCGGACCGCCTTGTAGCGAGGGGAAAGTGTCATCGTACGAGACTGTCGACGAGTTGAAGCCACTCTGGGGGTTCTCGCGTGTCTCGACGTCGTCCAAGGAGCGATAGCCATGTGCTCCACCTCTACCGCCTCTTCCTGAGCCTTTGAAACCTCCCCGCCCGCCGCCGCGGTTACCTCTGGAGGCGCCGCCACCCCTATAGCCGCCACGACCACGGTTATCGCTTCCTCCTCCACCTCCTCCTCCGCCTCGTCCTTGATGGGATGAAGTATGATAATCACGGGCGTTATTGCCAAAGTTCCCACCGTGTTGACGCGGATGACGATCCTCGTCGTTAGCGAATTTGCGCTTCGAGCCCCTGTGTGAGAACCGCTCCTGCTGACTGTCGTACTGGTCTCCGTCTTGGTCTTCGCGTTCGATGCGAAGCATGTATTTCTCGCCCACCGTCGTCTCAAACACGAAGGATTTCTCGGGGGGTATCGGCTGCCAGTTCCGGATCTTATTAACGTCCGGCGGGCGGGCCCCTCTTCTCAAGCCTAGGACGACAGAGGGCGATGGGTTGTCAGTGTGGTAAGTGGCGTTGGCTGGCACGGGCCTCACGCGCGCCGCCCAGATGTTACCCTGGATGGAACCGATATCGACAACTTCCCACTTCATCTTGGAGTTCATGCCGCCTATCTTGTCGAGGATGGGCTTCGGGCAGGGACGCGGAGTGATAAGGATGGTGTTAGCAAGATACTTCAAATCTGTAACCTCCGGCACCTGCGAATTCAGAAGCTGGATAAGCCGTTTCGTGTCGGCTGGCGCGATCATGTAACTCGTGAAAAATACGGTCTTCTTGATGGCTAGACGTCCGCTGCGCACGCCCGCCGCTCGGGTTTTGACCAGTTCGTTGTGGACGTTGATAAGATGTTGGACTTCGGCTACCTCAACAACAGGGTCTAGAGTAGTAGACAGTTCAACAACTGGGATGACTTCGGCAGTAATTGAAGGTTGTCCAAGACTGATTCGCTGTGTATTGTAGTCGGCCAGGAAGTCGCGAAAGCCGGCAACGTGTTTTGGGCGGTCTTCGTAAATGCGTATCTCCATTGCTGCTTTATAAGTTCCCAATATCGCCCTAAGGAAGGCCTGTTTGAAGTTCATGGTATTCGAAAATCGCTCGTTGTTTGGTCCGACGGAGGGCTTCAGACCAATTAGGTCGAATTCCAGACCTTTACTCGCAACGATTCGCTTTATGAGTTGGGAGAAGCCATGCTCGGAACGGCCTGTCAATAGGACACAGAGAGCATCACTCTGCTTCATGCTTAGACGAACCAACTCCACAATCTTCTCGTTCCACCAGCCATCCCAAGCTCGCTTTTCTTCATGCTCTACACCTTCGCCAGTCGCAGCTAATATCCTCGAGTCGTGCCACCAGCCGCCGTTGACAAACACATCAGGGGTGCCTAGTAGGCCTAGAGTCGAGCCGTTCCATATCTTGGGGTTGGGCAGAGGGGTCTGGAATACTGGAACCGTTCATGGTTAGTTATAGAAGGGCAGGAAGGTGAAGGTACGGGAAGGCGAACGGGTATTGTCAAAGTCGTAAACATGAACAGTAGTAATTTCATTAACAGCTGGAGTTTACTATTAGCAGGAATTCCATAGTGCGAACATCGGAACATCGTATTTATGATATTTATCTTGGAGACGTACGAGGCAGCTTCTTATTTAGAATAGACCATCGATTAAGAGACGTGAGGGTATGGCTGGGACCAGCGCGGCCGGCTTGCTCGAGCGCCATGTTGGATCGTAGAGATGATAGTAGGCGCGTGGGTAGTCGGAGATTGCGCGGCATACACAATGAATTAATTAGAGTGACGCTCGCATGTCGGGTTCTGTACAATAATTAAAAAGGTATGTACTTCGAGATGTTCGATTACTTCCAATATGAATTCAACAGATATTTGACCTGTCGCAATTATGTCAAGGAAGGTACTATGGTACATCCTTTTAGTAGAGCCAAGAACCAGGTACAGGCACTGTTTGACTGTATCTTATCGCGTTCTTATCTCAGACTTTAAAACCATGTTATCAGGTTATCAATAAATCGAATGGCCCAAGCTCCTTAAATACTTGGCTACCTACCTCCTACATACACATGTGATAGTAAAACAAACAGCTTCAAAGCCACAATGAAAACATGGCCACCCGCAACGCCATAACCCTGATCCAGAAATCCAAGTCTTCCTCGCCCGAGATACTACAGCTGCGGTGCCACATACGGCCCGGCGCAAGCAAGGTGCGAGAAGGAGTTGCCGCCGTCACAGACGAGTCCGTCGAGCTGTGCGTAGCCGCGCCGCCGCAGGACGGCAAGGCGAACAAGGCCGTTATCGAGATATTAAGCGAGGTAAGCAACATCGAGATTACTTTTACGTACGTTGTGTCTATCTATCTGTATATACATACACTATATAAGTCCTCTAGATTGTGATAGTCTCCTTCCTGCATCGATATAGAACGTATTATACTCCATACCCAGGTAAGACTTCATCTAACAACACATCTCCAGATCCTAGGCGTCGCAAAGTCGGACCTGCAGATCACTCATGGGATGAAGAACAGGGATAAGACCATTAGTGTCGCCAGCGCCTGTTTCCGGCGCGGTCGGGACGGGGAGAGCGATGAGGACATAGTAGCTATGGTAAAGCAGAAGCTCCTCGGCCAGGAAGCATCGTAAACATAAGCTGCGGTAAAGGGCGTCGAAAAGACAAGCGATTTGACAGTATGATTCGTGCCCCAGCCTCAAATAACTGACGTAAGATGCCCAAACTCCATGCCTACGCCATAGTACCAAGTGCATAGGTACCTACCTAACCTACCAACAAACCATAACAGCCGAAATGGCTGAGAACATCGGGGTTCGTAATCTCTCCTATAACAGGTACCTAAGTAATTAGAATTCCATCGCCTCGCTTTCCTCCCTCTCGCGCTTAATCTTGGGGTCCCGCTCGTCTTTCATGAGCGCCAGCACGAAGCTCCGGAAATACTCGACATAAGGCCGCAAGCTCGTCTTCTCCCAGTCTTGAAGGTTTTTGGCCTTGTCCTCGGAGCCATCCTCCCCGTCATCAGCCTTCCACGCGTCGATCTCCTCTAATAGTCCCTGCACCGTCGGCACTCCGAGCGGGTCGAAGTCCTCCAGCTTCCGCGTATCGATCGGTACGCACACTCGTCCCGTGCCCGGGTGTACAACGAATGGTGATTTAAGTAAATGGTTTAGTTTCTTGCTGACCTCGATATCGAGGCGCGGGTATGTATACTCGAGAACTATATCTTGCTTGGCATCTAGCAGCGCTTTTGTATCAAGGTTCTTACTACCGCTCCCTGAACGGGCGAGCGAGTCGATATCGGCCCATTTCGAAGTGCTCGCACGGCCGGGCGAAGAGTCCCATTTCTTGCGTAGGCTGTCGTTTAGTGCTTTGTCGGGGAGCAGGGAAAGGAGATGCTCTGCCCGTTCCGACGATGCCCACGGGTCTTGTGCCTCTAGAACGTCTTCTTGAAAATGGGGCGCCAGGATGTTTAAACTCCGACTACCGAGGAAATGTTAGTAGATGCCCTCACTAGAACTTTGCAGAGGAACGGAAGTGGACGTACCTGAGGTGTGGATGTAGTGGCCGCCATACGTTAACCTTCTTCCCACTCTGCGCACCACCACGGATTACGTCGAGGTATCCCGCAATAGCCCTACGCTTCTGGTCGTCCATCGTCCGCGCCTTTTTATCGCATACCCAAGCGTGCGCACCTCTTCGTCCCGAGTAAACCCACATGATGTGTTTGAAACCAAAGTCGTCGCGTAGGGCCACATCCACTACTTTGATGGCCATAGTAATGAACTGCCAGCAGCGATTACATATGTTCGCCTTATCGCAGCACGTTCGGATGTCATCGTAGTCCGTTAAATCGATATCGAAGCACAGCTCTTTGGACAGCGGCTTAAACGCGTTCAAATTTCGCAACGTCTTGCGGTCGCGAGGGTTTGTGGTGTATACAGGTCCGATTTCGAAACGGGTTGGTAGCTGGCGCAGTACGTCTTTTCGAAGTCTATAGCAAATATGATGAACCGCTGTCGCTGTGAAAGGGGAATAGAACGAAACCGAGATTACAAGCTACTCACAAGTCGGCGCTAGGAAAGGAGTTATATCGAGAATATATATCCCCATCTCCCCTCGATAAAGTGAAGGCAAATTCGCGATGACCGAAATCGTTGGTAGGAGTCGGGCTATGATTAAGCCACTGAAACAGATAACGCCAAGGGAAGAATCGTTGGTAGAACATGCGCATTATATCAGGGTCCGAAGCCTTCACAGACACGGTTCTATCGCTACATTATCTGTTAAAACACATCCTGCTCCTCTAGTCTCAGGGTGATTTCCGCTATCTCACATGGGCGATGTTGGAGCCTCGGGGGAGCTCGAGAACTTGTTTTCGGCCGGCCGTGAACTAGGGAATTCATCGTCTGAGTCTACATCCGCAAATAGTTCATCTAACTTGACGTCTTTTTTATCCTCTTCTTTTACGGGAACTGGCAATGCATTTGCTTCCGCCATAGTAATATCATCGTCGTTATCTTGACTCTCGTCAGCTCTAGTAGGGGCGTCGGCCATGGTCTCTTCGACGGTGGGATTTTGGTTATCGGTCTCAGGCGATATTGAGTGAGGCATTTCAGTAAAAATTAATCTGACGACACTTAATAGATTTAATTCAACAGTGTCATTATTCTAATTCAGCAATGTTGCCAAAAATAAGGATATCGATTGACAGGTGGAGGGGCAAGTTTAATTGAAAGATTAGAAGATTGGAAGTAAGCGCGTCAAAGACGCGTCTTCGCGTTAATCGCATAACGCGTACCAAATGCTAAGCGGAGGGACATATTTATAAAACCCCCCCGCCAATAGCATAGAAACTTTCCAAGCTCAGAATATTCAAGCTCAGAAGCCACAACATACAGTTAGTTACCTATAGGTAATAAGTTTGCAATTTTCCTGTTCTATTCTCATTATGGCTCCGTCTATGTTCAGAATAGAAGAATCCTATGCCAAACTCTTGCTATGATTGCCGAGAGCAGCTGGCTACTAATCATCCCATGCATATATTTCAACGCATCCTAAATCTCTTATAGACCCTCTAGCATTGCCCCAGATGAGCCTTAAACCATATCCTCGTAGGATTCATGACCACCCCCAAAGCCACTGCGTTGATGTTGAGGACGGCGAGCGATCCCAAGCCAGAATCCCGTCGCTTAGTATAACATACTGTTGGCGTCGTAAGGCATTTTGGCGTAAGGATGAAAAGGGCGTTAGCCCAACTCATCTCACATGGTATTATGATGGAATTATGATTACGCGCATCACTCATCATCATCGTCGTCATCCTCCTCCTCCTCGTCGCTTTCCTCGTCGGCGTTTTCAAGCCACTCAACTAGTGCCTGGCATTTTTCCCGCACCTCCGACATCAAGCCGTCCTCCTTACCCCTATCGTCTTCCCACCAACCTAGAATACCCTCTTCTTCGAGGATATCAAGATCGTACATCTGCTGTAGCATAGCAGCAAGGAGGTTGCCAGTTTTGGCAACTTCAACAAACCTAGAACTACTCACGCACGCTTTCTGCACCGCCAGCGCGAATTCGACTTGTTCTTGTACGGAATGATCGCCAACGCCAACCTCTGAGACGAAGCTTGTAGCACCCTCTCGTGAAGTAAGTACCTGCTTAGCAGCTTTCGACGGCTCCAAAGCGTCAGTCTCGGAATTTATAAGCTCGACCGCGCGACGAACAAAGGCCGTCGCAACCGCCTTCCTCATAGCGGCATCAGACGCGTTGTTCGCAAGTCGTAGTGACATAAACTCAAGTTTCTCTGATTCGAAATTGCCCGATATCCCGCGGAGAACATCCAGCAGCCCATGAACAGCGTCCGAGTGAAAAGAGGAAAATGTCGGGTTTCCCGAATCGTCGGAAGCGAAGGAGGAAAGTCGAGATCTCGAGGTGGGGTGACTAGCACTAGGCGATATTGGGCCCGACTCATCGTCAGACAAATCATCGTCATCCGCAAGCGTCGAGACAGAAGAATCGGAGAGGTCAAGGTCTTCGAGAGAGTATATAAGTGATTTTTGCAATCTCGACGGGTCATCAACGTCTGTTTCGTCATCTTCAAGATCCTCGAAGAGTGCTCCCTTGCCACCAGAACCGACGAATTCGGGTTGTGTTGATACGAGCTGTCCACCATGGGAAAGAAGGGATAGCATCGTAGCAGGCTTGACGTCCGTACCGTCACCCAAGTGAACCCCAAACGATATCAGCGCACCTTCGTGGATGAAGGAATTCTTACCCAGCACTACTCTTTCAGCTATAATCGCATGTTCCACTATAACGCCATCATTAACCGTCGTGTCATCCCATATGAAGCTGTTAGTAATTCGGACGCCGCTACCAATTTTGCAATTTCGGCCAATGATGCTATTTTGTATAACACTCCCGGACCCAACATGAGTCTCCTTTCCGAGGACTGAGTCAAATACTTCGCTTCCAGACTCGATTTCGACGTCATCCTCCTGATACACATTATCGCCTTGTGATTGATAGGAGTGGCCTGGTAGGAGATTGCATTCAGGTGTAAATGGATAGGTCCAGCCACTCAATACGTCCCGACTAATCGCATCGTACATCTGAAGGTTCCTGGCACGCGCGCTGTAGCCTTCATTAACAATTTCTGTGTGAATCATCTTCCCGTTCAACTCCCAGTCCTTCAGTACGCCATGGAGAAAGTTGGCCCGGGGGAGTTCGTAGTCGAAACTTTCGGACCATAAGGCGAGCACATCCGGTGTACATATGTCAATCTCGGCATCAATCAGGTCGGTCCGCGCTTCTGCTTCGCGGTTCTCAAGTATGGTAGGATCAAGGGTAACGTAGTGATCAGTCTGTAACGGGTGTATCTCTTCGTAGTGTAAGCATCGCTTGGCGTTCGGGTCGATTATAAATGCCGGCGTTAGTCCCTTGGTCTTAGTATTGTGCTCCCCTTCGCCAGCTTCTCGCAGCACCAGAGTCATACACGAGTCTCGATTCGCTTCTCGGCGAGCCCTGTGCGCCGCCAAAGCTGCATCAAGGGAAATATTGGAAACAAGATCCCCATGTACCAGTACGAAGTCCCCTCCAATGATGTTGCGCTTGTCTAGGTCCCGAAGAAAATCGCCGATAGACCTAGCATCGGCAACACGGATAAATTCAAGGCTAGAGAACGGACAAGACCTTGAGTTAGGGGACCATCTCGAGTCGTGGACGTATCGCTCGATCTGATCGTGATGGGCTCCACAGTATATAAAGACTTCCTGCACGCCGTTCATGGCGAGGAACTCGAGGGTGTACTCGATGAGAGGTGTATTGGCGAGTGGGAGTAGACACTACGAGACTTGGTTAATAACCAGAAATAAGCAAAACTAGTAACTAGGATATACATACTCTTGGCCTCTCTACAGAGAATGGGAGGAACCGGGTCTGAAAGGAATCTGCTATGAGCTAGATGGGCAGAAGCGCATGCACCGCGTTAGCCCTATGATAGCTCTCATCAATGCCCCGCGATGCTTGAGAAATACACACCACTGCTTGAAGAACATCTTCTCTCTTATCTTCAGCTCCTGGCTTGCTTGATTTTTTCCCTTTTGTCCCAGCACCGCCTCGTGCGGCTTTATTTTGCGACATGGCAGTCCAATTCGTGTTGTTGTCGGCGATTTTGCGATGGTGAAGTTGGAAGTGTTCATGTCGGATTTAATTTTTGGACAATGAGTCAAAGGTTGATGGAGGGGCAGCTACGCTTAGACTGGTTATAATGATACATTCCGATATAGCAGTAGTGGGCTATTATTATTCATAAATGCGGGTAATCAGTAATATCGGTGTAACGCATTTTACACTTTAGTAAGAATCTGTCCTTGAGGTTAGTATTAACTATGACGTATCCTAAACAACTGGAGCATTAACCTATCGAGACTCTTCCATCTTTCCCAGGACCAGCTAAACAGCATACTGAAGCAGTTTGGCCTGATAGTTTCCACTCAATTTACGCCTTTATTCGAACAGATTATAATTGTTATAGTTATTAATATTTATGTACATAGTTAAAATAGGTATAAAGATCGGATCGTATGACTTAGGCTCAATTTAAGAACACAGCTAACTCCGCCGAAACCTCCCAAGTGCGTTGCTTGAAAAGCAATCAATATGTATTAAGAAGTACGACGGTATCAGATCCTAGTTGCCAGCCGGGCATCTCTAGACTGTCCCATCAACCAATATGTTTATTTGAGCATGTTAGAGTTTACCTTCTAATAGTTACAGGTAATGATTTGGGACAAATTCCGCTATTTAATAGCCAACTTCTGAGTTATGATACGAAAAAGCTATATGATAAGACACGCCGTAAAACATATGTATGTATATATGTATGTATGTACATCTTTTGCTGATCAGCGTGATTATGTGTGCATATATACCTATGTAGGTACATAGGTATACACTATGTCCAGGTGTATAGTCCACCATGGATCAGGGACGGTCTAGGCCAGGCGACGCAGGGGACCAACGGTAAGAGTGGGCCAGGATGGAATGACCGCCGTGCAACGGACAACGGTCTAGGCTATGTAGAATTCTAGAATCCAGACCTCAAATCAAACTTCGTCAGCTAACCCCTGGCCGCAGACGCAGCCCGACCGTTACTTCATGCGGCTTGCATGCCTACGTACATATGTAGGCGCATGTGATATGTATTGTGTATGTATGGGTATGTATGTACGTAGGGTACTGACATGTTCTAAGGTCTCGATTAGGGTCTCGATCTTGTAGTCCTAGCTTAGATAGGAGATATAGCTAGGCTGGACGTGGGATTCGCTCGCGTTCTTGTTGCTAGCTTATGAATGAGTGGCCTCATCTATTTTTTTTATCGAACCATTCCTCCCGAACCTACCGACGTATGTATGTATGTATGTATGTATGTATGTATGTACATGTATTCCCATCAGCCCTACGTTCTTCCATGGAACCCGGTTAGATCTACATAAAAGCAAGTCGCATTCACTCACCCCTTGTAAGCCGAAGTATGGGGTCGTACCTATAAATCACGTTTTATATCTCCAAGTAGGTCTAGTCGTATATGATATACTCCAGTCCGCTTATGAGGCGTTCTAACCGTTGAAAGTCTCGCCGTCAATTAGAGTAAGGTGTAGATATGTTAGTCTGGGGAAATTGTAACGCAAACACATAAAGAACAAGGTACAGGGGAGTCGATCCGTACCAAAGCTTTCGTATGTATTGTAGTGTACATACTTCCAGGGGCTCTCCCCATGCTTCCCAGAGGCTAGACCGCAAAAGTAGCATTAATAAGATCTTCCTATTAGTCCATAGGGGTCTCGTTCCTTAAGATCGGGTGTCCAGACTGCCAGATCAGCGGATCATGTCACCATGTGCAGGGAAATACACTAGGGACGGGACCATGGTATTGACATCGAATACTTACATACGTGGATTCGATCGCATTCTAGGCTAAGCCAGGCGTTGCCCATCATAGTATATTTGTGAAAGATCAGCTAATATTCTTTTATTTTCTCGCAACGCTCTATTGTTTGCTATCACGAGTTAATGAAGTTTGTCCGCATACATACACGCATACATATAAGAATACTAAAAGCTCACCTAAGATACTAACTAACTATTACATACGAGTTTACAGAAAAAGGTTATACCAGCGGAAACCCGGGATGACTCAATAATTTGGGTTTGCTTTTCGTACCATTTAATGTTCAATTCCCTACCTAAGGTAAAGTTTAAATCCCGTTTGTTTCCCTCTCCCGACACATAAGTGCATGAGGAATCGTCTATAATGTTCCTTCCGGGTTTCCTTCTTTCTATTCTCGTATGTACCACTCCTCCGGTATTATTCGCGGGTTCCTGCCGTTAGATCCAAGAGGCAAGAGGCAAGAGGCCACCGGCAGTGTCAGACCATTATAACTTTGTCAGCAAGCTGCAAGTGCAAAATTTAAACAAACACAAAGGGAAAGCACTCTGGCCCTGAAAAATACAAAAAGGCAGGTACAAATGATCCCAGCTTTGGTGTGTTTCACTTGCATCGGATTTGCACGGTCTTATTCCTTCGCTCAACAACCCGAACGCCACTTTTTATTTCAACACCCATCTCACGAAAAAAAAAAAAAATATTTTATTTACGTGATGATACTGGCGATATCATATGCTCATCGATCAAAGAATGTTTCATTATTCTTCTTCTATGCTTTATCCCCAAGTCGTTCATTGGACCTCCCTACCTCTCAAGAGGTAGAAACCCAAACCCTCATCCATGATCCCTCCGTCATCTAGGTAGGTAAAGAGATACCCTGGCTCAGAGATACATGTAACTTTGCTTTTGGACCCTAGGGCCGAAGCAAATTTGAGATACCGAACATGACCAGTTTTCACATGACTTTCGTACAGAAAAAGACATGGGCTCATGCTATCCAAACATCATGGAACCCCCCGACGTGCCCAATCTAGCCTCAAACAAACCACTGTCCAACCTTCTCCTCCATCTTTCCCAGGAGCCACTTCTTGGCAACCTGCTACTAATACATATGCGACCACGTTCTAGAAACATTCAAGGGGTATTCCATGATCTATCACGGAGCTCTATTCCACTCCGATTGCGGCAAACAGACTTGACACAGCAACCAGCCAGATGCTTCTCATGCATAAGATATGCAACGATACCGACGCCAATGGCACCTCGTTTCTTTGACACACCGACAACCGTATTTCAAGTGGGCCTGGTAACAGAATGACCAAAATATGCTGGGAATATATACAAGTTGGAATCGAGATATCGACGGGAAATTACCAAAGGAGCGATTATTGATTGTAATTCGTCTGTGGCGCGTACAGTCGCTGTCGCTTCTCCGGGGGCCCGTCCGAGCGCTGCATACCGTCAGGCATCCTTTGCGGAGGGGGTACGCCCATTTGGGGTATCATGGTATTCGCATACTGCGGTTTCTGAGTCCCGCCTGGCGTTAATACCATCTGCGAACCACCACCTGCGCCGAGATACCCTTGGTCCTGGCCCATCGTCGGCGAAGCATGCGGTATCTGACCCGGGGAATGCCACGAAGCACTCGTGGCTGGCGATTGTATCGGGGTAGTGTCAAACTTCCCAACGGGGCCAGATGATGCCGCCGATAATGGCGCCATTCCCATACCCTGGTTTGAATACGGACCAGGTGTCGGTGGCTGACCCGGAGCTCCATTTGGATACATCGAGTCCATCATACTCTCCGGAGGAGGATTCCGCAAGAAATTGGCAAGATGCTTCCTGAGCTTACCAATCATTCCCTCCTTAGTGAATGGTTTAGCAAGCACGTCCCGCATACCTGGGCAGGAAGTTAGCGTCCTAGCAACGGAAATATAAGGCCAAAAGTGGATTCTACTCACCCCAGTGGAAGTACGTCTCGAGATCTTGCTGGTTGATGTTGGAAGTCATGGCAATAATTGGCGTATTGGGCTGTACTTCGCGGATCATGGCAGTTGCCGAGACACCGTCCAACTGCGGCATGATGATATCCATGAAAATGAGGTCGTAATAATGCTGTTTCGCATTGACTTTGTTCACAGCCTCGAGACCATCGCGCTGCATCGAACTGTTAGCCAAAAACGCACTGCTACACGAGTCGAAAGCTACAACTACGTACTGCTATCTCTACACCACAGTCATACTGGGCAAGGAATTTAGAGCCGATTCGAGAACACGTTCTATCATCTTCCACGAGAAGGACGACGGGTTTCTTAGACCCCCAAGGTGAACCAACTTGCGACGCAGCTCCCGGAGGGGTTTGCGAGTGCATAGCTGGGCCGTTAAATTCGTGGCCAGGACCCATCGCATTGTCCTGTACCGGCCGATTATACGGAAGGTTGTTAATATGTTCGGCAGCGAAGGGATCTATACCTACTGTTTGACCAACGGGGTATACAAGATGCCGCATGTCATTCAGAGGGTCATGCAGGAATGGATTTACACCACCTACGCCAGGCGGTCCCATCATCCCCGAAGATCCAGCGGATTCGGGAGAACCGCCTACTTGGTGTAATTGAACAGACATTCGATTCAGATCCCGATCTGCAACGTGATCTACCTGGAGGCTGTTTAGAATATCGCGGGCCCGGCGTAGCTCGAGAGGCGACTCGGAGCCGTCTGACAAGAGATTGGAGGTGTTAGAAGAATATCCGCCTGCTGAGTGACCTGGATTTCGAGTGTCTTTCCTCTCCTGTTCGGCCTTGTTTAAATGGTTGATGAGTTCGTTGTGCACCTGGTTCTGCGCACGGACTAGCTTCTGTAGGTGAAGTATTTCATCTACGAAGATCTTATTCGCATTCACAATCTCGTGATACGATTCTTGAAGTTGTTGGACCTGCTGCTGTGTGGCGGCCAGCGTCTCGCTAAGAACAAGGACTTGTTGGTTAGAAACCCCGAACTGCTCCTCCGCGGCCTGAGCCTTCCTAGGTGCCGGGGCTTTTCGTCGGATATTATCGAGGTTGTCTTTCCTATCAGCCCGAAACTCGGGATGTTTGAATTCCCACGCCTATATACGCCGTTAGTATCTCCCGAGCCAGTATCTACACGGAGGAAGGCAAGTATTACAGATGCGCCATATGGGGATTGTCCGTTTTCTTCATTATGCCGTACTTTATGGAAGTCGTATTTATTAAGTTGTCGAACAAAACTCGCAAAGTTGCTATGCTTGAAATGTTTTGGTAATATAGTTTTGGTAAATTTCTCATTCTACAAGCTAGAAGTTAATATCGACGACAAACGACATGAAGTAGAAATCGCGTATTTACCTCGAGAACGACAAAGCTGTCGCCTTCGTTGCCCCACCTGACTACCTCACTGTAGGCCGGATCCTCTAGCATCCTACGATAAAAAAACATACATGGTCAGCACAGCATACCAAAATGTCGAGGCCAGCCGATAATTAAGAAGAGATGCGAATTACTTGTATAATTTGCGAACCTGGCGTTAGGTCAGTTAGCAGATTGCATATGCGACGGTCCGCAACAATGCAGACTCGAATATGAGAATATGAGACCATGATTGTCAAAACTCACAAAGTCGCTCGAGTTATTACCTGCGCCCTGCGCCACGGCGGCCATGTCGGCTTCGGGCATGTTGGGCGATTGGCCTGAAGCCCAGTTGGTAACGATGCGATGCTGTCTTCAGCTGGTAAAATATATGGCTGGGCGCGCGTTAAAATGGGTGGTCTCGTATCGAGGTTGGGAAGAAGCTCGGACGGTGGCACGGCGAGGACGAGGTTGACGACGGTGCAACCTGATCTGGAACGACAGCTGCTCTAGGGTTTACGTAGTGGTTTTCGTGTTCGTGGTTCGTGATTCGTGATGTTGGAAATATTTCCCGTCTGGGGTTGTGTCGAGCTGTTGGAGGTTGTGATGGTATGCGCTGTCCGTTATATCTGTATCTCCAAGTACCGTACAGACACGCAATCCACACGATAACAATAGCCGACTCTTCGCAGTCAGTCGCCTTATCCGCGGGTGTTGATATTCCGGCAATAGACTACGCCAAGGACAATACAGCAGACGGCCAGCTAATTGTCAGTGTCTTCGTTTGGTGCTGAACAAGTGCTGAGGATGGTGTCCGCCTATAGAATTAGGTTGTGTCACTCAATTGGCGGGAGAGATTTCTAGGACTCGATATGAAATACAAAAAAAAAAACCCAAAAAACCATGACGAGCTGACCCAAACAGGGAAACGTTTAAAGACTATGGAGAATGAATTGAATGGGCAAAGGTGGGTAGACGGAATTCGGGTACACCTCTTTTTTGGGGCTGCCTGGCTAGGCTAGCTTTGCGAGGTTACAGTAATAAAAAAAAAATTATATATAAAAAAGAGAATGCTTCAATTCATACATAATATGGGGGGGGCGTACTGGCAGAAATCCTGGCAGCGGAGAAGAGGTGGACTGGTGGATTTGGTTAGGTAGGGACGGGACTATTTCGTCGTGTAAGTGCACATACCACACTCAAAAACAAAAAAATACAAGAGGATAATAAGATGGTTAGTATGGCTGACGGCAGCTCGGGGGCGTGAGCCAAGGGAAGGGGTAGGTAGGTAGCTCCTCTTGTGTGTGTGTGTGTGTGTGTGTGTGTGTGTGTGTTTTTTTTTTTTTTTTCCTTTCCTTGCTCCTCAACGGGAAATATCCTAGGTAGAGCGTGACGGCATAAGGACATTCTCATCCAACTTAGAATGTCATTCATGGTCTACTATTGAACGGAGTTGGTGTGGACCCCTGCCACCATCTTCTTAGTACCTCCGTACTACTTCCCTTACAGGCTAAGTTAATCCTTCATCTTTTATATTATCCCCTATTTTATTTTCAGCTGTCTCTTATCCGCCATGCCTCTCTACATTAGGAACATTAGGTACGCTCTGTTATTAATTTGCGAGCTCGCAGTATGTATGTCGCAACCACCGCAACAACCGCAACGGTCCTTATTCACTCAGTAGTACATCGAAATAGGACGGTCATATCATTAGGTACATATACATAGTATTGTGCAATACCGCATACGTCGTGCATACATACGGGAGGGCTGCCATGCTGCTGCGGGGAAATTCTATCGAATCAACATGAACGGGCCAACGGGATGCCAATGACTGCGGACAAAGAGACATGTGTTGTATGTACTAGGAAAGGAGATGGCAGTTTATTTCGTATAATGGTATGTATCATCGTATTCTATAGGATGGCAGAAACGACCGGTTCAGCAGTAACAAACCAACTAGCATTAGATCCAATAGATCCAACCAACTGCCTCTTTAGTTGACTTTTATTCCTTATGAAAGACTTGAAAATCTACTCCAAGTGAGCAAATATTTACATAACATAAAAAGTCAAGGATGCGACCAGGTTACGTGTAATAAACATTAACAAAGGAAATGCCTTGTTCTGAGTCTTTTTTATTTATTTTCATTTTTAATAAAAATAAAAATAAAGATAAAATAATGTTACGATGCGTTCGCGAGTCACGAGTTGCCCCTTATGCTCCCTCAATCCTCCCCATGAGGGCTGGGCTATGTTGTGATGTGCTATGCTAGGTATGTTATGCTACTATGCCATCATAGGATGACAGCGTTACAGCTACCATCAACCTACTCGCCTGCATCAGATGGATTCTTTTCCTAGTCCAATACTTTCTTTCTTCCAAATCCTCAATGTCAAAGAAGCAGGTGTATCGTATGTATTGTACAGAAACAGCCTGCTATTTACAAGGTTACCTACCTACCTCCTAGGTATCCAGGTAATACATTACCTACCCGACTTTGAACAGCCTCGGCCTAAAAGATTCCGGCGTGAGACGTGAAAAAGGTACCTAACCTACACACGCTCTTTACGCACTTATTTAGCCAATCATCAATTTTCAGCTGCTCCTGTATAAGTAGATGGATGTAAATATGGCATGTCCTACCAAGTCAGGAAAGAAAAGAAAAGAAGCGCGCTAGCTTTGCAACATTTACTGATTGGAGGTTTATTGACTTCGCGGTCGAATCAAAATAGTTACGGGGTTCAGACCGACGACAATCTACTTACACGATAACCAGTCTCTTCCAAATATGTTGCCTCTCTTTTCTATGTAGAGAGACCTTCTGGAATTCCAGCTGAAATCAAACCGCGCCGTCCCGTGCCGTCATGTTAGGGGGATAGACAGCCTCCAAGAGCCGGTCCAAAAGCACCAGCGGCTTGGGTCCAGGAACGTGGTCTTTAGAACGTTCGGCCGGCATTACCGTACATAGCTGGCTGATGCTATGGGCCATGGCGTATTTTGCGTAGTATGGCTTTGTACTACCCACGATGCAAATCACGATGCAAATGATGACGGGCGCCATTCTAGATCGATATAGGTATCTGCTGAAAAAATAGATGCATAAATTTATTACCTGAGATAGTCAAAGCTGACAAGATAAAACTGTCCATATTTATTTATCTTCGTCTTCATCCAAGGAACTGGTCGGGGATACGCCGGTCATAGCATTACATAGGGGGCCATACATAAAGACCATACATAAAGAAGGCTACCTAGTAATGCCCGGGACTCGGCCGATACCAATATCTCTTAAGAATAGAGACATATCTAAACCACAACGGAAAGAATATTTTGTATAACTAGTTAACTACCTACCTAATATTATCTACTCGCCTTCATTCCATTAGATAGGTTAGGTACCTATATCGGAGCAACCTGTCCTAGACATACGGAATAGATAAGCCTAGATTTGCTTCTCTACCTTGTTTTACTTCGCCATAAGCGAGGGAAAGACGTGGCTTAACCCGCTATTAGTTCGTCCCAAGAGGGAGAGCGAGTGTGAGAGAGAAGGAAAAAAAAACCCCGACGTCGATCATAGGAAAAAAAAAAAAAGAGCTAGGTACTCTCCCCCCGGCTGCCCGCCAAGCTGGATCGCAACCCCGAAAACTGCAAGTGATCGACAACTAATACCGCGATAAGCACGAAAATCGCGGCACCAGTTTATCAGCACATCACATACATAGGCAGGCAGACAGACATATTTACCGCACCCTACCTGTCTAGGTTACCGCACCGCAAACCAATCCCGAGCTATTGTAAGCGCTGTCTCGGGTTACCTATGCCTTTGTTCCAGGGAGAAACAAGGGCAGCTTCGCGAGCGGAGTTAACCGCTACCTACTTACCACTACTATGTAAGAACTAAGAAGATGAGAGGCGGCGAGCGGCTTGGGATTTCCGGAAAGGCTTGTTTTAATTTCTAGTCCGCGTCTTTGATCGATTATGGGATGGCGGATGGTGGATGGTGGATGGTTCTTAGGTATGGGATAGGGACAATAGGAGGTAGGTACCCAACACTACACAAGCGCGACGATAGAGTGGGAGACCTAGAAACTAGCCAGTCGGATTGCTTTACTCTGTAGACTGTAGTTGTATGTATGCCCGCAGGTCGAGGCGAAGAAGCCAGGTAGGTATGTAGGTATTTGACTCGGTCAGCAAGTCAGCGTCTTTCTTAGCGAACATTCGAACTTGGAACTAGCAGCTGCGGTAAGACCCAAGAGATGATGATTTCTCTCACCCGCGTTCCATTGCTTCGGCCAATAGTTGGTCCAATCGCTTTACCCCGATCTGATCCTGTGGTTGAGATCCAGAGATCTACTAATCCAGATCCGTCATCCGGGGGAATCTTTCAAACTGACTGACGGATGACTTACGGCATAATAATAAAATCAAGGTTATTCCTGTAGGTATTGCGCAAGAGAAAATAAAAATAAAAGGAAAATACCATATTTCACGGTGAGGTTTTAATACGTCTTATTCTTACGATAACTAGACATTAAGCCCAACAACGCATTCCTCCGTATAGACAATTCTGTATTCTGTACTACATAATATGTTCACTCTAGTGATTCAAAGACCCTGGTTCGTCTCGCCGTTGTACAGCGGTTCCAAGAATTCAAAATAAACAAATCATATTTTAATCTATCACCACCCCATGATTTAAAGAGCGTGATAGCTTTACAGCTCTACTTTCGGGTTTCCCATCAACTGAGACCGAATTTATAAATAACCCCCCCTGTTTAAGCTTATGTCTTGCATTCGAAGCCGCATCGGCAATAACCAAGTCCTTCAATCACGCTTTTTTAAAGGTTACCTAGTATCACGGACACCAAGCTCCGTTCTCGACAAGCAGGCGATGATGGTGTTCTCATCTTAGATACCCATATACCCATTCATCACTCTTGTATAACCGACGCATCTCGCCACGCTATTCATAGAACAAAACGTCTGCAACGCAATATATTTACTTGCCGAGTAAGCGAGAAGACCCAGGTTCACGCTTTAAATAGCGACATTCCCCCCCCCTTCCCCGGTCCCCCCAGAATTCCTCACCGCGCCAACCTCTCTTTATCCCGGAAACATAGCTCCATCGCGAGGAAACGGGCCTAGGAGGTGAGAGCCCTCTTTACCCTCGTAGCTAGGTGGTAGGTAGTTAAATAGACTTTCCATGCAGGGAAACGTGCTCTTCTCCGCCCCTGTAGGGGGGAGAACCGTTGAATCAATCACAGGTAAGGGTGAGGTGGGAGATACAGACGAGAGGAGAGAGGGAAGGGAGAGAGAGAGAGAGAGAGAAAGTATTCCAAATTAGCCGGTGCGCCAAATCCTTGCCGCGACACGCCATATCCGCTACCCGCCATCCGCCGTCCCGCGGAGAGGAGAAGGAGAGAGCGAACACGAGGCGATAGTTCGTCTCGTCTCTAAATATACAGGCGCATGCTTGCGCGAGCGAACGCTACCCTACCCTAGATAAGATATATTGCGCTCCCATGCTCACTCATATACTACCGTGTCTTAAAATAGCTTGCAGGTATATATATAGTACATAGCACATACAACCATACTCGTCTGCATGAGTTCGAAAGCAACCGCAACCCATCGCCCGCAACCGACGGGCTCGGGAGCAATAGCCTAGAAAGGGGGATCCCTCAAGGGTCCTTCCGAAGTGGGCTGGCTTCCCCTGCTCCCCGAACCGAACCGAGCTTCGCTGGACCCTGTTTCTTGTACTACGAGGCTCCGGCTCGGAGCTTCGTACGCGCGAGGGATAGCACGGTGCTGGGCGTCTAGGGGGGAGGGAGATGCGGGTGATGGATGGATGGATGGATCGTTAGCCCTGCTCTGCCCTGCTCTGCTCTGCTTGCCATCTGTGGGATGGGATGCGGCTCTACTGTCGTGCGGAGGTGTCTTATGTTTACTTACACGTCGCCTGTTTCTGCCGGCAAGTACGTGTGTGTATCCCCGGGTTCTCGTACGAGGGCTTGTGTTACTTGGCGTGTCGAAGCTGGGAGTAGCCCAAGATACGTGTTTAGGACCGGAACTCGCGTGGTATTAAATAAGTTAATTGAATAGAATGTGTTAGACTTGCTTTGAGAAGTATAAGGGAAGTTTCGTAATAGGTTAGGTACCAGGTAGGCATTAATTAGTTCTATACGGTTAAGAACATTCGATGATTTATATGGATGTCATTGTCTTCCCATAGGTACCTATACAACAAGGTCACAAAGAATATAAAGGGTTTATGAGGCATAAAGGGTTATAATAACTGTATGATTTATTACTAATTACATTCTCGGTATAAAGGTCTATAGTATACTTATAAGCCAACTCCCTTATCACGACTGTCTCAAAAAAGGGGTATGATCTCACACGCTACGGGGCCGAAATACCTGTAGGAAAGACTTTACGCAGATGACGAGTACTGGTAAGAGAACCTAAGACGATGTCGTCCTCCCCTCCCCGTCTTCTACTTCCTTTACATCATCGACAATCTTTTGTCTGATGTATACTGGTCCGAAGGTGCCATTTCTCATTTCCGGTGTACCTGGGGCATCAACTATAGGAACTGAAAGGATACCTCCACGCTACTTCCGAAGCGTACTCGTGAAACCAACCACTCAATATATTAATTTCGACGTACTCCTTGTTACCTTCTCGTAGAAGCGACTTGGTTTCTTCGAAAACAAGTTCATGGAGACGCTCGCTAGTGAGTGCGGGTTTACCCCTGTTTGGAGGCTCCATGTTACTGGTAGCTTCGTTCTGAGTAGTATATACGGCAGTCCTTTCTTCGTTTCTTTCCCTCTTATTATTAGAAGAAGGAATGAAATCAGCCTAGAGCGTGTTGGCTGTAAATACTAATAGTCAGTCGGACTCGTCAAGTATGGAGTTCGAGGATAAAACAATACCTAGTGCGCTTTGATGCGTTCAAGTATCCCATGATAGTTCTCCTACAATTTTAGTTATCCCACAATCCCATTCAAAGCTATAACAATAGATAAACTACCCTCTCTCAAGCTATTATTAATAACCCATAACAGTACAGATACATTGTAGTTGTTTTCAAAACGACGAGACACAAACTCGTTAACCGTGTCTACATATTGTTTCGATCCCCTCACTACATAATCGTTAGATAAATTGCGGTTCCCATGTTGCAATCTTTCCCTCCGTAGTTAAACACCTACCTAGTTATCACCATCAATACCTAGTAAAAGAACTCAAAATCCTCACCGTAACGCACTTATCAGTCTTGACTCTACCTACCTAAATATGGCTCCAGTAGACCAGTTAATATTCTCCTTGAAACCTTTCGGTTCCAGGGCCGAGAAGGTCGTATCACACAAGAATAATGACAAATGCACCTCGACTAAGTGGCATGGGACACGCTGCTTCAATTTCGGAAGCACTTTTCAAACCAAGCACGCTAATAAAATTATAACTATCGCAACGTTGGGTAGTAGCCGAAGTAAGGCTGACGCCTACATAAGCGGAGACGATATTGAAAGCATACATTGCACTTTCTATATCAACTATGAGACGGGTGTCGTAGTGCTTCAAGTAAGTCCCTCCCGACCAGAGTCGTGATATCTTGTTTCCTTAAAACATCAAAGCTAACTCAGAGATAGGATGAGTCCTCCGGAAAGACTCGCATTTACCAGGACACCGAATCGCAAATCAACACATCTCATAGAGAATACCGTCGTGCCATAGTTATGAAAGGAATTAACGAAATGATTTCTCTAGGATCCCCGGACGCTCCAGCAAGGTTCGAGATTATCTGGAGCCTCAAACCCGAGAAAATCCTGGAAATCGTAAAAAAGCGAATTTCAGAAGCGTCCGAGGCCAAAATAAGCAAGGATATGTGGAATTATACAGATCAGACGCAGTGGACGAACGTTCCAAATCCGATAAAACACCACCCCATAGTCGAGCTTGGGAGGGGCGGGTTTGGCAAGGTTATGAAAACCGTTGACCGATACTCGGGCGGCGTGATGGCCGTCAAGCTGCTGCATCGGCCTAAAGACAACAAAGATCCTCGTTGGCTGGATACCTTGATATCCGCCCGAGATCGAGAAGTCTGTAAGTATTATATACTACCCTTTCTAGCATCCCTTTGTATTTTCGATATTTCCTTGTCGGCGAAAGCCTTTACCCCCTAACAAAGCCTACTTCCTCTAATACCATTGTGAATGCTGACCCCGTACGTAACAGTTATACTTTCCAAGCTCAAACACAAGCACATCGTGAATTATCTTGGCTCGCAAGGCTGGGACACGGGGTTTGTCGAGATATTCATGCCCATGAAGAGGGGAACGTTAGCCGATCTAGTGCGCCAGTATCCGGCGTACGACTCTCTGAAGAAAAATGGCAACACCGTGTTACTACAGATGTTATCCGCGCTTGATTATCTTGCGTACAGCAAGCTCATACATCGCGATATAAAGCCAGATAATATCCTTTACGATGTGAAAATCGTAGACGGAGAAGAGCGTATCGTCTTCCAACTGGCTGATTTTGGGCTATCGGTTCTCCAGAACCTAGGACGGAGCCAGGCCGGCACCATAATCTTCATGGCACCTGAGGTGTACGATGGTGAGAAGACACAGACGCCCAGGGCGGATGTCTGGTCTTTGTACGTGACCATGTTATGGGTTTACAACGAGGAACTATTCCGCCACAGGGTCGAAACAGGGAGACTACGGGGACAAACCGAAGTCCGGAGAGCCGTTCTCAACATCGCCTCGTCTAGCAAAGAATTGTTGTTTCTTCGCAGCATGGCGATTTACGACCCTTCCCTTCGCGCTTCGGCGGCGCAGATACTGACTGGACTCAATAGAGAAGACCTAATGACCCATAGTGTCGCTGCATCGATCAACTCGTATAGCGAATGGATGGCGGATGTGAGAGCGGGTAGAAGCAAATTCACCCCCTATCTCTCGAAAATCCTGGAGTTTTAAATCTGTATTCCAAGAATTATCAAGAGATACCATTTCCGCTGATGCCTAATACGGCACCTTTGCTGATCCTACAAGGCTGATTCCGAGTAGACTGTCTTGCTTTATGTATAACGATAGTATCTATGACTTCTGGTAACCTTGGAAGGTCCCGGATTATGGGTGACATATAGGGGGAGATATATATAGGCGGCAAGGACCTCGTTATGCTTACCTATATATATTCTACTACCTCCCATGTACCTTGTGTAGGGAACTGTTGGTTTCGGTAGGCCCCCCCTATTCTAAGGCTTGGCGAACCCAAACTGAAGCCAGGAACGTACCTCTTACTAGAACCATAGCATTAGTATACACGATGGTGATAATTTATGGTGCTTTGTACTTATCTTTTTGGTATACCTTGAAGTGATTTAATGACTGACATGTTACCCTTCATACAAATTTAGGGATGCATAGGCGAGTGGCATGGAATAGAGACGACCCTTAGATCGGATCTTCTGAACGGTATATGAGAGGGGTTAAAACTTAAGATCAATATCATCAATAGAGTACCACTATCTAGGTCGGTCAAATCTATTCGGTATGCGTATAATTCAAGATAGATATAGAAGCAGAGGCAAATAATTGACACGCTGCTGGCCGTTACTTCATGACTCGGAAATATAGACACTGGGGTATCTTGAAGACTACGAAATAATAACGCACTAATTCGACCTTTGCATACATCTTGGCTTTCCAGAATTCTATTCAGATACTTGCACATGTAAGAGCAAGGAGACCTAGACTTGGGGTCTTATGTATACCTCGAGGATGATAGCCGCTTGGTACTCCTGCAGAGGTGACACGCCTACCCAATGGCGCTAGAAGCGGGCATGGATTCAGCATTACAAGGAGGGTATTGCGCTGCTTGTTAATGGGTGGATTGATCTGCCAGACGTAGTAGTTAGTGAAGTAGGTTATTTCAGTCAGCTAAGAGTGTTGCCGACGGGTGCTTCTGCTTCTGCTTCCGCTTCTTGTTCGGTCGGTGGCGCTGACCATCGTTGTTGACTCAGTGAATTCTTTTCGAGACCATCTTCGGCGTTATCTCCTTCTACTTGGACGGGATTCTGGGGTTTTTGGCTGCCTTCCTGGGCGGCCTCCGGCCCTTCATGACCTGCGTCGGAGGCATTTTCGTCTTCCTTTAACTTCCCCCCTTTTCGCATGGGAATGACGTTCATGAAGGCAGTGCCCCAGTCTCCCGTCTCCAGCCACTGGAGTATTATCTCCATGACGTGGTTTGTAGCGAGGATATGGCGGCTTTGCATGACCATGTATTGGCCAATAGGCAGTTTTGCCGTACGGACATTTTTGCTTCGCGCGATCTTGTAGCATAACCCCTTTTCGCGATTCTTGTCGATTATGCCACCAATGACATAGCAGGTATTGGGCTCTAGACGATCGAGTGTATAGGGTGAATCGGCAGTCAGATAGACAATGGACTTGTCTACATCATCGGCCTCGGGTTCCGCGACTGGAGCGGCCTTCTGCTTCTTTTTGGAGTCTTGACTGACCTCGGAAAATGAAACCGAATCTCGGCCATTGCCTTGTGCAAGAAGATCGATTACGGTGCCACCAGAGGGTCCTGCCATTATCTCTTTGGCCTTAGCAGCAGCCTCGATAAAGTCGCCTTCTATGAATTGGACGTTCTTCCAACCCTTGAACTGGTTCTGAAGGATGGTCTCATGCCTTTCCTTCATCTGGCCGCCATATGAACTAATAAACATATGGACGGGGAACTGGGCGTTCCTGTTATCAGAATAGCATCTAGTGATCTGATTTGACAAAGATGGTAATTCCTTTCCCATCATGTACTTCTCAAATTGGCAGTCGAATATAACCGTGATAGGCACTTTGGTAGCGGACTTGGGCTGTCTCCTGGATGGCTCTTGGAATACGGGTTCTCTTCCCTCAGCGGCAGCGGCAGCAATCTCGGCTTCTCTTTCCAATCTCTTTTTCTCCTGCTTTTCGTGTCGCTTCTCTTTACGCAGGACCTTCTTTTCTTGCTTCTTTTCTTCCCACATTTTTTGACGTTTTAATTTGCGTTGTTGGTTCTTGGACAACTTCGGGGCATCGGTCCCGTTGGTAGGCTCTTTGGATCCTCCATCGTTATGATCGCCTTCTTCTTCTTCGCTAACATCGCCATGGGAAGGTCGTTTCACCCCGCGCTTTTCAGGACTATTCGGGATGGTAGCTGCGGACGGTTGAGCTTCCGTTGTCGCATCCAGATTCTCTTGTGATTGGACTTCGATGTTGGTACTGGTAATTGTTTTTAATGTACTGTCGTTTTCCGCGACGGCTTCTGTGGTGTCTGCCATGGTTGCTGGGCTCTTGAAAAGAAAAAAAAAAGAAAAAAAGGTGCTTTTTGTAGTGGGGTGTCAAAAGTTGAATATGGAGCTGGAATAAAAACGCGACAACCCCACGGCACAAAAAGCTTATTTAGGTCATGCAGTAGCGCAGTTGTAACGAGCTTGTCGGGGTAAGAGCTCATTAAATTTTAGCGCGTCTCGTCGCGTCTCGCAGCTTTAATTGAATTTTTGACGCGATTTGGGACTCGGACCCTTAAGACTCAACTTATCTAGTACCCTGTATTTGTGTCTTTCTCCCTACGTCAACTGAAACATTGCACTTCAAAGAATATAATGCGAATCTTAACTGGGCCATTCTATTCCTTTTTTTGTTTCTACTAGTTACATTAAGGTGAAGTACTTACGTTATTAGACTTAAGAATTTAATACTTGGAGACAAAATGTCTTCCCGACCCGAGTTAAAGGTATAGTTTTATAGAATCAGAATTCATTTATAATGCAAAGTTGACCAATCTGATGACAGGTCGACGATGAACACGGATTCATACGTTTCTTTAAATCCCTGCCGTCCGTAGGCGAAGAAACTGTCCGTATATTCGACCGAGGCGACTGGTACACCGCCCACGGCCAAGATGCGAACTTCATTGCGAGAACTGTCTACAAAACCACCTCTGTTGTGCGACAGCTGGGACGAAACGATGCCAGTGGCCTACCATCCGTCACTATGACGGTCACTGTATTCAGGCAATTCCTTCGAGAAGCTCTGTTCAAGCTTGGAAAGCGTGTCGAGATATATGCTAGCAGCGGTGGCCGAATGAATTGGAAGATTGTCAAGCAAGCCTCCCCCGGAAACCTACAAGACGTAGAAGAGGAGCTTGGCGGACAATTCGAGTCTGCGCCTATGATACTGGCTGTCAAGATTTCAGCCAAGGCCTCTGAGGCAAGGAGCGTAGGCGTCTGCTTCGCTGATGCCAGTGTTCGAGAGCTTGGAGTTAGCGAGTTTCTTGACAATGATCAATATTCGAACTTCGAAGCCCTCCTTATCCAACTTGGCGTCAAGGAGTGTCTCGTCCAAATGGACAAGGCCGAGAAGGATAAAGACCCTGAATTAACCAAACTTAAGCAGATTATAGACAACTGTGGAGTTGCCATGGCCGAAAGACCAGCTGGTGATTTTGGAACAAAAGATATCGAGCAGGACCTTGCTCGATTGCTGAAGGATGAGAGATCCGCAACTCTGCTTCCACAAACCGATCTCAAGTTGGCCATGGGGTCCGCGGCAGCATTGGTCAAATATCTAGCTGTTCTCCAAGACCCATCTAACTTTGGCCAGTACCAGCTGTACCAACATGACCTATCCCAGTTTATGAAGCTCGATGCCGCCGCTCTCAAGGCTCTTAATCTAATGCCTGGTGCAAGGGACGGCTCTAAGACGATGAGCTTGTACGGATTGCTTAATCACTGCAAAACACCAGTCGGCAGCCGGTTACTGTCGCAATGGCTCAAGCAACCCCTAATGAACAGAGATGAGATCGAAAAGCGCCAACAATTAGTCGAGGCTTTCGTTAATGATACGGAGCTCCGCCAGACCATGCAAGAGGAGCATCTCAAGTCTGTACCGGACCTCTACCGGCTAGCAAAACGATTCCAACGAAACAAGGCAAACTTAGAAGACGTGGTTCGAGCATACCAGGTTGTTATTCGCTTACCCGGGTTTCTAGGAACACTGGAGGGCGTGATGGATGAAAAATACAAAGACCCATTAGACGAGGCGTATACCAACAAATTAAGAGGGTTTTCCGATAGTCTCGGAAAGCTTGCCGAAATGGTGGAAACTACTGTTGATCTTGACGCCCTTGATAACCACGAGTTCATCATCAAGCCCGAGTTCGATGATAACTTGCGCATCGTGCGGAGAAAACTCGACAAGCTTAGGTCGAATATGGACAGCGAGTTCCGAAAAGCGGCAGACGATCTAAACCAAGAAGAAAACAAGAAGATATTCCTTGAGAACCACAAGGTTCATGGTTGGTGCATGCGGTTAACGAGAACCGAAGCTGGCTGTATTCGCAACAATTCTCATTACCAGGAGTGCTCGACACAGAAGAACGGCGTGTACTTCACCACGAAGTCGCTACAATCATATCGCCGGGAGTTCGATCAGCTATCTCAGACCTACGACAGGACACAAAAAGGCTTAGTCAACGAAGTTGTAAGTGTTGCCGCGTCTTACAGTCCCGTGCTCGAACAGCTTGCCGGCGTCCTGGCACATCTAGACGTCATCGTATCATTCGCGCACTGCTCAGTTCACGCTCCCACATCCTACGTTCGTCCTACCATCCATCCTCGAGGGGAGGGTTCCACCATTCTAAAGGAGGCCCGCCATCCGTGTATGGAGATGCAAGATGACATCCAATTTATCACAAACGATGTCGAACTCCGCCGTGGCGAATCCTCTTTCTTAATCATCACGGGGCCTAACATGGGTGGTAAATCAACCTACATCAGACAGATCGGTGTCATCGCGCTCATGGCGCAAATCGGATGCTTCGTTCCGTGCACCGAGGCCGAGCTCACCATCTTCGACTCTATACTCGCGCGTGTCGGCGCCAGCGACTCGCAGCTCAAGGGCGTCTCGACGTTCATGGCAGAGATGCTCGAGACAGCAAACATTCTCAAGTCGGCGACAGCCGAGTCGCTAATCATCATCGACGAGCTGGGCCGCGGCACGTCGACCTACGACGGTTTCGGATTAGCCTGGGCCATCAGCGAGCACATCGTAAAGGAGATCGGCTGCTCCGCCATGTTCGCGACGCATTTCCACGAGCTAACGGCGCTCGCGGACCAGCATCCGCAGGTACGCAACCTGCACGTAACGGCGCACATATCGTCGTCAGCCGGCGACTCCTCGAGCATCGACAAGCGCGAGGTCACGCTGCTGTACAAAGTCGAGCCCGGCGTCTGCGACCAGTCCTTCGGCATCCACGTCGCGGAGCTGGTGCGATTCCCAGATAAGGTGGTGCGCATGGCAAAGCGCAAGGCGGACGAGCTGGAAGACTTCACGGCCAAGCACGAGACCGCGCAGCAGAACTACGCGAAAGAAGACGTGGAAGAAGGAAGCGCCAGGCTGAAGGACGTGCTGGTCCGCTGGAAGGACGAGGTCAAGGGCGGAAGCATGAGTAAGGAGGAGATGGTAAGCCGTCTAAGGGAGCTCGTTAAGAAAGATGAGAAGCTCCTGGCGAATCCGTTCTTTACCGCCGTTAAGGCTTTGTGATGTTCGATAGGAGGAATATAATAATAATGGCTTGTACATGTTGTAAAATCATGACGGGGTGGTTCGGATCGGCGTCCGGGAGCAGATGAGGATTATTAAGCACTTATAGATTGGCTTGTTAGGTAGGTAGGCTTTATTACTGGCATCATGTAGTCAGTTTATTGCGGGACATTGTTAGACAAATACTAAATAATCAACTGATAATTGTTCGTTCACGTGTGATTCTCGTGCTATATAAAACAGGTAGGTAAGTAGAAGTTATACCTTAAAGTACGATGAGTCGGCGTAATACTACCAGAACTAATCATCAAATCGACGGGCCCCTTAGACTAGTATCATGGCTTCAAGATATACTATTATACGCATTTACTTCGAGTAATTAAGCCAGCACAGGCTACGGTAGAGTACCTAACGAGGTCAGGAGCAAAACGCAAAAGTGTCATCAAATCATCGTATCCATTATATACAAATGGCCGTAGTGTTCCACGCGCCTCGGGACGATATCTTTTAATAGCCCATCCATATCACCTACCCCGTAGAAATACCTACATCTAGCCCAGAACCTTGTCGGCCATGGAAACTAAGCCGGGGTCAGTATTTCCTACACACATGGAATCACAGGGGGTAAATACTCACCGTTGGTCCCAGTGTTATCCGGCTCAACATGCACGGACTTGACCTTGCCGTCCTCGACGACCAGAGCGTAGCGCTTGGCCCGCATGCCACCGAAGATGGCCGGGGCGTCGAAGCCCAGGTCTAGGGCCTTGGTGAATTCGCCGGCGGGGTCAGCCAGGAATCGGATCTATATAGCATGTTAATGACTAGGGACAGACGCTTATATCATAGGTACCTAAGCTTTGGCTGGACTTACACCGGACTCGTGCGTGGGATCAAGCTGGTCGCCCCATGCCTTCATACTGCTGAGCGTTAGCCAACCGGTCTCCGAACTATTTTCTCCCGTGCCGTCCCGGGTAAATTATGCGTATAGGCGTGTAACTAGAATCGCCCTCGTTGCCCGCACCCAAGCCCTCCCATCCACGAGAACCCCACCACCAAGCGTACCTGTTCTCATCTCACTTCCCCCTCCCTCCGTACCACCACACATCTCCTAACGCCGCCACCAACACCACCACCATCCAACCCCAAAACAAGAGAAAAAAAAAACAGCACTCACACAAAAGCATCATTAACACTAACGACAAACACCCTCCCCGCGTCCCTCAGCTTCGGGCTCTGGATATAACTCGGGATATGCTTCTCCGAGCACGCGCCCGAGAACGCCGCGGGCACGCCGACGATCACCCCGTTCGCCGCCTCGAACTCCTGCGCCAGGTTGACCTTGTTGCCCGGGGACCCCTCCTGCAGCACCTCCAAGTTAGGGATCGGCTCGCCGACCTTGACAAAGGCGCGCGGCGTGGCGTGGAAGAAGCGGCGTGCTGCGAACGAGGCCGAGGCCGAGGCGGGAGAGAAGGCGCTGGGGCCGCGGCGTAGGGCGAGCCGGAATGCCATTGTGGTGGTGGTGGGTGGCTGGGTGGCTGGGTGAATATCTAACCAGGTAGCTAGGAGGTATAATATATAGATAGGGTAGGTAGGTTGATATATATGATTCGAAAATGCGAGATAGAGAAAAAGAAAAGAGGAAGTAAAATCGGAGTCGAGGTGGTAAAAAAAAGTCAATAAGCCACACAAATTGGCGTCTGGGGGCTAAATGCGAAGAAGTCGCTCTCCGCGATATGATATGGGGAACACCTACCCTAATACCTATCTACACACCTAACCTAGATGGAGGTCGAGAACATTATGCCGGGTATGTACGAAATACACTACGTATGCGAACTTACATTGGTACATGCGCTAAACCTAGTATATACATAGTAGACGCGGGAACGGGAACTATGACGTGAACCTACTTCGTACCTGCACAGTTTCTCCGAAGACAATTCCGTCTGAAGTTATGAATTCTTACGGTGATAGTTCGCACTGTATGTATATATACCTTACGTATATCATAACCATATCACTTACACTCACCTACGGTAATATTTTATATCCCTACCAGATAGACACCTATAGGAACCCCAAAGGTATTATGGTATTATTCATAACTTCATCAAATATTCTATTGTTCCCAAGACTCCCGCTGAAAAGCAGATAGAGAATCTCGCGGATATGTATCTAATAGCTATGTACCTAGGTACTAAGAGTCCATACTGACATTCTCATCAATCAGACAGATTGACTGTATTTGCGATTCATCATGGATCAAAAGTAAACTGGCAACAAAGTAATGATACCCCGTTCCAAACTCCGGCCATGGCCACGCTCTATCTATCGATGCTGTTACACACAATACAATTTATCCGCGAGAACTGGTCCCGCTCGCTCCCGGAGCGTTGCTCTTTAGGTCTACGTTAAAGGTCCATCGCCCTGCGACGAGACAAAAATCAAATGGTTAGCTAATTGCTATCTAACTGGGATCGTCTCGAGCAAGCTTACCATTAGCTAAGTTGTCCGCTGTGTCCTCCAACAGAATAACCCGTCGACGGTTGCAGTAAGCTGTCTTGTCCATGATATCAACCTTGAGCTTGGGCGCCGACAACTCAGAAATTGGCTTCTCGAACATCTCTGATAATGCCTCGACCGCAAGCTCAAGATCTTTCTGGTTGTCCTCGAAAATCTCCGTGAGGTTATTCCGAGCTAGGTAGAAAGCGAACGCGTAAGTCCACTTTAGAGTCTGCCGGCACGTCTGCAACGCCTGCGACGCCGAGTTTAGGTATTGTACTTCGATCCATGACATGCCCGATGCCGTCTGTAATTGTACCATCTTCTTCTCCGTTTTCTGGTAGATATCCTTGTCTAGACGCGCCGACTGCTCGTGGTTTGCGTACCGATTATAGTAGTGTAGGTATCGCTCCAGAGACACCCGTGACTTTGCCTGAGCATCGCGCGCTTCCGTCCCGCTCTTCTCCTCAAATCGGTTGCAATTGTACCAACTCGTGCCATGCTCCGACCATAAGCCCATGCACATCCAGCAAAACTCATGCTTGCATTTTCGGCATGTCATGTGGTTACAACCCCCGTTCTTTTCAATTGTCGAGTTACATTTGGGGCATTCTTTGGTATTGGCAGAAATCCAGTTAGCAGTTTCGCTATCATCCGCACACTTCTTTAACCACCTTTTAACAAGCTCGCAAGGCGCTGGCTGATGATCACTAAGTATGCAGCCAAAACAGAATCTGTTGCCACAGGCACAAGCAACCGTCGGTACTACCTTGTCTAGGTCCTTTTTCTTGATAGCACACTCAACCGCGTTCTCGCAGTCGGGAGCAGGACACCACTTAAGGGCATCTCTATCCTCAACATACGTACGGTTGAGTAACTCTTGGTATCGGTCGGCAAGTTCGGTTGTCACTAGCAAATCCAAGGTCCGCGCATCGATAATACGGTGGCAACCCTCGGCGGGACATTGAATACGGGCTGCCTCGCCCTCCTCGCGGATCTTCTGCGTAAGATATTGCCGGTAGCAATTAACGCAATAACGGTGACCGCATTTCATAGCGAAACTAAGAAGGCCTTCCTCGTCTTCGCAACATATATCGCAAGCAAAACCTGGTATGACCTCTAATTTAGGTGGCGCGGAGGAGCTGGGACCTAGACCGGCTGCCTCCAGGACCTTGGTTGGGTTATCCATATAGTCTTCGATTAAGCGCTCCTTATTCCATCTAAAGTGGCGCAATAGAATAGCGGCGTCCTCTTTAGTCATCTCCAAGATCATGTTAACTTCGTCGATCATTTCTTCTTGTTGATGTTCTATGTCGTGAGGCGTGTATACTTTGTAGCTGATGTCAAACGACACGCCTTTCTTCTTATCGGACTTCTGCGAAGGAATGCCGGGCACGTCATCGGGTTCGTCGTCGAATACATCGAAGTCTAATACATCGAATATTAGTAGTCAGCTAATGTGCATGAGTCATGTGTGGGAAAACGGACAACGACAGAGAAAAGGAATGAGACATACCCTCGGCACCCGACATGTCATCATTGTCGGTGTCGTCTTGCATAATATCATCTCCACTAGAAATAGTCGAGACGAAATCCTCGTCTGAATCCATGCCGGTAATCGGAGTTGGGGGCGCTGCGTCTGTAGCAGCTGCTGAGGCGAGGACTCGTTTGATGGGAATGGCCTCGGGGGTGTCTGCGGATAGTTTCGCCTCAGCGGCTTTCCGCTTCCTCGTTGTGGGAGGAATCTTGTCGGTTGGTAATGTTGGCTTGGGGATGCTCGCCGCCGACGAGCCTCGGAGGATGGATATCGGAGGTTGCTCAAAGGCACGACGTGCAACAGTAAATAAACGTTACTGGTATACCCGTTTGTCCTTGAGAATTTGGTGATCAGGGACCGCCCGTACGTGGAGGTTTGCTTCTTCGGGTACCGTCTACCGTCGTCGGTTTACACGTGTGCAGGTTAGACAAACAGACGCTGTTGAGGAATGACTGGGCCTAAATAGGTAATGTAAGTATGTAGGTAGTGCGAAGTTGATAATAGAAAAAACGAAAATGAAATAATTAAAAGAAAGGTAAGGCGGCGGACATGTAATATTGAGGTGACCTCGTCAGCTGGATAGGAGGGGTTCGAATGGAAGGGCTGGAATGGAGAAGAGAGCGTATTAGACCCGGCTTCAGAATATGTACAGGTGCCTCGGTCGTAAAATAGCAACCGGAGTCTCTTAGTCGTACCTCGTGAAATGACAAAAACACACAACAAGACCAGAATGCTGGTTAAGAAGTTGAAGTGTCGTAAAATCAGAAATATGGAATAAGATGTAGGTAATAAGCGTTGGCAGTGAATGTTGTACTTTGTACGTTGTACGTCGGATAGTTGTTGGTGGGTTAGGCTTGGTTGGCAGCTGCTGCTGGCCGATGGCCGATGGTGGTCATCAGTGGGCCAAGGTCACACTACCTTTGCGCTTGCTTTTGGTATGTAGACTACTGCCTAGGTTACTGCCTTGTCACTGCCTGCTTGTCACTGCCTGTTTACAGAGTGTAAGTAACATCGGCAGTCGCGGGTTACTGACGCAACTCACTACTAGCACTCGCGCCATGTACCTGCGCTTATTCCACCCTCATCCTGCCAGCTGGTCCGCCCTTCCGCCCTTCGTGTCAGATGTGGAGCACCGGCAATATTTCGGTACCTTAACTTACCTGTTAGAAAGCCTAGCCTATTTGTAATTGAACTTACAACTTATGCCTGCCAACAACACCTGTTAGGTGATCAATTTGGCCTCGAAAAACCCAAGGTAGGAAGTAGCGCTAGGCAGCCGTCTAGTCACCTACCTAGGTTCAAATGTTGTTATTTATACAATACTCCAAGAATCTAGATTCTGCGGTATGGGTACTTGAAAGAGGCGCTAACTTCATAGGTATTTGATGTGATCAATAGATGTACATGTAACCAATGCTAATATACGTACCTAGGTACATAACAACATTTGCACAATCAATCGTTATATACAAACTATCCCCTACATAACCAACTTAAACAATACTATTGAATTAGTAGTATAACCAGATAGAGTGTTTAGGTACTTATCAGCTCTTTTATACTCTAGTACGGACAAAGGATAGGTACCTAGTTATTGTAATGCTCTATCCTAACAACTAGCATACAACAACATATCATATGCGAGCACGATTCAATCCCAATACACCGTTTTACGGATCACGATTTACCAGTCATACAATTATAGCTAGTTGACTTTCTTGTTCTCCTATCCCCCCCAAAGAGAAACTGCAATTATGGCCCTTTTTGTGCCAATAAAATAGTTTATACCCGAACGCCTTTGCTTGACCATTTTGACCCCAAAACTCCGCCGCTATGCTGATATGACCGTCCTACGCCATCAAGTTCCTCAGGAGCCGGCAAAAACATATGTGCCATTTGCTGAAGACTTCACACCTAAGCAAAGAGAAACCTTGACAAGTCCATACGCCTACCTCCAGCCTTACCCTTGTCCGAGCCCAAGTTCTCCTGTTCATCCAAAGCCTCATCATTCTCGCTCTCTGGTGTTATCAGGTCTTCGCTGCCCATAGGCCTGTGTAAAGCTTCCACCTCCTCCAGGTCGACGGGAGGCAAGGGAACGAAGGCTGGATTAATAGGCATAGAGTCTATACTCCGCCTACCTAAGCTAGAACGCTTTGTAGGCCGTGGGACCGCGAAAGTAGGCGTGGGCGGCTGGTTACCGCGCCCCAAGGCCTTAATGCCGAGTCGCTGAAGGGGTGTCGCCGGCGTCGTCTTACCAGTCGATAGTTGTATTGACGAAAACGGCGTAGACGACATAACAGAAGTGGCAGGAGTAAGCCCGGAGAGTGAAGATCGGCTCGAGGAAGACGTAGAGGTACTCTGGCTACGTATTTGGCTTTGTCCGTAGCTAAAGCGCTTGGCGATGCTGGGAGTGTTTGGAAGCTGTACCAAGGTGGTGGGTTCGCTGCTGTCATTTTCGATATATGACTCGTCATCCTTAGATATTCCGGCCCCGGCCGAAACTGATTGCGACTCCTGGTAAACCATAACTTCCTTCTGGCCCTTTAGCGAGGGACTCCATCCGCCAAAATCCGGGAGATCTTGTAGAGCTTCCTCGATAGAATCATCTGACATCAAGTAGCCTTCTGTTTTCTTGGGGGTGGCACCCTTCACTTTACCCCGTGAGAAAAATTTGCTTCTCTGCTTTCCGGGACTTCGCCCCGAACTAGCATCGTCACACAGACGTGCCTTCTTAGGCGGCCGGACGGGATGGGAAGCTCCTGTGCTCTCGGAGTTGCTTAGGGTGTCGATTCCTGGGCCAGTAGTCTGGCGCCGAGACCCAGAAGCCAAAGTGTGACCACCATTGCCGAGTAGATTGGTCACCGGTTCAGTTCGACGTCGAAGAGTACGGGTGGAACTTTCAGGTCGCGTGATGTACGCGCGCGAGCCGGCGGATGTAGTAGACTCAGTTTCGTCTAGATATGGTCTCGGAAGCGGGTATACGATCGGTCGATTACCGTTTTCAGTCATGCTAGCGAGGCGTGTAGGGTCAACAGAGAAGCAATTCGGCTCCATTTCACCTAGAGGAATTCGGCGATGACCCTTGAAGTAAGAGTCGATCGGCTTCTCAGGAGGCTCTCGGGCTGTACGAGTTTGAGGCATGTTGCGAGCAGTTCCTGATGCAGTACGTTTCCTCGGCGAGGGTAGAGTTTGGAGCACAATGGTTCGTTTAGTGATTGGATTTATATCTCCGGCAGCAATCCCTTTGGCAGTTTCTGGCTCGATAAAGGGCCCAATAAATGGGAGTTCTTCGATCTTAGCCTCGGGGCTAAGTTGCGTAAAGTTGACAAGCTTGTCTGCCTTGGGACAGAAGACCCATTGATGAAGAAAAGTTTGCTCAGCTTGGTGAAACAATTTTAAATAATCAGTAGGGACTCGATATTTGCCGTCAAACTGCAGCATGCGCACCACTTTCTCGGGTGTTTTGTGCTTTCGTATCATCCTATGCGCTGTCTTCAGTCCTAAGTTGTTAATACTATCCAGATAGTCGCAACCGCTAAGAATAGCCATATGTCGAAATTGGGCGTCCGTCCAACCTGTCAGGGAGACTTCACGACAAGCACAGAAGTCTTTGCGGTTTATCTCAATACATTGACCGTGCTGATCCAGTTTAGTTAATAATCGTTTGGCTCCAAAAACCAGCAAATCTGAATCTTCGGAGAGAATGCCGCTTATGTGACCCTCACGTTCTAGATACACCAGCTGTGGATCAGCTTCGTAAGGTGCAACTACATAAGGCACGTCGGCTTTCTTTAGCTCTTCAATTAAATGTCGAGCCATCTCGGGAGTGATGTCGACAGCCTTCTGGAGCTCGGCATGTGCCTGGGAAGGTTTACCAGCCTTTAGAAGTTCGAGGCCCGTCTTCCTACATTCTTCTCGACGCTTTTCGCGAGACGCCTCAGTTGTGGCCTTGCTGGGCAAAAAGCCGCCGTCAAAAACCAAGTAGGGAGTGATGCCAAAATGTTTAAGCATCCTAACCCGGTTCATAGCGAAGTCCACATATCTAATAGGTTTGTGAGAAGAATATCCTAACAAGGCATGGTTATTGGCACTTACTTTCGTGTAGGCTTGCCTTGAGCAAGCTCAATTGCACATGGCACGGCACCTCGATGCAGCCAACCATAGGCGTCGACGCCAATTGTCTCGCCAGCATACTTCCTTAACTCTGTTGGCCGTTGTATTGATTTAAGTAATGGAAGTAGACCTATAAAAGTTAGTCCAATACCCCCTTGGTGCTCCTTGGACTTAGCTAAGACTATCATTATACAATACATACCTTGAATACCCATCTCGAAGAGCAATATGGAGGGATCTCCTCCCGTGCCCAGATTGTAAGATCTATAGCGTCTTCGTGGCCATCCAGAGAACTTGAACTTTGAAATGCCAGCGCAGTAATAAATCCAATCCTTTATGCAGCAAAAGGGTAATGGGCTAATATGAGCTCAGCGTAAACCGGGAGACAGATTTATAACTTTGGGCGCAGACAATTAGATAATTCGAGTCCTAGACAATGATCGACAAGAGGTGTGTAAACACGCCCAAAATAACATTCAATTAGAGTAGGTCAAAGCTTCAAGAGCAAAGGTGACCTAGTGCTGGGGCGAGAATAGAAAAGGATGGGAGTACGATAAGAGAAGAGTACGTCGAATTGATTTTAAGAGAAGTCTGGTAGATTGATAAAGGAAGACTGGACGCGTGAAATAGTAAAAATGGATCCTCGACTGGAAGGTAATTCCAGCCTCTGCGGCTCAAGGAATTATTCGATAAAAGAGTAAACCGCGTCGCGGAGAGCTACACCGCGATTTCCCAAGTTCACCTAGCGCACCGTGCTGGTCGGGAGAGCAACGTGGGTCCAGCCAATAGCCTGTACTCATGACATGCGCTAAGCTACAATCATCTTAGCTCAATAGCAAACGAAGTAAGATTTACTTGGAAAAAGTTAGTATTACACCCTAAGTCAAACAGTATATATAACATAACACACGTATCTACTACATACAAGAGGCTGACCCTGCATTAACCTTAATTAAGAGACCCCTGGCAATGACATTCAGTCACTTTTTCCATTTCTGGAAGTCATTTTCTGAAAGTCATTTTTAGCCCCACCAATTCTTTTGATGACTTTGAAGAACAAAAATCTCGAAAATACTCACTTACAACTTCAATTTTCATCACTCATTAGTCACATAAAGTCTCCACAATGCCAAAGACTTTCGAGAGGACTCGCAAGGCCATTGCTAAAAAGAAGGGGGCTGTCGATTCTCTTCACCAATATTCACGCGATTCCAAGAGGCTGCATAGGGCTCAAGTTCGTGACGGAAAACTGGAGAAAATTGCTGCCTCAAGGAAGAAAAGCGACAAGCCTCATCGTATGTCAATTGAGCACCTTAAGTTCTAGAGCTGGATAACTAATGTAGTTATGTGATCTAGTTGAACGAGCTACCTTTTTCCAGGAGGCCGTGAGGCAAAATGGAAGCCAACCTGTACAGATGGATGTTATCCATGAACTCATCAAAACGTTAGTTTCATTTTAAAAACTACACTTGACGCTATCCATTTCGAGCTGACCGTAATTATAGGTTTGTACACCAATACGATGAAGAGCTGAGCGAAGTAAAGAAGTCTCGGCGGCCTGGACGTCCTGCCAGTGCCAAGGAAGATTTACTGAAAGTGAAGATCGATAAGCTTGAGAAGGAGTATCAGAACGGCTTTTGTCAGTATACTACCCCACCAGCTTCATCGCAAATATTCATCTAACATTACATGGGCCGTAGTAATTCCGGTGCTTGACACAGAAGAAAATGCTACGCTACTCAGCCGGTGGGAAGGTTCTTGGTCCTACCTAACCACTCTCAAATGGGTGAGGATATCTTCCGCTGGGGGTGTTCAACCTTCCAGCTTTCCTCCGAGAGGAGATCATTGAGAAGATATCCCCCCACTTCCCACGTGCTTGATATCCTCAGCCCGAGGACGCACGTGTAACAAGTCCCTGTACCCTCGGTTGATGTTTCTATGTTCATCGTAGATCAGACGGGGCCTTACTTACGGACGTAGGAAGTTTCCGAGACCAGGCAGGGGAGTTGGCCTGGTTTTGCCGCTGGTTTACAAACACACGGTTACCTACAGCCCTGACACGCACCAACCTGCAAACTCCGCAGCCAGCCACACATGCCGGCAGTAATCCGGGATTTTCTTTTTTGACGGAAAATAATGCAGTCAGGCTAGATGACACCGGCTAGTTTCAAACCCGGTGCGCTTATGTCAAGTCGGCAATAACAATGCAGCATTGGTATCATCGGAAAGCCTCTTTACAACTCTGGACCAAGCGGATCATCCGCTTCGTCAGTCATAGCACACCTTCATAGTACACCTAACCTAGCTGAGCATGAGTGTCACTACAGGTATGATATCACGATCGTTTGCAACGGAGATATGCGTTTGCAGCACCTGTTTTTAGACTATTTTGTTGCACGTGTGAAGGAAGCGGGTAGCCGAAGGGCCGTGGGATGCTGATAGTTACTATCAACTGCACCCCGGATCCGAGAGTTTCGAAGCCGCAAGCCTTTGCCTTCTCCCGACCTACCGACCTCTTCGGCTATCTTCATAATAAATTAGATCGTCCTGCCCACAGCTAATAAATGTGTGACATCTCACAACCTTTCTGCCTTCTATACCTTCGTCCCGATACGGCTACCTACTCAACGCATTGTCCTCTCCAAACTCATGCTATTTAAGACGAGTTCCCTGACTTGTAGTACGTCCTTTAAGCTAAACGCTTATCTATCCCAGACCGAAATCCTCGAGACGATTGGCTCAGCTGGCTTCTCTGGGGATGGGCGTAGATGAGTAGGATCTGTTTCCCTCGCTCCTTTAGTTACCCGATTGGCCCGCCCAAAAAGGCAGTAGCTATAACTTCGAGGTAGGTCATACGTTGCAAAAACCACAGCAGAGGAGAGCATCGAGCATTGTTGGAAGTGCAAAGTGCGAGCTATTACTAGCAATATAAGTTGAAGCGCAGCGTACTTCAGTATGAAGAGAAAATGGCGTCGATCTCTGCCTCATATGATAGCTCACTACAGAACCGAATCTCAACTTACCGGGCTTTACTTCGTCACGTTACTCTAGTATGTACCCCTATTTCCAAAGCGGGCTTGCATCACTCACTCACGCAAGGCTAGGGATGTGTCAATACATTACTCACATGAGGGCCTGCTACATCTGCGGTCATGAAGAAATTGTTCTAATTTCGGAAAAATCGTGCACAATCGCAGCTTCGAGGGGCGTATTTGGGAGTTGTGGGCGAGATGTCGACAATAAGTCTAGCAGAACTCGGTATCAATGCTGGAAATGCAAGGAAGAATCCGACTTGGTCTCACGAGCGCAAACTGTACACGCCACGGCACCCTGAAGTTAACAAGAAGAAAAAGAGAAATAAGGACAAATACGTCGATGACAATATAAATTATAGACTCTTCCTCTTCTCGGTCGTATGTAATATAAGACCTGCATGCTAACCAACCACACATCTTAGGTCAAATTTGGTTATGTATCAACGCTGTAGTTAGACGTTTATTTTCATCCAGATACAATCAACTCGATTTCGGTTGCGGATTCGTTCCCTACGTGCTGCAGGCTGATCTCTGTTGTTTTGACTCAGGGGTTGGCTTCTAGCCATGATGGTTTATAGAATACCTCTTTACCATTAGCTGCATTAGGTACCTAGGCTGCTAGGTTAGGCCCCTAAGGTGCCTAATGCATCAAAGAGGGTCTACATGTAATAGCTAGGACCCACTGTAAAAGCTTTATCCCTGCTCCTGATACGTGCGGGGCTAAAACTCGGGTATCTTTTATCGCCATCGTCAGATAAAATTTTTGGAGCTTCTAACCTAGATCCAAAAATTTATCCAATATCAAAGCTTCCCAAAGCTTCCCTCCCCTTCCCCTCCTCCAAAGTCCCAGTCGCAAACTACAAAATTATAATTTGCACCTACGTTAAGATCCCTTCACTCATATTCAATTGGTTCTATTTAGCACATTTAGTTCAAAATGATGTCTCTCAGAGCTGTTGTGCGCTCAGCGCCTCGTACAGTTACTCGTCTTAGTTCTACAACCCTCAGATCATCAAGACTAGCTCAGCCGAGCTCCCTACTGAAGTCTTCATGGGCGCCTCTCAGATCATCTCAGTTCACATCATCATTCTCCACATCGCAGTTCAGACAAGCACCCGCGGCAGAGGTGGATGAGGAACTCTCAGCCAAGCTCGATAGCGAACTCCAGTTCGAAAATGAGCTGAAGGAGGATGAGCAGCTTCCAGCAAGCGTTAAGGACTTCCTCGAGAACAGCCCATTCGAGCTGAAGGATCAGCCTGGAAAGGAGGACGTCTCCCTAGTCCGCAAATTTGGAAACGAAACGTGAGTTACACCCTGTGATATCGAATCGTACTTTTACAAGAGCTAACATCCCCGCTTCAGCATCACCGTCACCTTCTCTATCTCAGATCTCGCCAACTATGAGCCCGACGACATGTTCAACGAAGAGTCGGTCCTCGACGATGAAGATGCTGCTGAGCTGTCCGAAGGCAAGCGCGCATCGCCGGCGGAGGCCGCCGAGGAAGCCCTTGAAGACGATATCGAGGGTGGCGATGCGCCGGTACCTTGCCGACTGAACATCGTAGTGGAGAAGCCGGGCAAAGGTGCACTTAACATCGAGGCGATGGCGCAGGACGGCCAGATCATCGTCGAGAATTTCTATTACTTCAAGGACGCCAAGCTGGCGCACGGCAAAACTGCTGAGATCGCCCACGCTGCCACGGACATCTACCCCGGCCCGCCCTTCGGCAGCCTCGACGAGGACCTACAGATCCTCATGGAGCGCTACCTCGAGGAGCGCGGCGTCACCCAGGCCCTCGCCGTTTTTGTTCCCGACTACATGGACATCAAGGAGCAGCGCGAGTACCAGACCTGGCTGAAGGACGTCAAGGAGTTCGTCGACGCTTAGACGGTTAGTTAGGATGGGTTAGGTACTTAATTACAAAAGAGGGGCGAATAGATGAAGGAATAAAAATTAAAGAGGAAAAAAGGAACGACGCCTCTGATGTATTATGAAAAACCAACTCCACATGTATAATAAGAAATGACGGCTTTTAGGGAATCTCCATAGGGGAGGATCAGGTTTTAGGACCTCAATGACTACAAAAGATTTGCTGCATCCCCGGCTTTCAAAGTATCCCTCTCGTGTGACTTTCGGCTACTAAGTTTCTCGTAGTTGACGTACTTTTCTTTCCAGTATCTAATTCTTCGAATACCAAGGGTTACCACGTAATTGCTGTCAAATTTATGCGTACAGACGCGCCTAGGGAAAAACCGAATTCAGAATAGTCTCGACTTATTCAACCGTTTCTTGATAACGCTCTTCGACTCTCGATACTATCAATTCAATAATAGTACGTGATAGAACTAATAAGTATGAAGTGGAAGTGGGAATGGCATAAAGTAGGAGCTATATCCTAATGATTCAGATTCGGCGGTTGAGGTATGATCTCTACATGCTCCCTGACACTTAATATCGATCAAGTGTCCAACAACTAGCATTATATATTCTAGATATACCACATTCAACGCGCCCCCTTTCTAATTCTTGGAATAGGCTTAGAGAACTGAGGTTAATCAATTCGAGCAAAGTTCCGAGGTTGAATAACCGTCCATAGATGTCATTACACTTAGGTAGCAATATATCTTATATAGGATCTCGTTACTTGGAAAAAGGGGCTACGGAATAGATACTGGTAAAAAATGACTATATATGGAAAGTAATTTACTACTTCTACTATTGAGATAAATCTATTGTAGGTTTAAGACTGGGATAACCTTGGCATTTCCTTGGATAGAGATGTACGTAAAAGCATGGTGGATAGTCCATCTACTCCCTAGGTTAGACGTTTGACTACACGTACACGGACCGGGCCGACTATCTTACAACCCAAGTCCAAATATAGCCAGCTACCTTAGACTACTATGGGAACTTAATATAAGACTTGCATACCTTGACTAACCAAGAGCCCGGGAGAATACGGTTAATATCAAATATATCCACTCAATCTCGGGGCAATACCGTCAACCTGCAACTCATAATACCTGGGCATGCATGCATATACGGATCCCAACTGGTTTACAGCACCATTAAGCGGTTCACTTTTATTGGCACGAGTCACTTATGCTTTGCATGAAGACGGAATTATCGGTCATAATTCAATTTCTTAGCTGCAAAAGTTGAATAACTAAGAATATACGTTCGAATCCAATTCAACTTAGTGATACGATATCGACTGGTAGCATACATCAGAAAGACAAGCAAGCCGCGGTCCGCGAACCCAGCGCTCATCCCTTCCCTTCCATCCTACCAATCAATACATACGCAGCCACAGACGAGAAAACCAATCTCAAAGGCCGGGCGAGCGAAATCCCTTAGGACTGCTCGACGGTAATAGCAGCCGAACCGCTGCTCTGGTAGCCCTCGGTAGCCAGGATCTGGTAGTTGTGCGTCCCGAGCTGAAGACCGGCCTTGCCCCAGGCGTCGAAGTGGTTCTTGAGGGTAACCGAGCCGCCGACGCGCTTCTGCTGGCGCACGGACCAGAACTGGTAGAAGGTGGAGGTGCCGTCGATAGAGGGCTGGTTGACGCGCTGGGTGCGGTAGACGTCGTAGACGCTGCCGTCGCTCTCGACGGAGCCCAGCTTCGTCGCGCCGCTGGACGGGTTGTACGTGCCGAAGGACTCGACGACGTAGTACTCGATGAGCGGGTTGCGCGTCCACCCGTACACGGACAGGTAGCTGTTGACGTTGGCGCCGTTCCACGTGCCGTTGTACGTGACGACGCGCGTCGCCCCGGGGTTCCATCCCTTGCCCGCCACGAAGTTGCCCACGTTGGACCACGTCACGTCGTACGAGCCCCCGGGCCCGTTGTTGTACGTCACCTGGCCCGCGCCGTCGGTCCAGAACGAGTAGAAGAAGCCGTTGTTGGTGCCCGTGCCGGCGGGGGTCGACCGCGTGATGAGGTCGAGAGGGGAGGCGATGGCCCCGGCGGCGGCCGCGAGGGCGACGAAGATGGATGAACCAAGCATGTTGTCGAACGGAAAATTGATGAGGCGGGATGACTTGACTTGACTGAGGAGATGAAGTTTGTCTTCTTCGACTCTTACTGAAGAAGAGAAGAAAAAGAAAAAAAGAAGCTGCTTCTTCAGGGTCTAATGATCGCCGCGGCGGGACGAGATTGCTTATATAGGTACTCGGCGGGCCAGGTTATATTGTTTTTGCGATGGGGCGATGGGTTGATGGGTTGGTTTATCGGTTTAGCCAATAGCCAACAGGCCGGCCTCGTTGTGGAAAAAGGGGAATGGCAAGTCCGTTCCTGGTACCCGAGAAGATGGATGGAGTTGGGATTAGAATTAGCATGTTTGCGGCGATCATCGTGGGGAAAGCAATTCTACCGGCAGCGGCCCAACTTGTCGAACCGGGGTCACGATATTGACGTGATGGAACGCTAGCAGATTTTGCCGGCGGATAAATGTATGTACACACGCAGCTTTTATCCTGATCTGGGGCGAGCCCCTGGCCGCGTTGCATGATGTCGGTTTCATGTTATATGCTATTTACGCGGCCTCCACGATCTAGGCGTCCGATGAAGTTGGGATGAAGAAGCCTGGTTGGCTCTTGCGGCTCCCCCAATGCTAATATATTTCCATCTGCATGTGGCCGTAAACGCTTTTTGCCGGTTTTCTCGCTAAGCAGGCTATGTTCCTCCCGCTAGGGCTGAAGTCGCGGCGGCGATGGCGAGAGAACTGACGACAAAAGCATCAACACTGAGGTCAGCAACAAGGTGTAGATGGTGGATGGTGGGCTCGAAAGCGAAACCTCCGGTGTAGTAGTGTAATACGAGATCCCACTCATCCACCCAGAGCGTTCAAAGGTCGCGGGGTCTTCAATCAGAACCGTTCCCCTTTCATATTATTTCCTCATGATGTGATCATGCCATACCAAGACCATACCAAGAACACACCATGACTATGTAGGAATACACATCGTCAACTGCAAAGTTCTTAATGACGTGACGAGGCATCTTGCATCAAGACGAGGGAACTCCTGCTAGTGCTTGACGTGCCAACCTTTCCATCTCACTTTTGTGTGTAAGTGATTTCCACTCTGCGCAAGAAATATTCTCTTAATTCAATGCAAGTTCTGGTCTGTCTCCCTTAGCAAATTGTTAACAGAAGCTTCTAGGATGTGATAATTGGTTTAGTCTTTCAGCAAGACTGTTTACTAACTAGGTAGAATGTCATATCCTTTAGAGATGTGTCGCTGGAGACAGACAGCCTAGGATATCTACCCACTTCTTGATGGCGCATAAGTCAATGACAACCGGACTTAGCGTCTAAGTAATTATGCAGACGGACGAGTTGGCCATTATTGCAGTCGAGAACCCGATTTCTCGTTCAACAAGAATGAGTCCCTACCTCACAACGTCGTTTAAAATAAATGTTCAAGGGCGATGCGGGTAGATAAATAAGACGCCGGAGAGATACTGGACTAGGTAGAATAGCATGGCATTCACTCCAACTCGTTCGCTTAACCTACCCATGAAGAAGCCGGGGGACATCGTACATACTCGCCGTGGGGGTACGGCATCGACAATACGAGGAACAATACCTACGCGATAGTAAGGAACAAGAACGGGAATTGGGACCGAGAGCGGCGTGACCAGAGACGTCGCACATACACTTCTCGAAACACACCGCATGATATCACATTCAGATAAGGGCAAAGCTGCAATGTAGTGTATCATCATAGATCTTTACGCACGTCTGGTCGGGGTCCGGGTCGGGGTCGGGGACCCTAGGGCTAAGCTCAGCTGCAAAAAAGTTCGTCTTCGAATGTTATCTCCGCCCAAGTAAAGATGGACCAAATCTGGTGTATCTTTGGAATGCATGTTCGAGAACTCCCAGGTTAGATCGTTGAGACCCCCCCTGCAAGTTATCATACCGCCAGCTGATGCATCGTGACCGGCACAATAGTGTACATAAGGCAGCGGTGAGCGGAACAACCTTAGTACAAATTACGGTAGGGTATGTAGAGAGGACCGGTTACTAAACATGGTGATAGATAGGCCCCCTTATATTGTCTAGACGTATGTACGGCACATGTCGTGCAACGTGAAAGGGTGGCAAAGCATGTTTCTTGATTGAAATTGAGGTGGTCCGTTACCAGGGAGCCCGGCGAACTTCGTAAAAAGAAGGGGGGATAGATCCCGGATCGGGTTTCGAACCCACGTGGATGTGAAATGTGAATAAGAATACATAAGCAACGAACCAGGAGCGAGACCGAGACCGAGATAATTCGTCCAAGCAGCCGAGGTGATAATAGCGTCGGTAGTCTAAGAAAGCCATAAGGCGCCACAGAAATAATAGCAGCGCGAAATGGTAATAATATGCTTGATAATGTTCGCATCACAACGCTTCTTCGACGAATAGGATTCCTGCCGATAGAGTATCACTACATACTTTTGGGACAATCCCGCCCCTCCTCCCCACAGACAAGGGCTGTCATGGAAATAGTAAAGAAAAATAAAATAAAAAGAAAACGCCTCGATATATATGAAGCGCGTAAGTGGTGCATACATCTTAATTTCGTTTAATATAGGTTGTATTTTGTTTCTGCGGAAACCCGGTAAAAGCAGTTGTCAATGACACCATGAATCCATGATTCCCGGTATGATGAGTAACGCGTTAATATGCCAGGCGCATTATTGCAGTCAGAATAATGCAGTCATACAGTATTCCCGCCGTCTCTTCAAGAAGAAAGCTGCGCTAAATCGAAAAAAAAACTTTTTTTTTTTTTGCTCCCTTCAAGTTACCGTGTTTGAGAAGGGTTCGGTTGAAAAATTTAGGTAAAAATCATAATATCCTCACATTCATATGCGTTAGGTACCTAGGCACGCGGTCACCGCTGTACCCTAGGAGCTGTCACATATGTCATCGGAGGAGCGTGGTTTGGTGACATTTCCTGTGCCGCAGAGCAGCAGCTTTCTCTGCAGTAGTGTAGTCGTCTGGGTTCTATCGTTTTTCGAAACCCAACGTGTACGTACACGAACCGTCATTTTCGATCGCCCGATCGGGTGGACCAAACTATGCCGTTCCCTTTGCTCCTGGTTTCTTCTAGTCATCGTTCCAGAAGGATGCAAGAGGAAACCCAACGAACGATTCAGAAAGCGGCTGAAACTCTGCAATCCCATCAGGTCTCGTGATTTCCATAGGGCTGTCAGAAATACGTACAGTAAAGTAGATCGATTGATCGCCATTGCTCACAGTCTGACAGAAAATGGTCAGAATCGAAACAATGTTACCCACCACCGACACCACCACCACCACTACTACCACTTCGATGCTCGCTTCGCACTAAAGCGTATCGCCATATCCGCTGCACATTGACGACATGTACATTAGGCTATTCCGTGCCCTTGAGCCTCCGTCGCCGTCTAAATCTCTTATTAAATGCAACGGCCCGGCCCGTCGCGGGCGGGCTGGCCCTTCGATTAAATACGTAGTGTATCTATCCGGGCATCGTGAATCTGTTTAATTTGTACAAACTCTCATCACGTATGTATGTACCTATCGGCACATCTTGGCGCCGAGAGAGCGAGAAGGGGGTCCTAGCTCCGGGTATGGCACGGAACTTCCGCGGTTTGCTGCCCCTCTATCCTGGAAGTTTGGTACAGCCGGGAATAGAAAAAGCAAAGTCCTGTCGTGCACGAGGCTAGTAGATTGAGGTGACATGTCATTCAGCAGCAGGGATGAAAGGGGAGGCCTGACGAGAACCGGTTGTGCTGGACCTCGGATACAACAACCGACAGGGTGACAACCAATACCTAACTGCCACGGAAATGAGAAGTAAGTAGATCATCGAGGAGCAGGGATCAAAGGCATTAGATAATTACATTATAGTGGTTGCAGCCTCATCATTATTCAACCTATGATCCTATCAATCCACTTCGTCCACCCAACGTCGGCGCACAGCAGCCTCATCGAATCAACCGGTAAGCTCACAAAGAGCTCTTGCTTCATCGAGTCCGCCTTGGCCGGGAGTATCAGAGCCGTACCAAGGTTCCACGAACCGTGAGCCCGCCTAATTGCATCCGCCTTAGTTACGGGTACTCCCGGTATGTTCCATTCGACGTCCGCGCCGAAATGTCGCCATGTATTGAATGCCAGCGCTTCGGGCATCCGTGGGTCATAATTCACTCCCACCAGGCGTGGGTCGGGCGCTTCGCATAGCATGGCGAGGCGCCGGCTAACGTATTCCTGGTCGACAGCATCGATAGATGCTTTCACGAGCGGGACGAGACGAGCAAGTTCGCTGTCGTCATCGCAAGCTGCAATTAATTGGGCCTTTAGTGCCTTCGTAACAACTGGTAGGGCTGCATTGCCAAAGTAGTTTTCTGTGGCGCCTTTGAAGGCTCTCGTTCGCCAGTTTACCGAGTTCCATAGCATGGCATTCCGCCTTGGTTCTACCCCAGGTAAGTTATTTTCGGCTGCCACACGGGACTTCGTAATATGCGCAAAGGCGAGGGTGGCTAAGCTTGTGTAAGCCGATGGCGACTCCACCCCGCCATTTCTAGACCGAATCAGGTCTCGGAGTTCCTGCAGTCGGTCGTTCCTGAAAACGAAGATCTTGCCTATCTTCTCGATGTTTGCCATTGATGGTCCAGTCTTTAGGATTCGCGGTTGCGTTGGGCCGCTAAGGTCACGTAACATCGTATATTCCGGGCATCTTTTTAGTAGATGTTGGAATGTAGCGCCGTTGTCGTTGTGTATGGTAATTGGGCCTCTCTGGCTGCGATGATGTAACATCGGAAACGTCTGCTGCTCAATCGGGAACGTCTGCTCAGAAGGCAAGTTAACTGGAGTGTTTCGAGTCTGAGCAGCAAAGCATTCCAGGAAGACGCGCAACGAGCCCCCATCCACCAACCCGTGGTGTAGGAACATAGAAAGTAGTAGACCACCGGGTGGGAACTCTGCCTGCACCTTGGACACAGGTATCGAGTCAAGGTTGGAGCTTACTATTCCCGAAACACCGAACCGGGAACCAACGAATGCGCCTGGTGGGAAACCGGCATCCTTCATTCGCGAGTATTCTTGTCGACTCGTTTCGCTTGCGGGTAGCACTTGGAAAGGAATATCTTGTGAAGGTGACCGGTGAAGTGAGACGCTGCCGCTATTACTGTTAGCCCGGAGCCTCCCGGCGAAGACTGGTCGTTCTCTCGCCAAACGTTTGAGAGCAGATTCGATATGTCGAATTGCGTCGTGCCGCCGCTGATTATCGCACGGAAAACAAAGCACGACGCATATATAAACACGAGGTGCGTTCTGGTTCCATACCGAAAGTGGTTCTTGCCAACCAAGATGGTCTTCCTTATCCAGCATTGGCAATGGCTGGTTCACTGCGGGAAGTGAACGTGTGCGTCTTGTAGTAGCATTGACGAGTGGCTTGAGCGGCCGATTTTGTAAGTTGCGACGTCGTGGCCGCGTAGATACCATGTCCTCGCCAATCGGTGACCGCCTTTTACGCATCGTGAACGGATAGCTTGCCTGTGAAGGCATGAGTGTGACTAGGTATGAGGCGCTAGCCTCTTGAAAATGAAAGGGGAAGTATTTCACGTGGTACGTGCGAGTAAGTTTCTTTGGTGCTGTAGTATGAAGGAAGTATCAGAAGCTTGGGAGATATTCTTGTGCTTGTCGATGAACTTTCTCATTGCGGTAGTATAGCTCTGGGAGCCCCGAGGCATGATATCTCTTACTATGTATGAGCTGACGAAAACCAGGAGGGGCGATTAGCGAGAAGCAGAGCTAAGGTTGCGAGAGATGAAGATCTCTTAGACCCTTGCTAGCTGAGATCAAATTGCAGGTCAGGTAATAATACCCAGAAGAAGGCTGGACCACCCTGGTGAGAAGTTCATAAGCTGTTTCCACTGTTTCTAAAGACGTCAATGTTGGACTGATTATTCCATAAAAGGCTGGCTGCAGATGCTACCCCTCGTAACTCCACGTCGACCGCGTATGATTACCGTCGACAATCCCCTGCTTAAATGGGAGCCGATGGCGCTAGGGAGCCCATAAAAGCCGTCAGATATGATGTTGGTTTTTGGTCAGAGCCGCGGCGCGCTATCGCATGCAGGGCTTGGGGTCTTCATCCATGCGCTCACCCAAGGGTACGGTCAAGGTCATTTGGTCTGGGCGCCGGACTAGATTTCCGTTTGCAGGCCGTAATAAAGCTCGAGATACTAGGATAGCAACCCACGTCTTTCCGCGCGAACGGTTCCCACCCTTTTAAAGCATTCTGCAGGGCATTGCGTGTCCATTTAAGGAAAATATCTTTGTCAGTTTACACATCAGGCCGGTCCCGATGTTGTATTTAAACACCGGACTCACTAAGAAGTTAGAAGTGAATTCACAACACGTACTAGCTTAATCCCTGTTTGGGAAGGACCTTGACTCGGAACATTATCGAGTCGAACTCGTTCGGCACTGGGCAGGGGGTATCCGAAATCCAGGTAGATGGTACGTAAACAAGGGAGGCGCAAGTCTTGTCACTATACGGATGAGTGAAGCATACGCTAGGTAGGAGAAATTTCCTCACGAAGGCCAGTAGCCAAGCAAATACACGATTGTCCCCTTCAGATGAAATAATTGCCATTCAAGAACGTAGGTCATCTCAACCAACATGTCATGATGGAAAATGAAGATATCCATATCAGCTCTCACGCGTCCCTCTCTTCGGACGGTCATAGGCCTTGAATAGCAAGTATCGGCTGGCAGCCTCGTGGAGTGATTCAGGCTGACCTGGAAGACAGTATTAGGTGACGCGAACTCATTAAACTGTGTGTTCGGATGGATAAGGAGGGCGATAGGCCAATAATTAGATACACCGAGGGCGTGATTCATAGATCAGGTCGGCCGCATGACTCCAGGCCATAATCCGAATCTCGGGAGGCAAGAACGAGAAGAGATCCATGGTTGGACGCGGGCTCGGAGCCTATGATGAGTTGGCTGACTAGAAGGAGGGGATCGACAGATGAAATGCATAGTGAATATATGACTTGTATGCATGGTGTCTTCTGTCATAAATGAGTAAAACACGGGGTTTGGAGACGGGACGCCAACAAGCCGAAGGTGATAAGAATTCACACTCGACATGGCATTGATGTCCGTGTTGTATGTGTTAGGTAGGTGTATGTGTATTCGTATGCGTATGCGTATGTGTATGTGTTAGACATATGTGTAATGTATGTATGTGTATGTGTATGTGTATGTGTATGTGAGGTAGTGTGCCTGTGTGTCATCTGTAGTAGTTTGTACTTTTCTAAGGTGAATGGGGAAGACATCGGTTCCAAATCGTCGGTGGGGGCGGGGAATCATAATAATAGGTAAGTTCGTTGTACCAGATCGAGTGGATTGGAAGTCATCCGCTGCTTCCGTATTCATAAACCCCCTGCCGCTTCTGCTTCTAGACTCGATTGCTTGCCCGGCTTGCTAAGTGGTCCGTACCTTCTCGTTACACAAAATTACACGAATTATTACTCGCACGAGCTAACGCTTAGCCAAAATACATAGATACATGTACTTTCCTAAACCGGTAATTGCATGTAGCCGCATTGGGTAGTTGGGCATCTGTTTTTTTTTCCTTTTCCTTTTCTTAATTTTGCTTTTCTTGTCTCATTTCGCCTTTTCCTTCCAAAATACTAAGCCTCAAATATACAGCCTCCTTGCGCAATCATTGCATTGCATTGCATCCAATTACACATATATGAGCATATAATTACAATAATTATTGAAGTTGGGTGCTTGCTTTTTCCGTTTTGTCTTTCGGACCGTTCCCCATTGACGACATATCCGTTTGGGTAGATATTTGTTGGAGGGTTACCTTGACGATGATAGTTATCCCTGGTGTGCATATCCCACCGTCATATCTTGGAGTCGGGATTCGGGACCCATCCTGTTGGGACTGGGGCTGACGGTCCGTCCGGGGACAAGCGAGCACAGCATGATCTGACGATCCTAGTATCGTAGGATTAGACGTATGGCGGGCATAGGAAGGCTCCCGAGGGAAAGTCCCCGAACAGTTCGTCTCACGTAACGCAGATTCCTTGGTTATTCCACGAATGCTGACGTGAGGTCTGCAATATCATAAGTCAATGGTCCAATTATAAGGCCACGGTTGACGTCTTCTTTGGCTCAAGGAATCAAATCTGACGCCCACGGGCGACAGTCAATGCAGCCTTGTGTAACACCGAACGGCAACTCCTCGCACACCGGGGAACAGTTCCCAGATAGCCAGTTATCCTCTTAAAATCTCACGGCAGATATCGGCCTGCTGTCTTTTCCGGACAATCCACCTCAGATAGTATGCGCGGTAGGTCGGACAAGTGTTCTTCCCCTTGTTGAAACCACACCGGGTTTAAACTACATTGCCATGCGTTAGTTTGTCAGCGAGCTATATTACTTATTATTAATTCGCCC